AAGCAAGATTTCCAGCTAACACATGAATTGCAGAGAGTGAAAACATATCCGGAAAGAGACTTTCGTTTATCTAAGTCACCTGCAAAATCAGAATCTGTGAAGCCTATAATATTGTTGGAAGGATTTTCACTCCTCTCAAACAATAGACCCATATCACGGGTTCCCTTCAAATACCTAAGTATCCACTTCACAACATTCCAATGTTCTTTTCCTGGATTTTGCATATACCTGCTGACAACACTTACTTCATATGCAAGATCGGGTCTTGTGCAGACCATAGCATACATCAAACTGCCAATTGCACTCGAATATGGAACGCTAGACATATAATCCACTTCTTCATTTGTTGTTGGACAATAAGCAGTAGATAACTTGAAATGAGCAGCGAGAGGAGTAGAAGTGGGCTTACAATCAATCATTCCGAACCTTTCAAGTACCTTATCAATGTACTTTCTTTGGTTCAAAAATAATTTACCAGCTTGTCGATCTCTTTGGATCTCCATACCTAAAATCCTCTTTGCTGCTCCAAGGTCCTTCATCTCAAATTCTCCTTTTAGTTGTGACTTTAACCTTTCGACTAACATTATGTTCTTAGAAGCAATAAGCATGTCATCAACATAAAGAAGTAGATATATGTAGGAGCCCTCGGGAAATTTTTGGAAATATACACAATTATCAAATTGACTTCGTGTATAACCATTTCCAATCATAAAAGTATCAAAACGCTTATACCATTGTCTAAGAGCTTGCTTGAGACCATATAATGATTTTCTCAAAGGACAAACCATATGTTCCTTTCCTAGAATCAAAAAACCTTCTGGTTGCTTCATGTATATCTCCTCCTCGAGATCACCATGAAGGAAAGCAGTTTTCACATCAAGTTGCTCTAACTCCAAATCAAAGAGAGCAAAATTCTTATGGAAGTGTGACGCACAACAGGAGGAAAGATTTCATTGAAATCAATACCTTCACGTTGGTTGCAGCCGCGAACAACCAACCACACACTCCATCTTGCTTCTTCAATGCCGGGAATTCCTTCTTTCTTTTTGTATTTCCACTTATTTGAAAGTGCTTTATTCCCCGTAGGAAGGATACATAATTCCCATGTATTATTCTTCAATAAACTTTCGTTTTCTTCATTCATTGCCGCAAGCCATTTAGATGAATCTACACAAGATATAGCTTCTTTGAAAGAAGAAGGCTCAATTTCTTCTGAAATTTTTTGTGCAACGGCGAGAGCATACGCAACAAGCTCATCATCTCTATATCGAGCAGGTTTTTGTATAACTCTCCCTGGCCGATCTCGAGCCAAGATATAATCTTGTGGCACTTGAGATGGCATTTCCTCATTTTGAACTTCACTAGGATTTAACTCTAGAGAAGATAGATGGGTAGGTGAATCAACTTGTTGTTCGAACTCCACCTTGTCTCTTGGAGTCTCAAGATTTTCTGCATCATGGGACGAAGAAGTACTATTTTTGGCAAAAAAATAAGGCATCTTCATTAAATGTAACATCTCTACTTTGAATAACCTTGTGTGATTCAATACACCAAAAACGATAGCCTTTTGACTCCATAGAATATCCTAGAAATAAACACCTTTTAGCTCTTGGAGAGAGCTTACCCTCATTTACGTGATAATATGATGGGCAACCAAATATTCTTAATTTGGAATAAACAACTGGTTTACCTGTCCAAATTTCTTCTGCAATTTTATAATCCAACGACTTATGTGGAGAACGGTTGATTAAATAATAGGTTGTGGCTGCAACTTCTGCCCATAAATCATGTATATGCCATAAACCTGCATTTGACATCATACACCGAGTCCTTTCGAGAATTGTTCTGTTAAGTCTTTCGGCAACACCATTTTGCTGAGGTGTTTTAACTAGAGTTTTGTGTCTTTCGATTCCATGTGAGGAACAAAATTCATTAAACTCATTTTCACAGAATTCCAATCCATTGTCGGTTCTAAACTTCTTAACTTTCTTTCCTGATTGAGTTTCAACTAGCACTTTCCACTTTTTAAATGCAGAGAAGGCTTCATTTTTGTGCCGTAAGAAATAAACCCAAACTTTACGAGAGAAATCATCAATAATTGTCATCATGTATCTAAGACCTCCTATGGAAGGAAATTTAGAAGGTCCCCATAAATCTGAGTGAATATAGTCAAACACCCCCTTGGAACTATGAGAAGCAGCAGGGAAACTTACCTTTTTCTTCTTCCCGAAAATACAGTGTGCTCAAAAGTCAAGTTTCCCAAAATTTTGGTTTCCCAATAGTCCTCTTTTGCTTAAAACTGTCATTGGCTTCTCACCCTTATGTCCTAGCCGCATATGCCATAATTGAGTATTATGTGAATCAAGCAGCGAGGTAGAAATATCTGCCGAACCTGTAACAACAGAACCTTGCAGGACATATATCATACCAATGCGGTTAGCTTTCATCAAAACAAGAGAACCTCTAGATACCTTAAGAACTCCACCTTCAGCTCCATATCTGCATCCAAGAGACTCGAGGGTGCCTAAAGAAATAAGATTTCGCTTCATGTCAGGAACATAGCGAACATCAGAAAGAGTTCTGACAACCCCATCATGAAGACGCATTTCAATTGTACCAATACCAAGAACTTTGCAAGGATCTTCATTTCCCATTAGCACAACACCAGAATTAACAGGTTTAAGTGTTTTGAACCAGTTCTTATTGGGACAAATATGAAAAGTGCATGCAGAATCAAGGACCCAAACATCTGAATTACTGCCATCGTAAGAAGAAATTGTTGCCAAACCTTCACCATCAGAATCGTCATTGACGATACTAGCTTCTCCGGCTTCAGAAGCCTTTTGAGATTGCTTTTTCTTTTCTTCTTTGGCCTTTAATTTGAAACAATCAGAAATTTCATGACCATTTTTGGGACAATAGCAACAGTACTTCCCATCATCAGATTTTCGACCATGTGACTTGGATCGAGCTTTACCTTTACCTTTGCTTGATTCCCCTTTTTACTTGGATATTCCTCTTATAAATAGACCTTCACCTTTTTCATTAGAACTGGACTCAAAGTCAAAATTTTATTTTGACAATAAGTTAGATTTTACATCTTCATAAGACAAAGTATCCATATTTCCATAGAGCATGATCTCTTTAAAGTGTTTAAAGGACTGGGGCAATGAGCATATTAATAAAACAACTTTATCCTCATCTTCAATTTTCACGTCAATATTTTCCAAGTCCATAACAATGGAATTGAAGGTAGAAAGATGGGTTTGAATTGGAGTACCTTCAGCCATACGAGTAGTGTACGACTTCTCTTTTAGATGAAGCTTGTTAGCGAGACTTTTCGTCATGTAAAGTGACTCTAATTTTGTCCAAAGTCCAATTGCAGTTGTCTCACTCACCACCTCCTGCAAAACCGATTTTGACAGGCATAATTGAATAGCAGTAAGAGCCTTTTTATCGAGCTCTTCCCATTGGACATCAGTCAAGGTCTCTGGTTTGGCTTCGAGACCAAGTAAAGCCTTTTGAACAACATTTTGTGTCAAAATTGCCTTCATTTGAATTCTACATATCGAGAATGATATCTTGCCATCAAACTTCTCAATGTCAAACTTTGGAGTCATCTTGTCGAGGATTTCAATTGGTTGTCAAGGGCTTTGATACCACTTGTTGTCTTTTATAGACTTTTGAACCTAGATATAAATGAGCACTAGCAGAAGCAAACCCAATATGAAATCGAACAATAACATAGAGAAGAGAATGAACAAAGACAAGACACCAATTTTACGTGGAAACCCCTCCAAAGATGAGGGAGAAAAACCACGGGCTGGACAAGCCAGTAAATCCACTATGATCAAGGAATAATCTTCAACGTACAAAGTTGTGGAGTAAGTAGAAAACTCCCAACATAAAAGAAAAGTACTCAAGAAGATATTCTACACTTTAGGAGAATAAAGGAGTTGGAAGAAATTGGTGTGTCTATTCAACAACAATAGACTCCCTATTTATAGCCATGTAAAATGGCTTATGAGATGCCAAAGAAAAAGTGACCGACACTCCCATTAACCAAATGGAAACTCCACACAATTAACTCCATGTGATCATTAACTTTCATAACCCCAAGTAACCTCTAGTGTCTTCCATAACTCCGAGTCTTGGAATTAATTTGAGGCATCAATACCAACAAAAACTTTCCAAGAGAGAGGGGATATTGATGTCATGCTGATGTGGACAGATTACTCATGATTACTACCATAGGGTTACTGACTGTTCCTTCTCCGCCCGTGGTCCCATGTCGGTTACTGGCTCGCCGTGTTTTGATAAAATGACAAAAGGTTATAACTAGTCGCATCCCTCTTAGAGATATGGACGAAGCAATCCCTAAATCATTAGTTGCTAACATTTTAGTCCAAGAAACGCTCCTTAGTCCTTATATAGTTACATTTCCTTAGTCCTTACATAGTTTCATCCCTAATTCTATATTCTTTTTTTGTTTAAAATTTGCTTTAAAATATTTGAACAGAAAATGTTGCTCTTTTGCATAAGTGCCAATTACTCTCTAATTCTCAGGAAAGCTCCTCGGCTTCACCGGCACTGACCGGTCACCGATTCTCCCAGTAGGCCACTAAATAGTTAATACTACTTCGCCTCGAACTCATTTCTTTGCCTGCTTTTCCCTTTTTCAAAAAATTTCCCATTTCTTTCCTTCTCACACGATTTTCGTTCCAAACACCGCCGCCGGCCGCCACTGGTTTCCCCCCTGCCGTCGACCCGACGGTTGCACCTCCCTTTTCCCCCTTGACTTTCTTCTTCAATACTCACTCTGTTAATTTTCTTCCGTTACTTCCTCTTCTCTCTCTGCTCCGACAGTGGAGATTTTTTTCGGTCTTCCAGAGGGAAACACCGAAAAGAGAAGAAGAAAGGACAAAATGAGAAGACGTAATGCAAACAAACCGAGTTAAAACCCTAGTCTCCCGAGACTTTCGGTTTTCGTCGCCTCTCCAATGGAGTCTCAGCACGCGTCTCAGGCTGCTTACGCCAAGACGCTGGCCGACGGCGGGCGGTACAGTGGAGGGAAGCACGAGTACGACGGCCTGTTCAGCGGTCCGATGAAGCTCGGCTCTAGATTGGAGGATTACAGGGAGATATTCGGCCGGTCGGAGACGTCGTCTATTCCGATGCTCGATGTTCCCGAGCTGAACGAGAGGAAGGCTTCCGTCGAGCCGCGGGGCTCCAGGCCGGATTACGCCAAGATTTTCGGCGGATTCGGTGAATTGGACTTTGCTATGCCTTACGAGGAGTTGATTTCCAGAGCGGAGAAGGAGGCCAAGTCTTCTCGAGCAGCACGATACTTCCATTTTTCTTCCCTTTAACGCTTTTAGACTTAGATGCTCGGTCTTTCTCTTCCACAGATGGAGCTTCATCGCCTTGACCAGAATCTTAGTGGTCCTTTCTCTAGAGCTTAGTGATGGAGATCATAGAGACGTCGGATTGCGTCCGTTTAGTACTGCTGAGAGTTTCAATGATTCCTTGATTAAATGCCATAGCTAGAAGAAATCTGGAAACAACCTGTGCTTTTCCATTATAGGAAGAGACCGCTTTTGGTCCCCAACTGACCAAAAGAGTACTCGATGTTCTAACTTCTAATTAATGGAATAAAGCTTTACTGTAGAAAGGAAAGGGAAAGGAAAGCATGTGATGCAAGTGTTTGGAGTTATTTAGATGAACTTGATCAATGTCAAATATCAGTTTGGCCCTTTTCCCCCCGAATTTTGCTTGGTTATTGTTAAAGTCTTTGTCTTCTTCTTCATTATCTCTTACTTTTATCATCTATTCTACCGTGAATGAATGTTTTCAGTAGGGCTCCTGCTGAATCGAGTTCGCAGTTTTCTTCGGGTCCTGAGCAATCTGCATTTGCTGAAAAGAAGAGAATGTCAGCAGAAGCATCTGTTCAATCGTCTATGGATGCTGCGAAACTTGTCAACGTGCAGTATCACAAGACAAACTCGGGAGGCAGAATGGGGAAAAGTGGCGCGACACATGTTGCTCAGCTCCATGCCATTCCTGGCTTTACTCGCTTAATTGATGAAAATGCTCCATCACGATCTCCTGAAGGTGCCAGGTCAAGTCGCTATGTTCTGAATGATGTCCATCTCAATGCGGGTGAGGAGATGAAGGAAGCCAGACCTCACAGGAGAGCTTACTCCGGTCCTCTCCTGTTCAATAATGCTTCAGGACAGCATGCTGAACATCACAGAACATCTAGTTCCATCTCAAATGATGCAGCTTTTGATGCTTCCAGCAGTTCATCGATGAAATCTAAACTTGGGGTTCCGAAAACTACTAGTGGCTGTCACTCACCATTGGGTGATGAAGTGGATGCAAGCTCGACTGCTGCTGCTTCTGCAGCTGCTGTGAGAAAGGCAATTGAGGAAGCTCAAGCTAAAATCAAGATTGCAAAAGAGCTAATGGAGAGGAAAAAGGAAGGCCATCAGAGTCGTTCAAGACCAAAGGTCAATCATGGGTTGAAATCTGAGAAAGGGGAATCTAAGTCTGCTGAAAAAACATATCAATACAAAGATAAGGCAGAGGAATTGTATCGGAAAGATGATACTTCAAAGAAGCAAGTTTTCAGTAGCTCACTCGGGCAAAAGTCATCAGAAGTCCGCCAAGTGACTTTGGACTTCAGGGATGAGACTAAAGGTTCTATTGCTAGCCCTGCCCATACTGTAAACCACATTAAAGAAGCCACATTCACTGAAGTTTATTCTAGTCGGGGAGAAACTGGAACCAGCAAATCCGAACAGGAGTCTCCAGAAGCCGCTGGTAGCAAAGAGTACCGGCCTTCGATGCCACAGTTTGAGCAAGAAGAGAAGACTAGGAAAGTTATGGTAAGTAGTTCTGAAAAAAAATGGAAGGAGAAGATGAAAGCATCAATTTTACAGGACAAATTTGAGAATATGATGAGAATGCTGCGGGGACCAGTAGACGTTTCAGATGTTGAAGTGCCAGAGAAAAAATTAGACCAGCTGAAGGTAGATCTCATTCAGCTGGGCAGTGAGGCTAAGCACGAGGAAATAAAAGGTAGATCAAATGAAGCTGCAGCAAGGGAGGAGGATGAGAGGACGGTTAAAGTTAATTCCTGGCTGGATAATATTGCCAAGGGGCACAAGGAACAAGAAGATCATAAAGAGGGAGAATTGGAGGAGGCTCAAAGTTGTGATATGAGTGAAGATGATGCCGTGAATACTCCATGTGAAGTTGATGCAGCGAAAAATTCAAAAGTAAGGTTTGCTGATGATGAGCTAGAGTATGAAGGTGAAAACAGGCCTTCAGCCAGTGGTTTGGAAGAAGTGAAAGAGAAGGTTGAGGAAGAAGCCAAAGAGAACAAACATGCTATTGGTGAGCATGGGGCAGGAACCTTTTCGGAATCTGTAGAAACAGAGAGGATAGAGCCTAAGGTTCATCAAATGTCGGAAGCTGATGAAGGAAACGAGAAGGTCACTCAAGAGCCTCCCAGAAGTTTGAATGATAATAATGAATTGGCTCCTGAGTTGCATAAAACAGCTGAAAGTGACAAAAATGTCGAGCAGATTGATGAAATCCATGCATGTGGGGAGCTTGCTGTTAGAGTGAGTGAGGAGGCCACATTGCCTTCTTCTGGATCCAAAGAGATTGGAAAAGATCCAGAAACAGTTGGAGAGACATGTTCCCCTGCAGAAGAAGGGGATTCTGCAAGGGTTGATGGGTCTGGAATGCAAAGTGATGAACCGTCGGAGCCCCTTGTTGTTGATGAAAATGGGGTATGTTCCAGTGAAGTGGCTCGCCAGCATACTGAAGAGTTTGCAACTGAATGCCAAAGAACCTCCACTGCTGAATGGCATGTTGAAGAGGCAACTAGTCCATCAGAAGAAAGCAAAGAGGTTCTTGATGATGCTGAAGTTAGCAGCATGAGTGACACAGCAGCTGATAATTTTCAATCTCCTGGTGAGAAGGTTTTACCAGACGGGACTGAATCCAGGTCACATGCTGAACCTGAAAAGCATGTAAGAGGAGCCACAATTGATTTGGAAGAAAAAGATGACAAGGTTCCCACTGTAAACAATAGTGCATCATTATCGGATGAAGAGAGATTGTCGCATGATGGAATAGGTTCAAGCACTAGTCAACGATCTAGTGTTTCCCGGGAGGAAGGGAATACTGATGCTGCTGCGTCTCCGCGTCAGAAAATGAGTAGAAAGGCCGTTGACGAAACAGAGATAGCTTACCACGAGACCATGCAAATGCAGGAGAGAGAGGATAACAGGAGCCCAAAGAAGCATGTGGAGGTGGAAAAGCAGCAGCATCCAACGAAAAAGGAAGCAGCAAAAGAGAGAGACTTGGAGGAGAGACAGAGAATAGCAGTGGAGAGAGCAATACGGAAAGCTCATGAGAGGGCTTTTGCTGAAGCCCGAGAGAAGGCAGAAAAGGCAGCTGCGGAGAGAGCTGCTGCAGAAACTGATCGGAGGGCAAAGGCAGCTGCTCGAGAAAGGTCGGAGAGGGTTACATCGTTGGAGAAAGCTTCTATGGAGGCAAAACTGAAAGCCGAACGCGTTGCAGTTGAAAGAGCAACTGCCGAGGCGAGAGAGCGAGCCCTGGAGAAAGCGTTGTCTAAGTCTCCTGTGCCTTCAAAGGATGATGGAAGGTCCACTGTGAGTATCTTCTTCATCGTTGTTTTTCTCCAACTGCTCCCTATTTGCCGAAGTATTTATTAACACTTTGGGCGTTATTTCTTCCAGAATCAACGATACAAAAGCTCTGCTTCTTCTAGTAGTTCAAGATATCAAAGTTCTGTTGGTAATGCCGGTATGTGTAGCTATAAAGATCATATAACTGTGTAGTCATTATTTGCTTCATTAGATGCCAGAGCACTTCTGATAACTTGACACTTATTGCTTCATGAAGTTCCCAACTCAACTGCAGTATCTGGTGAAGCAAACAGTGAATCATCTCTGAATTCTAGAGCCTCCTCAGAGAAGCAGCAGCAAATGGCTGAGTGTGCGGTATGTCCCCTGCCTGTGATCTATGGCATAGACATCCAATTCTCTCACTTCTAAGCAAATGTCATCTGTGTTTCCCCTACAGGCGAAAGCTCTGGCAGAGAAGAATATGTGCGATCTTCTTGTGCAGAAGGAGCAAGCTGAGAGAAATGTAATTTGCTCTTTTTTGAATGGAACAATCAAAACGATAGTTGCTATTCAAAGGATTTAATACTTGAGCATCATTAACCGAAACTTTTCATAATTTGCAGAGACTGGCAGAAATTCTGGATGGTGAGATCAAAAGGTGGTCCAGTGGGAAGGAGAGGAATTTGCGCGTTCTGCTTTCAACACTTCACTATGTATTTATCTATTCATTTGTGTTCTCTATTGGAAAGAAACAACAGTTTTCGCTCGTTTGCTTCTTTTCTGGGTGATAACAGCTCACGCTCTTATGACTTCTGCAGATTCTTGGTCCTGACAGCGGTTGGCAAGCGATTCCTAGGACAGATCTCAACTCAACTACTGCTGTTAGGAAAGCGTACAAGAAGGCGACTCTTTTCGTGCATCCTGACAAGTTGCAGCAGCGTGGTGCCAGCATACGCCAGAAGTACGTATGCGAGAAGGTCTTCGAACTTCTCAAGGTATAATAATCTTGCCGCTGTGTTTATGCCAAGCTTTTCTTTTATTTTACTGCTAAGGTAATCTGGCTTTATGCTTCTTTCAGGATGCCTGGACCAGATTCAGTGCTGAAGATCGGTGATAAAGTCGATTACCATGATAGCTTCAGAAGCAGAAGTTTACATTCATTGCTTGTATAGAAACTGTACAAAGACGAAAAAGAGAGAGAAGAGGGGAAGGAGTAGGGAGGGAATACCATTGCTGTTATTCTTTAGTGTCTCTGGAGAAGAAAAGAAAGCTTTTGGATCGTTAATGCTTACAATCAATAGAGCTATTGGGAGATTTCCCACGACCGAAAGAACATATCCAGCAATTAAAGTACCTCATCATCTTTGAAGTTCCCAAGAAACCGTTATTCAAGTCCTACTTTTCTAAGACTCCCTACAAAAACACTGCAAGACTGCTAAAATCAACTCTCAAAACTCGTCTAACCGAACTAACTATTTCCTCGATAACTTAGGCCTGAGTGACTTAGCTACCTCACAATCCAACCGAATGAAGAATTATGGCGTTCTGGGCATGCATTCGATTTTCAGCTTGAGCAAACACTATTGAGTTCGGTGCTTCGATAACAGCATCAGTAACCTCAACTCCCCTTTCTGCTGGTAGATAGTGCATGAAGTATGCCCTGGGGCCACCCAACTTCATAAGCTGTTCGTCCACCTGCCATTTCGTACCAATCAAGAGATAACAGGTTCAGCTCAAAATACAGAGGAAGAAAGCTAAATACAGAAGAGGAGAAGGCGTGAGTGGATAGGGACCTGGAATCCTTGAAACACTTGACGGCGATGTGCAGCCTCTTCCTTCTGGCCCATGCTGGCCCACACGTCCAAATAAACAACATCAGCTCCACAGACAGCTTCTTTTGGGTCGTTTGTTATCTCAATCTTGCTGATGCCAGCCCGCTGTGCCTTATCCACTGTTTTCTGGTCTGGCTCAAACCCTTTAGGGCAAGCACAAACGAAGTGGAAAGGAACAATGGATGCTAGCAATAGCCAAGAGTGAACAATGTTGTTGCCGTCCCCAACATATACGACCTGCAATTTGTGGCAGGTCAGAGACCAAACTCCGGGATGACAGTAAAGATGGTCCATACTGAGAGATCACTATCTGGTTAGACGCAACAAAACATCGCTTGATCATATAACCAACTTTTTAATCAAATGTGCTTCCAAACTCTACCTTTTAGGAGTTACTTATAAATTGATGTGGATCTCTTGCTCACCTCACCTTCGTTTACATTTCTAATTATAGCTCTTTCTCTTACTATAAAACTCCCAAAGTATTGTAGTCATTTTCATATACAGTTTCATAATCATTCGCTTCTCTTAATAGTCTTCACACACAGACACACACACAAACACAGACTTCTACTCTTATTGTTTGATGATGATGACACTTCTCCAAAAAAGCCGAGCCATAGAACAAGATAAAGGAACAGTTTGAGAACACACCTTAGTTCCTTCCAGCTGACCGACGTGTTCAATCATAGTAAGGGCATCAGCCATTATTTGGCAAGGATGATTATAATCAGTTAGGCCATTTATAACAGGCACACTCGCATACTTTGCTAGATCCAATATATGCTACAAATGGAAAATCATTAATTATTTCCCTCGGGAGCTCCACAGTCATGATCGAAATTTACAAAACTCATCAGCATACCTGATGAGCGAAAACACGAGCCATGATCACATTGTTATAACGAGACAACACACGAGCAACATCGCGAGTTTCCTCCCGCTTACCCATTTGGATGTCGTGGGGGCCCAAGTAAATGGCATGCCCTCCGAGCAAGAAGAATCCAGTCTCAAACGAAACCCTTGTTCTCATCGATGGCTTAGCAAAGATCATAGCCATTGACTTCCCCTTAAAAGGAAGATACCCCCTTTCCCCGGACTTCAACAATGCCTTCACTTCAGCTGCCCAGTCTAGAATCTTCATGATCTCTGCCTTGTCGAAATCGTCAATGTGAAGAAAATCCTTCCATTGTGGTTTCTCTGAACAAGACAAAGAATTCAGTGAATAAGCAAGCCCACCAAGACTGCCAAATTGTGGATAGCAAATAGGGATTCAGAGCAGTCCATATTCTGTTCAAAACCCTAATGAAATCAGCAAAGACTGAAGCGGCTCTAGCGCATCGAGTTACTCAAATTGAAATGTTAGGCGGAAAATGGACTGACCTTTCCCGAAGGCAGGAGATGGCGGCGAAGATGTGACGGAGGAGCTCTGACAGGATATTCTTCCTCCGTTGGCCCTAAGCTGCGGCGAAACGAGGGAGAGCTGGGGCGTCCGCAAGAAGAGATTTCCGGAGAAGGAGGAGGAGGATGGGAGTGGGAGCTTGTTGTTTGGAAGAGCAAAGTGGCAAGAGACGGCGGCCGCCATTGTTAGGGAACTGGAACAGTGGCACAGCAAAAGCAGCAGTAGTCGGAAAATGAGAGCTTGTAAGTTGCGAGAAGCCGAGAACGAGAGGTTTTAATGTTTTATAACTTTATTCTTCCTCTTCGCACAGCCGAAACGACATCCTCCCTCTGTTTAAAACGGCAGTGACTCGCAATGACACAACACCTAACAATGGCCAAGTGTAACCAATGGAAGGGACTGCAGTATAGTGGCTCAAGTGATAAATATCGAATCCAGGGTCTCTAGAGTTACTATTACTCAGCTTCAGTTTATTATTTAGCAAACCAGATTAAGATGAAAGAACTAAAACTACTCTAGCAAACTACAGTTAAAGTTCATCTAATTACAGGTTGGGAACTCACTTAGGTATGATTCCCCCTAGCCACTAGCCAGATTAACGATTGATGATTTCCAACTTGTTTCACTTTCATTCACAATGCGGAGAATCCTTGACTAGACCTTGAGTCTCGACTAAAGGAACAAGGCCCTCTTGAGTCAATTGCCTAGAGGGACGTATCCTTCTCTAGAACAACTGATCAAGGCGTTCTAAACTAGACTCCCTCTATCGAAAGAGGTTCTCAATCGATACAAAGCAGTGAATCAACCCTCGACTAAAGCAATCGATCCACTACTATCAATCTATGGTGCTCTGTTGACCTAATCAGGTATTCCCTCTCATAGGATCAAAGCGAATCATTAATCTCGACTAAAGGAGAATTGAATCATGAAAACATGCATAGATTGAATATGAACTCAAGATTATCAAGTCAGAGTACTCATACAATCATCCAATCAAACAAACATAGCTAGGGTTCCTCAAAACCTAAGTGAAGGGAAGTTACTCCATAGAGAAGAGAGAGACTGCAGTAAGAATCTTCAGATGATCAGTCTTCAAGTCCGGGCTTGTTCCTCGAACTTCCAAGGCGAAGTAATCCTCCAATTCCACTCTTAGAATGCCTTCAGATCGCCCTTTCTCTCTTTGGTTCATCGCTTGGGTGTTTGGGATCCAAAACCCAGCTCTCCCCTTTCCTTTGGCTGAAAATCGGGTTTTAACCAGCAATTCCCGACTCACACAGGCAGGCCGCACGGCCGTGTGGCTCACCCAGTTGCCCGTGCGAGTCAAAACGCAGCGTATCACTTAGTTGAATTCCGGGCTTCTTACACGGCCAGGGTCGCACGGCCGTGCAGCTCACCCAGCCTGGCCGTGTGAAGCCTCGCAGAATTCCACACGGCCAAACTGATCACTTGCACGGCCGTGTGGATTTTCTGCTCTGCCCGTGTTTGCTCTCGCACAATCCCACACGGCCAAACTGATCAATTGCACGGCCGTGCGGGTTGTGGGTGTGCCCGTGCAGCTTCCTTTGTGACTTGCCTCGCGCCCGATCTTCGCCCAATCGACCCCGAACTCGCTCCTAAACCTTCATTCACTTGCCAGGACCTGAAATATCACAAACAAGCACAACCTAGCGTGAAATCGGTCTAAAACACGAGAAACCACATCTCAAACGGTGTAAGAACAGGGGTGAAAACATGTGTAATTAACGGTCTATCAGGCAGCTCTCCACTCTCCACCACATTATGTTACTATAAAGTCCAAATCATCTCCTAAAAATCCTACTAGTCCAATTAATTTAAATTTAATTCAATTGTATTGCTGAATTCATGTATTGGATTCATTGATATGTCAAAAATTATACTAGTACATGTAGTTTGTATTTTGATACCTAAATAATAATTGTTGACGAAAAATATAATTCAAAATAACTATGTTGGTATAAACATAATTATTTTTTACATTGTCTTATAATTATTTGTAGATTCTCAGGAAAAAAAAAATTCATCTATTACTTGGAAACTTAATTATATTCCCTCTGAATTTCTGTTGTATTATTCATTCAGGCGAAAAGTGAAACCAAAATGATTGAACCAGCATGCATCCCCAACCCACCAAATTATAAAGCCAAACAAATTACTCATTTTGGCACTACACTTAGAATTCCAATTAAGCAGTCACAGCTCCAGTTTCAGCACAAATCTTCCCACCAACAACGGCTTTTTCTGAGACCAACTTCTCCTCCTCCTCATCTCTTCCCTTCTTGGAACTCAATGGAATTAAACCCTTTTCCCTACAAGTATCCACAGCTCCTCGAAACATCTCCTCCAGCCCATACTTGAACTCGAACCCCAACTTCTTCAGCTTCTCCGACGAGAAATTCACCTTCTTCAGCTGGCCTCGATCGATCCCCTCAAACCTAAAGACCATCCATATTTGCTTACTTAGAATATACTAGAGGAAAAACATTCAACGTATAGCTAGCTAGCTAAATATAGAGCAAGCTAGGGTACTCTACCCTGACGGGATATCGTATTCGGGGTACTTCTCCTTGAGAAATTCGGCAAGCTCGTAAATATTGATGTCGTCGGTGTTGCAGATGTATCGCCCTTGTGCTTCTGGATGCTCGAACAGGAAGATGTGGGACATGCAAAGGTCGTCCAGATGCACGAAATGGCACTGCTCTATTATGGAATAATGCGCTTCGTTTCCTGTTAAGATCGAAGGCAAAAAAAAAAGAAATTAAGTACTGCTGCCGCGAGATTTTGTTTCCCCACTTCTCCTAAAGTAATTAAAGAATCAAAATACGGGGGTAATTACAATTAATTATCCCTGGCCTACCAAATACCTGTAATGAGGGAGAGAGCTGTGATGAGGCTGGGAGGCATGGACTGCATAATGAATGGCCCAACCACCAGAGTTGGTATTATGCTAATGAAATCCAAGTTGTTCTCCTTAGCAAACTTCCACGCCTCTTTCTCTGCCAAGCTCTTCGACACGAAATACATCTGTCGATTGATTTCCATTACACCAAACAAAGAGGATTATGAATCAATCAAATGTACATAACAATTCCACAAGACAATAATCAAAATGGATGGTTTTAGGAAATACCCATCCGGTCATTTTGACTCGTTGGATGAACTCCAAATCGCTCCAATCGTTCTCGTCGTAGAGTGACTTATGGTGCTCTTCCACGTCGACGGTGCCGGCAGACGAGGTGAACACTATCCTCCTCACGGTTTGGGCCTTGGCGCAGGCCTTCATGATGTCCAATACCCCGTCCACCGTGGGCTTTATCACTTCATTCTGACCCCAGCGTATAAACAACGTTACATCACGTCAAACAAAAGAAGAAAGAAAAAAAAAATGGTTGTCGAGTGAATTCACTTATAAATATTTCGCATTACTTCGGGATCGGCGGAGTCGAAATCCATGGGAGTGGCGACGTGGAAGACGCCGGAGCAGCCTTGGATGGCGTCGTCGAAGCTGCCGGGGACGGAGAGGTCGGCTTTCCACAGCGTCAAGTGGGTCTTTGCGTTCGGCAGCTCCACCAGATGCTTCACTTTCTTCTCGTCACCTAACAAATCAAATTACAACCCCAAAAAAAGTTCGATCGACCGATTCGGTTCATTATTGCTGGTATGATATGACGATCATCAAACGGCGAGACGAATTGGTAGTGATCTCTGAGATGTGAAGGGAAGGAAATTGTAATGTTACCGGGGTCGCGAACCGTGGCTCGAACCATGTAGCCTTGCTCGAGCAGCCTCATGGTGAGCCATGACCCGATGAATCCAGATGCACCGGTGACACAAACCGTCTTCACTTTCCCTTCCGCACCCATTAGTTTTTTTTTTTCCCGGCACTCCTGATTTGATTGTGGGGTTTTTTGTTACTTTTTTTTTTTTGTCGGGTTGGAGAAATGGGCGCCTCTATTTATACAAAGGGGAAAGTTGGGTAATGGTTTGGTATTCTAGCTAGCTTCGGTCACGTGACCAACCGACGGTCAGACGCCACGTGGCGTGGTGGTTGGAGAAATGCAAGAGCTTAGCTACCAGAACGTAAAATAAAGATTTGCCTTTTGTTGGACTTGGGAGTTGGGAGGAGACGTTTTCCCTTTTGTTTGGGAATGTGGGGTTTGAGATGAGTCATCCCTTCCAATTTTCCGTTCTTGGTTTTTCCTTACAGGTCTTCTTCACTGGTGGCTTTACAAACGTATCATTCGAGTGCTGATACGCGAGGTGCATGAATACTACTATTTGTTCAACAAAATCTTATCTAACTGGTATGTGATTTTCTTTCCTAAATTAGTTCCTTATGATTTTAATTTGGCTCGAATGTTACTTTGCACTGAATGAGATCTGATAAAATCAAAATGAGTTTGAATTTAAGAATTAAAATAAAATGGAGTTACCAACTCGTCATTACGTGGTCTTTTTCGGTTGGATCCTTTAAAACGAGACAATCTAATCAAATTGATCCATTATAATTCCTCATCCAGCAAACAGACTCTTACCTTACCTTACCTTACCTCAAACTCTTTGTTTTAGTTGATTCGTGATGACTTTGGTTGGTTGGATTTTCCAACCCCAAAATTCACATGGACAAACAAACTAAAACTCAGCAGCTAATATCTAAAGTTGGTTGGACAGATTTGATGTTAGGTGTAAGGAGAACTCTGAAGCTTGGACTATCGTCACCAAAGGATATGACCAACTTTTAAGATTGTGTTAGATATATATATAATAATAATGTTAGGCTTATTAGCAGGGTTGGGCGGCTAGGGTAGGCCGATTAGGTTAGGATTAGTTTATTAGGTTTTGGGTTTATTTCCTATAAATATGTACTTTGGGTTTACGTCATAATCAGTCAAGAATAATATTACAGAAAGTATCCTTCAAACCCTAGTCTCTAATCTCGTCCCTCTCTTCCCTAAAGGCCGTCAGTCATTCTTCTATCTCAACCCCAATTATGTTCTTCAATCCCCAATTCTCATCTAAATCCCTAATTCCTAATCTCACCCTAAATCCCTAATCGTCACGAGTAGTTGCGAGTGCCGAAGATCAGTTCCTAGAATTCCTAGAAGCGGGGCTCTTTCAGATTGGGATTTGATTTGGAGGATCTTGAGTTGTGCAACTTACGTTGACACCATTACATTACCTCTCTTGTCTTGATCCGAGGATAAGAACTGCACCAGAGGCCAGAGCCAGAACAGAATCAAGTTGGACCTAGTTGCAGTACGGTTCGATCCAATTGTGGTGCGATGCAGTTAAACCACACTAGGTGTCACCACTAATATGCCTCGACAGCAATGTAGTGAAACAAGAAGATTGATTGTATTTATTTATATGATGATGATGATTGTTGACAACGGGGAAGTTCTTTCAGCCGGCCACTACTACTATTTCTTTTCATACCTCGGGGCTCGGAGGATGTTTTCTCTACATGAAATCTACTGTTAACTCCTGCTATTATTATTCTAATGCTGCTGAAGCTAGGAAATACAAAAGCTTTTGAACCTAAATGATGGTTTCGTCTCTGATCGTCGCGTTCTTCAGGATGACTGTGATCCCTGACCGTATATAGAACCCTTCATCTGGTCTTTCTGCTTCCTCAACACCCTGATGAAGTTTGAACGAAGGAAATGCCATTTCAGATACAATTCTAAGAGAAATGAGCAATGAGGGATGGAACAATCTTACGTCGGTGTTTGCGATGACTACATCTCCTCCAATTCTGGCATTCTTGTCGATTATGCAGTTCCTAGAAGCAACGAATAAGAAAAACTGTTAAGCTGGTTGAATAAGCATTCTAGGTTCAGAATAGGGAAAATGGAGTTTGGAAAAACTTTACTTGATTTTGCTGTTTGGTCCAACTCCAATAGGGACGTTTCCACGTGCTAGTGCAGATGCGATTTCAGCTTCTGTTTGGTAATAATCAGCTCCCATCATCATAGTATCCTGCAAGACTTACATGTACTGAGATGAAGTGTTTCTTCAGCAACTTAGGAAGGCAAGAAATGCAGTGTGTAGCCTACCAGTAGCTCGACACCAGTCTCCAGACGAGAACGAATACCAACTATCGAGTGTTCCACGCTGCACTCTCTTAAGAAGCAGCCATGAGAGATTATGGCATTGACAATCTACAGCAAGGGAAACAGACATGCCTAAGACATCAACCTTGGTGGAAGAGGGTTCAAAAGTTCATTATACTTCATACCCTGCATTCATCAACTTTAGTAGGGGGCAAGAATCTCGGTGATGTGTAGAATGGTGTCTTAGAATCATAAAACCCAAACTTCGGAGGCTGCATGGAATGATACATACTTATTAGTTTGCAGGATCAGTAGTAAACCAAGGAAAAGAATAGGGAGGGGTACCAACCTGTTCAGTGAGGGCTAGATTGGCATCAAAGAAGGATTTTATCGTACCAATGTCTTCCCAGTAGTCGTTGAACAGATAAGCCTTTAACAAGTTTAAACAAAATCAGCCAAAATTCCTAAGGAAAATTTCAGAAAATTGAAGACAATCGAGTTTCACCTGAACATTGTGATCCTTGACAGCAGATGGGATGATTTCAGAGCCAAAATCATTGCATGAGGCATAGCTAGTGTTCAGAAGCTCCAGCAAGACATCAGTTCTGAACACATAAACACCCATTGATGCTATGTAAGGGTATGTCTTGGCTTCATCTTTCGATAGGCCGAGGATAGTTGTATCGACTTGCTGCAGCAGGAGTGGAATAGCTAAGAATGAGGGAAGCGAATTACAAAAGCTAAAAGAAGAAGATATAAGATATGCTGTATTACTCACCATTGCTTTAAGTCCAGGGCCTTTAGGTTTCTCAGAGAATTGGACAATTCGACCTGTGTTATCGATCTTCATCAGTCCATAATCTGACGCTCGGCTGTGAAATACAAGGCGATCCATTCATCAAATCCATGGTAAGAAATAACCATCTCAGTAAGATTTCTAAGAAATGGTATGAAAGGAGAAAGGATGATGAGGCAAAGACCTGTCATCCATGGGCACACAAGAAACTGTGATATCAGCATTCGTATCAACATGTCTCTGCAAGAACACAATGGATTAATAAACAAACCAGAAATCTGGGATCAACTTTTGCAGATTTAACCAGATGAAATAACAGATTGAATTACCTGAACAAAATCCATGTAGTCCATGCGGTAGAGATGGTCACCAGACAAGATTATTACATGTTCCACATTTTTGTTCTTGGCATCCTGAATAAATGGCAGGGAAGAAAAAGCATAACCATTCAGACACATTCAACCTGCAAACTTTAGATATAAGGATTGACAATTGATCACCACCTCAAAGACCCAGATGAACTGCCTCACAGCATCAGCAGTTCCTTGGAACCACCTCTTTCCTGTTTCTCCAGACGTCTGGGTAGCAGCAAGAACCTGTAGCCATTCGGGATCATACACATACATCTCCCCATCAATCATCATAATGTTTCCCCAATTCCACTGACAGAATATACTACGAACAAGATTACCTCCACAAATCCTTCTCCAAAGTTAACACCATTACCAAGGTTATACGCACGGGCTAAGTGACGATTAAGTGAGAAGGAATTGAACTGCGTTAAGACGAATATCTTCTTTATACCGCTATTGATGCAGTTGCTCATTGGAACATCAATAAGCCTATAACACCCTCCGATTGGTACCTGCAAGATGGGGGAGGAATCTCGCTTACAACACAAAATTTTCCACCTTTTCTGCAAAACAGAATTCAGTGGAGTCCATTTCTCACCGCAGGCTTAGCTCTTCTGCTAGTCAGAGGAAACAAGCGTGTCCCAGCTCCTCCACCCAATATGATTGAAACAACGTTCTTCGGATCGGCTTTCGTTCCAAACATCAGCGTGTCAAGTGCCTGGATCCATAACATGACCACTCAAATAAGAAAGCTTACTAGTCTACACTATAGCACGCAATTTCTTTTTTGTTCGACAATGAGGAAAGTTAAGAAGTTCATGATATCATCAATCATCATCATCATCGTATATTTGCTTACCGCAGTTGCTTGATCAAGATCAGGCGTAAGAACAGAGTTGATAACTCCAGGCCTTGTCAATTTACAACTCCGGCTGTTGAGCCTCGCACTCTTCCATGGCTGACCTCTCAAATCCCTGCTCTTCATGCTTCCCTTCACATTCTCTCCCCAGAACAAGGACCCCCCTCTGGTGATTCCATTACCCGCAGCATTGGCAGCCTTCAACGAAACACAAGTGGAATCCATCGCTGCACAACCAAACCAAGGGAAGAATGTAACTCAAACGGTTTAAATCTCGTGCCTGCCAGAGAAGGTAAAAGATAGGAACATTGAAACAACCTAGAAAATGAGTACAAGATTTAAGAGATCATTTCTAAACAATGATGAAGAGGGAGCTAGCTATCTTGGCATCTTTCCCCCACAGCTTTGACAGCGAGCACCACAAAGCCAACTTGTTAAACCCAGTGGGGAATATGAGCGAACACTTGGTGGGGATGAGCGAATCTTAGAAACTCACCAGCAAAAATGGGGAATTCCGGCTAGGACAGAAATGGTGCAGGGAAGGACAGCCGTTGAAAGCGAATAGTATCCGGTGAGAGAAGACAGAAAGGGTGGAGAAGAAGCTAGCAATGATGTGGGTTTTGAATGTTGAGCGGAGTGGACAAATGGGTGAGTGCCATTTTCGTGATCGGGTACGGGCGACTGTAATCAAGCGGCGTTGCTATAGGGGCGTCTCTCGAGTGCTGAGTCATGACTGGACTTTCTTCCTCCCAAATTAGTACGTGGAAGAAGAAAGGGTGCACCTTTTTGTTTTTTTTTTTTCTGTCAAATCTTCTCTTAGCTATTCTAGTCTCTCTACTTTATCCCTTTGCAAATAAGTACTTGTATTTGAAAAGTATAACCTTTTGCTATTATTTATTCATTTAAAAAATAACTTGAGTAGCAACGGCAATGAGGCAGGTCCGAAGCGGGTATCTCGATACCCATTCCCGTCCCGTGGCAGGTCGGTATGGGTCGGGTAATTTATTATGGGGCGCGGGTAGGAGCAGGTCGACCCATTGGGTATATAATTTATGCGGAAAACATTAGAATTGTTCGTTATTTTAATTAAAAGACCAAGAAAGAAATAATTTGATAAAATATAGTTAAATTATTGGAGAAATTGAGTTTTTCACTTATTTACAACTTTATTATACATAAAATATGATATAATAAGAGGAAAATCCTAAGCAATCTGACTAAGATTACATGTAACTTAGGCCAGAACGGGTCGAGAATGGGGCGGGTCAGGGCAGGTTGGGTCGATGAGAGGTACCCATTCCCGCTCCGTCCCGCCTACGGGGCGGGTCGGACTCGCCCCAAAATAGGTCAAACAGGTCGGGTAACTCGGGTCAAGTCGAAATTGCCATCCCTAAACTTGAGTGATAGTTTGTGTCATTTCAAGCAAATAATGCATGTATTGTTTGTGCAGAAAATTAAAAAAAAATGCATTGTGGACTATACATGCATTGTAACTATCCCAACCAAACAATCACCAAAAGCAAACGACCCCTTAGTTTGAATTGAACTAGTTGAAGTTTAGGGGTGGGCAATGGGAAATCGATGTCTGCTTACATCCATACCTGTCCTTTTTTTTAACATTATGGGTACTAAAATAGTCGTAAGGAACTTCGTGACTGGCTAGATTGTTGAGTTTTTTTCCGTAGAATTGAGTTGTTGAGTTTCAGCGTTTCAATGTTTGTGTATTTATGGGTTGATTGGGTACCCTTCAACCCATAAGAGTTTGAGAAATTAAATGAATTTTCCACTCCAAAATGAGATTGAATACCTGTTTCCGTCCCATTGCCCACCCTGTTGAAGTTAGGGTCAATGAATATTTGATAAGCATATTAATTATGACTCACATCTCCCGGTTCACATAACGTTGCAAGTTTATGTTTTCCTGTCCACTTTTACTGTCAAGACTCAAGACTTGCTTTTGCTCTCACTGTTTTTCACTTGAGAATCAGAAAAGATTCATTAATTGGGCGGATTAAATGGTGGAATATGAATTTCAAACATATGCAAACTGAAATTATTAAAGAGTAAATACATGCTTGAGTGGCGAATTTGTACAATAAAAGAATTAAGAACTGAACACAGAGTACTATTTGGTAATATTCCTAGTTCAGACAGTGGTGAACCAAAATCGAAAGTGGTTATTAACCAAAAATCATAGAAGCCGGCGTCCATTTCGGTTAAACTAAAAATATCAAAACCAGATTCCGAGGCCTATTCGGGAAAAGAGGAACGGCATCTACTGCGACCTCTCTCGGTTTCTTAGACCCAAAAGCCCACTAACATAAGCCCATACAGAAAACAAAGATAACACAGGCCGAAGATAGTCCAAGTCGTAGAGCCCAGAAAGCCCAACGACCACTAAGAAGATCACCTCATCTTATCATCTTCTCCTCACTGCCTCGAGCTTTCACCTCTCCACTTCTCCAAAGCACCGATGGCGCAAACATTGACCAACGCTTTTCTCCAAATCAGGCCCATCTCTCCTCCGCTGCTCTCCGCCACAAAGGTACCACCCAAATTCGCACTCCGATTTACTTCTTCTTTTTCTCGGCGTTCCATTTTCGGAGGGATTGTTTTTCAATGCTTCTTGAAATTACAGGCGAAGGCTGGCGGTGGAAAGAATGGTGGCGGAGCCCTGCAGGTGACGTGCCGGAAGAAGGAGATACACCCGGAGTTCCATGCGGACTCGAAGGTGTACTGCAACGGGGAGCTGGTGATGACCACCGGCGGGACGCAGAAGGAGTACAACATCGACGTTTGGTCGGGCAACCACCCTTTCTACCTGGGGAACCGCTCCGGCGTGCTCGTGGACGCCGACCAGGTCGAGAAGTTCCGGAAGAAGTTTGGGGAGCTGACCCAGATTATGCAGATCCCCGTGCTGAAGGGCGAGATTGTGTTGCCGTCGAGGAAGAAAACTGGAAAGGGCAAGAAGAAGTAGAGAGAAAGGAATTTCGTGGTTGGTGTGTGTGTGTGGAGGTAATGGGTTCCAGTTTCGTGTAATTGAGTCTGTTCAGTTTGAGAATTTCGAAGTACAATTTGCCTGCAGATAATGTGTTCGATAAAATGCCCCAGTAAATATTGCACTTATTAGTTGTTTCTTTCATCGAGTTGAATATTATACCAATTCTCTTAGTGTTCATGGCGGATTCGATGCTGAGCATTTTCGGATGGCCTAAGAGAAAAAGACACAATCTTTTCGCATTATTCATTCTCATAGTGTAGTACTCGGATATAGTTTACAGTCACAACTGATAACTGTATAGTCTAATGCGTGCCGTGGATGGCTTATTTAAGCAAACATGAAACACCATCATCAGCATTCAGCAGCAGCAGCATATATTGCAGTCTTTTGATTTCAGCAGTTGAAGTAGCAGAAGCAAGCAAATCCAGGGAACTGTGCATGACAAGCTCCACTAAATGCTTTTTCCCAGTTCTTGCACTGTCGATTGCAGTTGCCAGAGTTTGCGCAGATCCCTGACCAGGTTTTGCTGCGCCTCTGGCAAAGTTTTGCTTCTGTGATAGGCATTTCTGCATAATTTCATTCAATTCAATTTCAGCATGAAGGTGTGTTATGAGCAGATGTCAAACAGAAACTGTGTTAGTTTTAGTTATGAAGCATACCTGTTGAAACTAAGAGGAAGAGGAATAGGATGATCAGGGCAAGAGAACCCATATTAGCTTCTACCTTAGCCATGCCTACTTTATTTGATGATCTTTGAGAATGGAAATGTTGGTATGCCGATTGCGTTGCAAAGGTTACCTACTTATACTGTTACAGAAGTCTTATATTTAGAGAGTCAGTGTTGTGTTGTGAGTTGTAATCATCACAAGGACTCAATTCCAATTAAGCGGCGGTAGATGCGAAAGAGTCAGCTTTCCATGGAAGAAGATAACAAGCTAGCTAGTGTATGGAGGTCTGACTTTGGATTTAAACGATGACAAAAGACAAGAGCAGGGAAAGCTTATCTGCAACAGAGATCAAGGTTCTCGCCATGATTCCTATATATGAATCCAACCACTATTGCGCGGCTGCTGACGTGAAATTGTTTATTTAGTCTAAGTTCTTTGTGAGCAGTTTCACCAGATTACTTGGTCCGACCGTGGTTTCCTTTTCCCGGCGAGTAAAGGGGCAAATCATTTGGCTTCTGTGGGGATGGTCGTCGGCGAGCCATGGCTAGTTGGATGGATAGGGGAAATTGGATTCGGCTGTGGGACGCTAATATTCTCCCCAAATTGAAAGTGTTCATCTGACAAATTTTTTCCCCATATCCTGCCTACGATTGAAGCGTTGCTTGAAAGAGATGTCCAAGTCCATCCCAGGTGTCCAGTTTGTTGGACGGAATCGGAAACGATGGAACATTTGTTTCTTGAGTGTCATGTGGCTAGAGTGTTGTGGAATATCTGGGACAAGGGCTTCTTTATCATACTTTCCCGCTTTTCCTGAAAAAGTTGTTGATGCTCATCCATCAACCCCAGTTGCTTATGGCAGTCACTGCGGTGCTTTGAAGGATCTGGCGGTCACGGAACTAGGTTGTCTTTGGGGGCAAGCAGTTTGAGATCCCAACTTTAATGAGGCAGTATCACCAACAACTTCAGAAACGGGTCAGCTTGCCGGTTGACAAGAATCAGCGATTGTCCGTCCCATATATTCAGCCTTTGGGGGTGGTACACCCTAGTGCACTAGTCTGTAGGTGGGATGGGGCAACCAAACATGTGTTTCATTCGACAGGAAAGATGGTTATAATGGATCGAGTTGGGTGATCTTTTTTGCTAAAGGGGTTCAGTTTGACGGGATTGATGATCCGCTGATTGCTGAGATGCTCACTATCCTAGAAGCTATTTTTTGGTGCCTTGAGTCCGAATTATTGGAGGTGAGACTAGAAGGGGACGCCAAGGTGGTTATTGACAAAATCAATCAAGCAGTTACAAGAGATAGCCGGATTGGCGCTTTGCTTTTGTAGAAGTTGTGGATTGTTTAGCGCTTAATAGTGAGCTTAATGTGCGGTTTGTAGTTCGGTGTAGTAATAGGGTAGCCTATTTGATGGCTAGGAAGACCCTTCAATTGTACCTGAGTACGAGTCGTTTCTTTGATTTTGTGGCCTGGTTGCGCTCTAAGATGTAATTATCTATTTTTTGATCAATATATAATTATCTTTTATTAAAAAAATCATTTGGCTTCTGTATGTTGATCTCAAATGTGAAGCTATGAGGTTAAGAAAAACCCCACCTATCTACTCATGCTTGATAGCATACAGAAGTCACTTAAATTTGGGTTACTAACCCTTTCCGAAGATTCCCAACATTGACTGGGGACGAGGAGAATATGGGTAATGCTCGCAAAGAAAATTAACAAGGATCGTTTAGTTGTCCCACCCCCATTTCATATTCATAACCACTTCATATGTAATTCTTATACTATCTACATCTTCTTCTAAAATGTAAAAATAATATAACCCTAAACACCTTTATGTCACTTTCCCAATTTCATCGCTAAATATATGTCGCATTTTAACCTTAATTTTCCTTGTGAATTTAAAATCTTGTTATGTGTCTCAAACGTGGGACATAGAACCACCTAGAATGAGCTTGCTCAATTGTTTTGTGGTGGAGTACTTTCCTCCTTGAAAGAGGGACGACATCAAGAAGCTGATTTTGCACTTCAAGTAGAGAAGTTTCGAGTTGTTATAAGATGCATGGTTAGATTCCCAAGGCCTTTTCACTTCAGCATGCATCATGGATTTGCCACGAACATATCTTTCGACGAGGGAAAGAAACCAGGATCTTGGTCAACCAGATAACTGATGGGAATGCCAACAACGGCGGATCTAGGGGGCCATCCCGAGCTACGGTCCAGTCCTCTCTAAATCTAGAGCTAGTATAGCTCTTGCAAATTGTCGGTTTCAGGTATTCATTTCAGTGTTCGATAGGTTACGACCCAGTTCTCTCCACCTCTTTTCAAATTTGGTCTAGTGCTCTATCCTATTTTGGATTCGCCGCTGGATGCCACATAGGCATAACGCTCAAGCTACTCTATAGTCTACACCACTTTACTGAGATAATCACGATAGCCAAAAATGGACCAGGAGGACTGCTTTATGGACGATTCGAGCATCTAATGTACACAACTGCGAACAAACTACTTTTTTATGCAGGTGGAGGAGCTGACTAAGCAGCTGGCTGAGCTCCCAACTGAGAAGATCAATCCACCCGCCACTACATGTGTTTACACCAAAAATTAACCTTGTACTACATCGGTTAAAAACAAGGAATTAAATGGCTTATAAGGCCAACTTAATCATATCAGTTTAAATCAGTTGAGTGGGCCATGAGGATTGGGTTTTTGGGCCCATTACTCTGTGCCACCACGCGCGCCATGCATCTCCAAATTTGGCTAAGTATGAGAGCCACCCTAGGACGTGGCAAGGGGGTGGGCATCATACCGCCACCCCCATGACATGGTGAGGGGGGCGATGGCCAAATTTGGCTAAGGCAAAGAGTATGGGAGCCACCCCCCAGGACATGCAGAGGGGGGTGGCCATCATCAGACCACCCCTAGGACGTGGTAAGCGGGTGGGCATCATACCACCACCCCAAGAGGGTACCAAGAGGGGTGGCCATCATCATACCACCCCCAGGACGTGGTAAGGGGGGTGGGCATCATACCAACACCCCCAGGAAGTACCAAGGGGGTGGCCACCATCATACCACCCCCAGGACGTGGTAAGGGAGTGGGCATCATACCACCACCCTCAAGAGGTACCAAGGGGGGTGGGTACCAGACCACCACCCCCATGGTGCCTTGGTGAGACGAGAAGAGGTAAAATGTGGCTAAGTATGGAAGATGATGCGGGTGGTAAGGAGCACCCCCATGAGGTGGTCTGGGGGACCACCAACATACTACGCCCATGGTATGATCAGGGGGTGGGGAGTCACCAAGTCCAGCTCCCATGAGGATGATGGGGTGATCCATATTTTCCCCATGGGGATGCCCCCAATGGTATGGTGAGGGGGTCGCCAAACGTACACCCCCATGGTATGGCCAAGGCAAGGGGGTTACGTGAGCATGTGGTCTCTTTACTCTTCTAATGGTGAAGTAATATTTGTCATTTTTAATCCATGTGATTCAAATACTCACCCATATGTGGTACGTGGTATTCTTTCATGCCTTAGCCATCGTTACTCTATGGATAAGCAAAACTACGGAGGATATGCCAAGAGCATAGGTTGAGATCTCAAGAGGAGGGGGTCAAGACTGAAGAGGATCCCAACTCCAACATCAGGGTACCCGTCATAGCAGTTGAAAGGGTAACCGTCACTCCACGTCGGCAGAGCAGTTTCTGGGGGCAGTTGCTTCTGATGGCTATAAATAGGAGGTGAAGATGACGGAGAAGGGGTTCGCCAAAATCACACCAGACAACACAATGTCAAATTTTATCCTTTTATCTTTACCTTTTCCTCTGCAAATGTAGTCATAGCCATAGTTGTAGTTTCGGAGCTCTCACTGAACCTCCATAGGAGTGGAGTTAATGTAATTTAGTTTGCCTTGTAGATCATCAAGAACATCGAACACCCTTGTTTGAACTTTGTTCAAAGAGGTGTGGACCGTGTTTGTTAATCGTTTGTTTGAAAGTCAAAGATGCAAAATCCAATTCTGTTCATCTAGTTTTTCTCGCCCGGAAAATTACATGTAAACTAGATTCCTCCTATAAAATTATCATAATAATAATTATGTTCAATAACTACCTTTGGAATAATCTGCGTGGAAAGGGCAGCAATCAGTCAAAGGAAATGACCTAGAGATCACCCAAATAAACAAGTGAAATAATTGAGGGTGAGTATGTGTGTAGAAACCTTTTAATTCATCATCTATGCCAATTGCCAAACCCCTAAAGTAGTGTTGGATAAAAGCCATGCCAAGAATAATTAAGGATGATAAGTTGTTTTCCACTTAGGATAGGATTAGTAACCATCAGTTACTAACTTATGAATCACTAAATTTGGACATTTAGATCTAAGTGGGTCATGAAAATTCAGATCTAAGGGTTGTCAATTAAAAATATTTTATTTTCCCTAGTTTTCTTAATCGATTCTTATTTTCTTCATTCTAACTTGGATTTCAATTTTTTTTTTTTTTGCACAGATGGAACGAGTTCGTTGTGCTCTACAAAATGAGATCAATTTTCAATATATTTCGAGAAACTTTTTTTTTATCAACTACATACCATATGGGAACTTCTTCGTTTTTAAGTCGTTTTGAAAACGTTTGCTCAGAAGGAACGAGTTCATCATGCTCTATTGGATCTATAAATTTCTGGGTGAAAAAAATACTGGATAAAAAATAACCATACTTTACCACTATGGTATGTGGGTGGTTACTTGTAGTAAACAATAATGAAAGTCGTAAATGACAGTTAGTATACTCCTACTATCATGTATTCAACCTTCTTACCATATTGGTATGTTCATACCATCATGGTAAGCTTTCTTACCATATGGTATTAAATAGGAGCATACCATATGGTAATGACTAGTACAAAATTATTCAATTTTTTTTGTACTAAAAATATATCAAAGTGGATATCATTTTAAATAGCACAGTTAATCTGATTTATCTGTGCAAAAAAATTAAATTTCGACTTAAAGCGAGAGAGAAATCGCCCGTTAAAGATTAAAGGGGAATAGATAAAAGACTTTCCAGAAGAGAGAGGATATTGATTTCATGCTGATGTGGACAGATTATTCATGGTTACTGACTGTACATGGGCGCTAGGTCGTGCTTGGGCCGGCACGGCACATGCACGTTTCGGGACCATTTATTTCGTGTCGTGCTTGGCACGGCCCGTCAGTTTTCGTGTCGTGCCGTGAAAGCCCATTTGTTAACTTTGCTAGGCCCGGCTCAGGCCCAAGCACGGTTCAAATCGTGTCGTGCCTATTCGTGCTCGTGTCGTACTCGTATTCGTGTCTAATGAAAAGGAAGAAATTAAAAGAGAGAATGAAAAAGAAGGTGAAATATTGGACGGAGAAAGATAGTATTCATCGAGAATGTTTGAGAAAAGTAACAAATAAGGGGGACAAGAAAATTGAAAGTATAGCGGGTGTGATTTGACATTGTTTAATTTTTCATCCATTTTTACTTATGGTAGTAATTACGTGTATATCTTTATGACACTTCTAACAACAAATAATTATTTTTCTACTTGTATTTTGTAATATTTGAACCTATAATTCTTTCTATATTTATTTTCTATCAAATGAATGTTATTTTTGTTCCATGTTCGTTCTTATACTCAATAAAATCTCAAAAATATTAGGCCCAACACGGTCCACTTATATATCGTGTTGTGCCCGTGCCCATGAAATTTAGGCCCGACACGGCCCATAAATTATTCTTGCTTGTGTCGGGCTGACCTATTTATTTTGTGCCCGTGCTCGTGCCGTGCTAGCCCGTGGGCGGCCCGACCCGGTACCTACGTACACTACTGACCATAGGGTTATTGACCTAATCCGTTGATGTTGTTTTCACCCTGAGTTTTCTTTTTATTATTACAAGAAAAGTATAGCATATGCTAGTTGTGTCGTAGCCGTATAGATGTTCATTCATGTGGTAATTGAGAAGATTTTTTTTTTTTTATTACTGGTGAAAATTCAAAGCGTGGATATGTTCAAACAATACATAACTTCCAAACATTTGTTTTGATAACAATATTATTATTGACGAGAATATGGAATCAGCCCATTTTAATTAAACATAACGAGTAGGGTCTTTCAGGTTTGTTTGTAAGTTGTGAGTTCAAATATTGTATTGTATCAATTCATGTATTTGTGAGATTAAGTTGTTTTTTGTTTTGTTTATATTGAATTAGAATATATGCATTAATTTTTTGAAGGCCCCACCACAATCACTCAAAATTGAGAGATTATCAATTTCTACATTTTGTTGAGATTCTTCTCAATCACTCAAAGTTAACTTTTATGACTTTACAACAAAAACAAAATCTAAACCTCCAAATAATATATTTTCCTGATACATCAATTAATTCAATACATCAAATGATAATACAATAATTGACTCAATACATCAATTTGAAGAACACCACTTCCAAACGACCCCGAACCTCGAGTATTTTTTTTAAAATTTAACTAGCGGACTTTCATTCCAAATTGTCTTTTAATTTTGGTCACGAACACTGTAATCGAGCATGCGACAGATTAAACTTCATACTAATTATCGAGAATTGTTTTTCCACTATAGAGTCTTAAGTAGGTACCATAGAGAATTTTTCTTTAGACATTGTATGCATATAATAATAAGATTTTTTTTTATTTCCGAGTTATATCAAGAGAGGACAAGAGTTATACAAACAAAACTACCCAGAAACCCCCTACAAGCGACAGCCTAGTGAAGCCACCCAAAAAATTCGAAAGACTCTAACTCTAGAAAAGACAATACCAGTGCTTTACGCGCCACTCTATGGGCAGCACTGTTGGCATCTCTAGGAGTTGTCTTAAACTCTATACAAACTGACAAAGAGTCTACAAACTTACGACACTCCCAGAACACCAAACCTCCAAAGGAATCTTCTAGAACACCTAGCTGAATCTAGTTGACGACCACCCCGAGATCACCTTCCACTATCATGTGAGTCAAGGATCTTGAGGCGATGATAGTGATATCATCTCTTGTTGCTGGGAGCTCTCCCGTGTACAGGTTGACTATTCCCCGGTGACGCATACCGGCTGCCAGCATCTCATGCCCGTCTGACCCACGGATAACAAGAACAGACGAGCACCCTGAGTCATGAACAACAGCATCGAAGTAGATCTTCAAATAGTCGTCTGGTGGAGGCTCCCAAGTGGCAGAAGGAGGAAAGGGGAGGAGCAATTTGGGGGTGGAGGAGGGGGCGAAAAAGGATACTTCAAGGACCTGGTTGTAGAATTGTATGACGAGGGCACGAACATGAGGTTGATAGAGTTGAAAAGTCACTTTATTTATAGACTTCCAGATTCTCCAAAGTAAACAGATGCATTGGAGAATGTGGAATGGTGAGATCTCAGAGATCATGACAAGTCGCCACAATATACTAAAATTATCAGTCGGGGCGGACTCATTGAAGTTGCTCAAACCCACTAAAGTCCACAACTTGGTGGCGAGGGGCATCTGAAAAATAAGTGCTCAATGCTCTCTTGAAATTATGATTGCTACACGCTTCTTAATTTGACTAGTCATATGAACAAATCACTATCACTCAAATGGTTTTCCAGAACTCAAACAACAATCTCTTACAATATTTATATTTATTTTCTATAGAAGAGTACCTATAATTATAAGACAATAAATTTAATAATTTGAATTAATGGTAATATCACAAATTTATTCAAAGCTCTTAAAAGAGTCATAACCCGTTTACAAAAACGGTTTTGGACAATTAATGTCCCTTTAGCTCCATAAAGGAAACTTTAATGATGAAACCATCATTGTAACGGTTCGTCATATTACGGCGAAGATGATGCCAACGATGACCATCGGAAAAAGATTAGCCACCAACCATTGCAGTTTTTTTTTTTTTGGTAAAGAGGAATTCCCTTTGGTAATTATCACCACAACTGTCACCAACTGGAAAGACCAGCGGACCTGCTCCTCCGCTTGGGAGCTCCACGGGCCACCACCACCGCTTTCTCCGAAGCGCGAGCTGCATCCCGTTTAGGAGGGATTTTTTTTTTGCCAATAGATAACTTGCATTACCAAGAAAAGATAAAAAGTTTACAGCACGGACCTCGTCCACAAGCGAAAATCAAACATCTGATGTTTCCAACCATTAATCTCCTGCAGAATTGCACCACCTCTAGCATCCATCATATTGCCACGATGAATCTGATTCACAACGACCTGCGCATCCCCAAGGTATTCTATACCCTGAATATCATGCATTGCACACCAACGAATAGCATCCCTAAACGCCGGAAGTTCCACCAGGTAAGGATCCACCATACCCTCATAACGGAAACCCAAAGCGAAAATAATTGAACCTGCACTATCCACTATCACCATTCCAGCCGCACCATGAGACTCGGCGCACACAGCACCATCAATAAAACATCGAAAAGGAGAGGGGGCAGGACCGGCAAGGCAAGCAGCTGGGCAGGGGGTGGCAAATTGGAGCCTCATCGTTCACACTCCTCCATTCCTGAACCTGCAGAGTGAATTGGCGCAAAGGACTGGGGTTGTATATTGTATACCATCAAAAGCAACCCAATTACGGGACTTCCAAACCCGCCAAAGGAGTGAAACAAAGGCCATGATTAAATCTGGATCAGCATTCTGCTCAAACCATCGACGCAAAACATGGCAATGTTAAACCCCGGAACATCTAGCCTCGAGTGCATTAACCCCGATCCTTCCCACAGTTCGCAAGCCACGCGACAGTGGAGGAACAAGTGCTCAATGGATTCACATTCATAGCAACATACCGGACATTGTGAGGGTACAATATGTCCCTTCTCCCGCGAAAAGGAGAGGGGGGCAGGACCGGCGAGGCCAGCAGCTGGGCAGGGGGTGGCAAACTGGAGCCTCATCGTTCAAACTCCTCCATTCCTGAACCTGCAGAGTGAATTGGCGCAAAGGACTGGGGTTGTATATTGTATACCATCAAAAGCAACCCAATTACAGGACTTCCAAACCCGCCAAAGAAGTGAAACAAAGACCATGATTAAATCTGGATCAGCATTCTGCTCAAACCATCGATGCAAAACATGGCAATGTTAAACCCCGGAACATCTACCCTCGTGTGCATTAACCCCGATCCTTCCCATAGTTCGCGAGCCATGCGACAGTGGAGGAACAAGTGCTCAATGGATTCACATTCATAGCAGCATACCGGACATTATGAGGGTACAACATATCCCTTCTCCCGCAGCGCTTCCATCGTCGGCAACACCTGGCGCATAACTTGCCACATGAAAACCTTGAGCTTCGGAGGAATATTGAAGCCCTAAATCCTTTTCCAAAATGCAGCATCAAACCATGACACCTCTTCTTTCCAACCACGTCCAGATCGACTAACCTGAACACCCAAGTGGTACCCCGACTTGACAGTGTACTCCCCAGAAGGATCCTCCCCCATAATAAGATTAGGGTAATGAGAAAAAAGTAGTAAAGGTATCTAATTAAAACAAGGTTGTCAACCCGCGGGTTGACCCAGACCCGGTGGAGCTAGTGGGTCAAGGATTAATGGATAAACCGGTGTAGCCCGATTTAGCCCCAAAAATATGGAAATAGTCATTATATTGTACTTATCCTGATAAATTATATCAAATCTCATCTAACATATGAGTTATATCCACCAAAATAACATTTCGTACTTAGATCCAACATATATTGAAAATTTACACACACTTATATAACATATATATTCAAATGTTTAAATTAGGATTCCAAAGATAGAGTTAGGCGAAAAGATAAAATCGGAAAATAGGCGCATTTCGCAAATCAAAGAAAAAATGACACAATTTGACATCTAACCCAATACCTTGTACCGGTCGACCCGACGGGTGCGTGCGGCCCGTTTTTCTCACCGGGTCAGGGTTAAAGTGGGTCAACCCGCGGGTCGACCAGCGGGTTAACAACCTTGAATTAAAGACATCACCCTAGTTTTACCTAGTCAATTAAACATGAGCACTGGGTATAAGTAATTCATCTAATCCCAGATTAATATGTTAAATGGCCGTTTGGAAATGACTAATCATAACACCAATTAATTAATTCCCGAATAGACAGAAAGACCGTTCGAACTCTGTTGACCACCAGACAGTCAATCCCGCGACAGGATTTCATGTACATATCCTCTCTGCTATATATCCCCGGCCCATGTCGTAAACTAGTTTTGGTTAGCCCTGCAAGAAAGAAATACTTTGCGTAGATAATTCATGCTTATTGATATGATTAAGCTTATGGCAACATAGTTGGAGTTAAGTGATCCATAAATGGACTCAAACTTTGACTACATGCATTAAAATGTAATTACTGGAGATCGATTACCATGTTGTGTAGTATTCGGGATAAGACTTGGATTTTGTAAATTTTGGGGGACATTTTTACGCAAAAAGACGGTCTATTGGAGACTAAACTGGTATACAAGTTTTAGTGATAAGAAATAGTTGAACCGAACTATTCCATTCCACGTAGCAAACCGATCCGGCCACAAACAGTTTTAATTTATTCATTCATGGGCCATTAGCCCACTACCACTATAAACCCCAATTGAACTCCCAAAAACCGGCCTATTGGTTTAGTAATTACGGAATACAAGATAGTAGAGTACCACGAAATTCCCCTATGATGGACCTGGGAAGGGATTCACGTGAGACCAATCCTCCTCATCCTCTATCTTTTCTTATCCAAATTAAAAAGATAACCTTTTTCTGGTTTACCATTTAACTCGGCTTCCTCCATTCTTATTAGTTATTACCTATCTTTATTCTTCGCTTTGTGTGATGAAATTCCCCTTTTTTTCTCCCTTTCACTTTGGCTTCACCACTTCTGCATGCATGGTGATGGATCAATGGTGGGCAATTACTAACTCCCGCCTCCATCATGGAACTCCCATGCACCCTCAACGCCCCCCAAAGGCTAACCCTAAAGTGGTTCACTCAAATGATGCACAATCCCAAGTCCCAACCAATAAAACTTTAACGTTCTCTCGAAAATTTGTAAGAATTCAAATTCTAAAACCACCCTGATAATAAAAAAAATCTTTTCTAGTAGGCTATCACCACAACTAATCATGAGCGAGAGCTTCAGTAAAACATCCACCAAATTCGAACCCGCAACTTTTTTGTTGTGAAATTGTAGCGATATCGTTAGACTAAAAGAATGTTTTTTTGTGTCCGGAATGATAATTATTTCATAGTGATATAAATAAATTGTTTGATTGAGTGAACAAAACACAAGAATATTGTATAGAGAGGAGTAATTATCAATTGCAAACCATTTAAAAAAAATTATTAATTGCAAACATTGTACGTAGCTAAGCTATGTAGTATCGAATTGAATCCCACGATGATGGGTTGTAATTAATTTGGGACCGAGAGGGAATGGATCTTCTCATTGGGCCGATTGGTAATAATATTGTTTATTGTACACAATAATAAATCATCATTATCATCATAAAATAAAACTTCCATCACAATACAAACAAATGCATAAAGATGGGTGGACCAATTTCCTGATTTCTTAATCCTTAATATTACCCTTTTCTCAAAAAAAATTTAATCTCCCTGCAGAAAATATAATAAATTTTTATCATCATAATCGACAATTAAGTTTGGTTGGTGGAAAATGAAAAAGAAATGGATGGATTATATTTCATTGTCTCTTTCGATCCCTACGATGGAGTACCTCTATTCCCGGCTCTGCCTTTTGTTCATGTTTGTGCGGTACGGTTCCTTTTGTAGCTCGACTGCGACTCATCTTATATAGAGAAAACTGAAAGAGCTCAGAAATCCTAAGTTTCTATTATGTGAGAAGTGTACATTTATAGCAGCTGAAAGCTGTTACTGAATGACCAAAACCTACGGAAGATTGCCTGGAATTATGTAACAGAACATAAACAGAATGAGAGAATTGGGGAAGTGGGTTGCCGAGATGTGTGGAGTTGTGCTGCTCTATCAAAAATCTCTATAGTTCTGAAAATTAATTAATGACCTTTGAGTTCTTATGAATCAAGTAATTAAATTGAAATTGAAGTTATTTATTAGTTTTTATGCGAGATGATTTTGATAAAACAAAATTCCAGGTCATAATTATGAAATTTACTACTTCCAAATTCCAATGAAACTCAAATGCATGCATTTTGATTTTTTTGAATTCAGTAAAAGCTTTTTTTCTTCTTAAATTCCATAACCAATAAAAGCTCACTACTTCTCCACCTTCAAGCTTTAGCCGAACCTGTAAAAGTATGATATGGAGGAGAAAGTCATGAAAAATACTAATAAATATTAGAGAAAAATAGAGCTAAATCTAACCGGGATAAGACAAAAAAAAAAAAAAAAAGACCCAAGTTCCATCTACTATAACTTGCAAGTCAAGTAATACACAGTTCGTAAAATTAGTAATAAAAAATCAAGATAAGCGAATCAAGCTGAAATCTTCCTACAATCTGAAAAAATTGGTAATCATTCATTTTTTCCTTTTCTATGTGTAGTTGTTTTTATCAAGGTTGTCAATCCTTTTAGTCCCGTGGTCCGGTCGAGCAAGCGGGTTGAGAATTAATGGTTCGACCACACTTTAGTTTGATTTAGCTAAGGGGAAAAAATCATTAGAATGTTCATATAATTATAAACTATATCAAGTTTCATATAACATATGAATAATAACATATAAAGTTACACGAAACACTAGTTTGTTTTTGAATCAAACATATAGTGAAGGAGAAAATAGAAAAAGAGAAGCATTTCCAAAAAGAGAAGTAGCTAAGTCCTGGCGCATCCCACTTCATCCCCAGTGTAAATCAATAGATCTAACGTATCTCTGCTTTGCGGATGATCTATTGATTTTCACTGAGGGGCTCTAAGTTATGTTAGGAATCTGTTGGAGGAATTCTATTGTATGTCTGGGCTTAAGTGTAATCCGACCAAGACAGATGTCTTCTTTGGCGGCCAGGCTATTCAATACAAAAAGAATGCAGTTCGAGTTTCTGGTTTCAAAGAGAGCATTCTTCTTGTTCGTTATTTGGGGCTTCCACTGCTTTCTGGAAGACTTACTAGTCGTGAATGTGGTGTGCTAGTGGATAAACTTACTGCTCGAATCAGGTCTTGGCATGCTAGCAAGCTTGCTTATGCAGGGCGGTTCCAGCTGGTATCGTCTGTTCTCTACTTTATAATTCAGTTATGGATGAATATTTTTTTCACGAAGAAGATTATTATCAGAATCCAAAAGATCTGTTTTGATTTTCTTTGGTTATCTGTTTTGATTTTCTTTGGTTTGGAGAGGATTCTGGGAAGGCTAAAGTGGCTTGGGAGATTATTGCTAACGCAAGAAAGGAGGAATGGGATTGAAGGATTTGTAATCTTGGAACGTGGCTTGTATAACACGTCTTCTATGGATGCTCTTAATGCGAAGTGGTAGTTTTTGGGTGGCATGGATTGAGAGACATAGACTGAGAGGGCGCTATGTTTGGGAGTTCCCTATCACAGCTACGGGATCTGGTATTTGGCGCAGCCTGCTAAAATTGCGAGGGTGGTTTCATTATAGAATGGAGCAAAATTCTGCAGGAGAGGTAACATGGGAGGGCAAGATTATCACCAGATTCTCCGTGAGTCAAATATGGATCTCTATTAGAAGGAGGAAACCAGTTGTGCAGTGGTAGAGAGTGATATGGAGTAAATTTATTCTGCCTGGCTATCGTTTCTTGGCTTGTCTGGTTATTCCGAATCAAATTACTACTCGGGACAAGCTTAAGGTGTGGGGCAAAATTATTGATGATGCTTGTGCAATGTGCAATAATGCAGGGGAGAGTCGAACCCATCTTTTCTGTGAATGGCAGTATGCATTGCAACTCTATGCCACTGTATTCAGTGGGCAGGTGCAACAGTGGCCTCGTGACTGGGATGATTTTTAGCGCACGGTCTGTGTTGAAGTGAAGAAAGGGGGAGTGTATGGTCGTGTATTTGCTGCAATCTGGTGCTGGATAGTGAGCCTGCTCTGGAAGGAGCAGTGTTAACGCGCTTTTGGTAGCAGTTGGGTTATTAACACCGGACCGAGCTGGTCGGCCGGATCGCTAAAGCCGTCATCCGGCCGCAAAACCGGTTCGGGCCAGTCATTTAACCGTTACGGTTTTATGGAGCGGCCGGTGAGCGGCCAAGACGGTTAATCACTCGAGCCGCTCGAATCGGTTGCTCGGTTTTCCCCTTCCGATTGTTCTGTTTAATAAAAAAATTGAAAACGAAAGGCAAAATCGTGGTGTTAGGAAAGAAACCCTAACTCTAATTCAGTTTTCGTCTTCGACTCTTCATGAACGGAGGGAGATGAGCAGCACCAGACCCTGCCGCCGTCAACACTTCCCGTCCTGGCTTTCCGTCGGCATCGTCGCCATCCCCAGTCAGCGTAGCAGCTCCCAGCTCGCCATCACCAGTCTCCCTCCCAGTCCCCTCTTCTAGTAGCAACTCCTCCGCTCTGTCGTCACCTCCCATCCCGGCGCTTCCCGTCGCTATCCCCAATCCCTATAGCCGCTCTCGGCTCCCCGCTCGCATGTTTTGGAATTTTTAAGATTTAAGAGTGTAATTTACTAATTTAATCATGGTTTACCATGATTAAGAAGTGTCCACTATTTATACTGATTGTTCTTTAGGTACCGGTTTTCTGATGGTTGTTAAACGGTTTAATGTCGGTTGGACCGCTAAAGACCGAGTCGTTCACATTATCGGGTCATACTCCAGTTCGCTTTTTACAACATTGAGTTAAAGTGATTGGCCACTTATGTTTGATCGATTTATATAGGGATCTATTATTATATTCTTTTGGTAATGATGTCTTTCGAGGAGAGGTGCAGAGTTTGTCCTCGTTTAGTAGGTTGTTGTAGGTATTAGATCTGTTATAGTTTTGTGGATACTATCCAGGTTTTTACGACACCGTGTAACCTCCAACCGTAGAACCTTGTTGCAGGTCACCCCACAAGTTTCAATACAAAGTTCAACCGGTTTGACAACTTTGGTTCTTTATTTTTCTGTACCTATTAGTTAGATTCTAATGATTCAAAAAGTGCCGCTATTACCTAATTCTCCAACACTTAACTTTTTTGCCCCTTAGGAACTCTCTCTTAAAACTCTCCACCTATAAAACCCCTCCTCCCCCAATTCCTTCCTCCTCAATTATCTCGCCCAATTCCTCCCTCCCTTACTAAAAAAAAAAAAAAAACAATCCCGTAAAATTAAATAATTTCCCCAAATTGGTATTCTCAAGCTATCCCGCATTCCTTCTCCGGAAAAACATTTCCCAATTTGATTTCCACAGAAAACCATACACCGCCTTCCTCTTCTTCTATAATACCCTTGTTCGTCGACCAAAGTTATATGAACTTAAACAATGGCTTTCACTTCTAGCGACGACACCTTCTACTCTTTGAAGGCGGAAAAGGCCGACGCCATAAGAAAGTTTCACCAGCAGCAGAACCTCTTCTACTTCGGCCGGCTGCTCGCCGCCTCACTTCTCCTCCTCTGGTCCTTCAAAACGCTGCCGTTTCTCACGCAGATGGCCTCCGCCTACGTCTCCGTCTTCGGCCAGCAGCTCTGCGCCTTCCTCGTCGCCAACGCCATCGTCGTCTTCGTCTACCACTTCTCCACCGCCGCAGCCAACAACACCATCGCCGCCGCCGTCGCCGTCAATTCACCATCTTCGCCCTCTCCTTCCTCCTTCCGCTCCGATGTATGCGACGAGTACGTCTCGCTTTCGTCGGAAAGCCGGCGCCGGCCGGCTCTCGACGGCGACGTAGTTGACGAGCTTCCACCGCCGGTGGAGATTTTGCCCCCGCCGGAGGATCACGCTGCCGCCGGTAGCGATCTCGCCTTGACGGAAGCGGCGGCCGCGGGGGACGGGAGTACGGAGAGGCGGCACCGGAGGACGAGATCGGTGGTGGTTGCGTCAACGACGGCGACCGAAGGTGGTGGCAATACGGACCGTCACTATAAAGCCTTCAATGCTCAGAATTGCGAGAAGAAGGAGCTGCGGCGGTCGGAGACGGTGGTGGTGAAGGCGAGGACACCGGCCGCCGCCGCCTCCGCGGCGGCGCTGGGGAAGAGCTTGAGCTTCAACCAGGCGAGGAAGTCGATCGAGGAGATGAACAACGACGAGTTTAACATGACGGTGGAGAGCTTCATAGCGACGAAGAAGCGACTTTTGCGGGACGAGAACATCGCGCTTTTCGAGACGGATTACGACCGTCGCCACGTGTTCGCTGTCGCCGCCTGTCCGAGGTAAATTTAAAGGCGGGGAAAGCGAAGAGGGAGGGAGGGAGGTCGGTCGTCTAATGAGCTTCCGCCGATGATAGTGATGAATGATGATGATCAGTAATTATTATCATTACTATTATTATTATTATTATTGTTAATGATTAATTAGGGATTTGGGAGTATTAATTTCGTTTTTCGGAGAGTTGAGGAGGATGAGGTTATTAGCTATGTAAAAAGACTAAAACAGAGACATTCAGAGAGTTCCTCTTTTATGGAACGGGAGAATGGGAAGCGATGAGATGAGATGAGAGCCTAATTTTAATTATGTTACAGTGTTAATAATGATAATAAAAAGGTTATCCTTAATTGTTATTATTATTAATTTTCAGTTTAATTTTCATTGCTCCGCAGTTCTGATTTCTGAAACATCTTCTTACCAAAAGCTCTGAAACGTCTAATCCGGTGCCGTTTTGATCCTTGTTCCCGACAATTTACAGGCTTAAATTCTGTTTCTTGTCTGTTGGGAGACTTGGAGTTGGGGTTGACTTCCTATTTCTTTTCTTTTCTTCTCTTGTTTTTCCTTTTCCACAATGATAAATACACGATTAATTTAAGATACTTAAGCTCTTTTCTTTTTATTAAAAGAATTGTGAATGGAAATATGTAGAACCAATCATTGAGCTGGGTAGTCATTTCCACATAAGTCAGGCTTAGCTTCTTTTAAATTTGTTGTAATAGATCTAGCTGTATAGCATTTCTACTATGCTATATAGTATTGGTGCTTTAATGTACAACTTAAAGTTGTACCATAACATGAAATGTATAAGTTTAGATTGTACCATAAAAGAATTTGTACCATTATGTTATGGTACAACTTTACAACTTGAAATTGTACCATCACATAAAGGTACAAGTTTAAGTTGTACCATAAAAGAATTTGTACAAACAGTATAGGTACAATATGAAATTGTACCATAACATAAATGTACATTTTAAGTTGTACCATAAAGACAAAAACCTATAGCACCAATACTATATAGCATTGTAAAATTCCTCCTAGCTGTATAATTAGTTCAAAAATTCAGTTCAAGCTCGTGATTAGCAAATCTTTACTAGCATTAGTAAAGTAATGTTAGTATAACCCAAAGCTTTATTTAATTTATGTATCAAAGAGTAAATTCGGATCTAAGTAATTAAATAATGATGATGTACTATTCTTAACTAATTATATATGGTGTGGAAGTGCACAACATGCACTGGCTTATATGCTATATCCATTCCATTATAAAGAATATATTAATATGGGCAGAACTCAATAATAATTCTTTTTTGTTCTCAATGACTGGTGTACCTATGTACTGCACAATCCGGCACCATCATAATTGTAAAATATATATATAATAATTCTTTTTGGGTCCACCCAAAATGCAAGATGAAATTTTTTTATTGTCAATTAATCGAACGACAATTTAATTTAGCAAAATTAACTATTGAGGTCTGCACGGACCTATTCCTTGTAAGTTGCAACTCTGTGTTTACAGTTTCTATTTCTTCGAAAAATTAAGTGCCAATATTTATCGTTAATGCTGAGGTTAAATGAATAGTAATCAACGAAAGAAACAAGCTTTTGTTTATTAAATATAATCTCTTTTGATTATGTAAAGAAGGGGCCGCCTACATGATTTGTTTGCATAGGGTAGATTATTCATTAATTTTCTCGGAAGGAAGCTTTTCAGTTTGCCTAGACCACGAAAGCGATGGGTGCCGATCGATGGCTGTTTATTAATCAGTCTTCACAAAGGAAAAGTTATCTAATAATAATGGAGCCTTTGTTTATTTATCTAATCAACCAATATCTACCTCAAATTCCTTGTTAATTAAACTCGAGGACGTTTTGTTTTATGTATCAGAACCATCTTCCACTTGTTGGCTTCTAGGCAGGTTAAGAAAAGTTGTTGTTTTGAATTTTTTGATTGTTTTACAGTTTACACCACAAATTTTGTCTTGTAGCACATTGGTGAGTTACAAGATAATTAAGGAGTTTATAGGACCACACCCATTATAACAATTAAAGTTGTTTAAATTGGGCCTTATGGATATTGATTTTAAACCCAAGTCACTAGCTCATTAATGAGCATGGACATGATTCAATAAGGGACATAGGCCTCTCGTAAGCGGCCATGCCACGAGATGACATGAAAATTTCTAACTATGAGAAGTCCATGGCCGCGAATGAGGAGGCCATGTCGCCTCATGATCCAAAATATACTAAGTCTGAGAAGGTCATGCCGCCTCACGAGAAGGGTCATGTGCATGATTAAGAGGTCCATGGCCGTGTCATGTGATTGCCATGGACGCGAAGCAAGAAGCATTAGAAATGATTGAAAATACTAAGTATGGAAAGGGCATGCCGCCTCATGAGAGGGGCCTTGTGCATGATTGAGAAGTCCATGCCACTTCACAAGAGTGGCCATGGACACGAATGAGAAGGGCGTGGTGATGGAGCATTATATCACTAGTGAATATGTCTCAAGAGGTCCATGACCGTTAGACAAGAAGGCCATGGACATGAGTAAGAAGTTCATGGTCGTAAGACAAGAAGGCCATGGACATGAGTAAGAAGTCCATGGCCGCGAGGCAAGAAGACCACGACCCCCTTTGTGAGACACCACATGCTCGTCAAAAGACTAGCATGGCACGAGATTCAAAACAAGACCAGGCGAGGCAAGCTATACTCCAAAACCCACGACAGTTCCAAGAGAGGCACCTAGGCGGTTGAAGGAGTAACCACCACTCTGAGGAAGCAGGGAGCGGTTCTTTTTGGGAGTTATCCAAGAGGCGTTTTTCTACCGAAGAAGGAGGAGCGGTTCCAACAAGCGGTTTTCTATGGCGGTTACCTCCTCGGGGCTATAAATAAGAGGAGGGGTCAACAGAGACAAGGGTTCCAAAACCAACACTCTGACACACATGTCACGTTTATCCTTTACCTTTTCTCTATCATGTAGCCATAGATGTAGTTCGTAGTTTGGAGCTCTCGCGGAACCTCCATAGGAGTAGAAGTAATTTAATTTAGATCTCGTTCCCAAAAACCATCAATCAAACACCCTTGTTTGAACTTTGTTTGAAGAGGTGTGAGCCGTGTCTTAGAAATCGTTGTCCATAGAAGTCAAAGGTGCAATCCATCTCATTTCAACAAGAGTTTTCTCGTCGGAAAACAAATTTGGCACACCTGGTGGGACCATTGTGTTTTATTGGATGGCTCCACGACTAAGAGAACAAGAAGGTGATCTTTCACCTGGGTTCGTGATGGATCTTGTCGCCAATTTTGAACTTTGCCAAGAAGGAAAAGGATTGGTCGGAAACAATGGCAAGGTAGAGGCTTTGCCACCGCCGGCACCTTCTGTCAAAGTAACCACCACCGCTATGTCACGCCATTTGATAGTGGAGGAGACACAGAAGATGATGGTGGAGAACCGCCTGGCCATGGAGGAAAACCGCCAGGACATGGAGGAGAACTCCATTTCATGGAGGAGGGTTGGGATGAACTTGTTAGATGTTCACATCAGACAAGTCTCAAACTTGCTTCTCTTAGTTCCACCTTAGATAGAAGGTTGGACCAATTATTTAAAGTAGTTATAAAAAATAAAAATAGCTTGGATGAGTGTAAGAAAAGTATTATAGACCCAGTGGTACAAGAGATGTCTTTACCAAAAAAATGATATAGATTCACCACCAATCAATGCCACCGAGGATACAAGTCTTTTAAGCGACGATGGCCGGAATGCTCAACCACGGCCGATGAACTTGTCACCACCGGTGACAACTCAATCTCCTCTTCAACGTAGCAATTGTGGCAAGAATTTTGCCCCCACGTTCACTGCCCACCTCAAGAAACCATTTGTAAAGGGGCTTGCTTTGGAAACTATAATGACATCATTGTAATCCATGCCTAATGAGCCTGGTGCATGAAAACCGTCAAGGGGGCAACAAGGGGGGCATGGAAGCCTACCATATGTCAAGGAGAAATGTCAGGCTGGGGGGCACGTTGATGTAAAAAGAGGTGGACAAAGGGATGTGTCCAATGATGCACCGTTTTTTTTGTCTAAGTATGGACAAGGAGGCATGTCACCCACCATGAATAATGGAGTAATGGGTATGTCCAAGAATCCACATGGAGTCCAAGCCACACATGTTTGTGATAAACATACTAATATGGCTAAGTCTGGACATGACGGCATGCCACCAACCACAGAAAGTGGACATGGAGGCGTATCCAATAAGACATGATGTGATAAAGCCACAAAATTTTATTGTAGATGTAAAAATTTAGCTAATTATGGACAAGGCATGTCCAAGAAGCCACGTGAAATCCAAGCCACACATGCATATGATAAGCATGTTAGTGTAGCTAAACCTGGACATGGGGGCATGTCGCCCATCCTGAAGTATGAAGTAGGGGGCATGTGTTGGAAGACACAACAGCTCCAAGCCACCCATGGCTTTTATAAGTGTAAAACTATGGTTAAGTCTGGACAAGAGGGCATGCCACCAATCATCAACAGTGGACATGAGGTCAAGTCCAACAAGAAAAGACGTGGGAAAGCCAAAAAGAGTTCTCGTAATGTTGAAAATTTAGCTAAGTATGGGCAAGGAGGCATGTCACCCACCATGAATAATGGAGTAGGGGGCATGTCCAAGAATCTAAAAGAATTCCAACCTACACATGCTTGTGATAAGTACGCAAGTTTGGCTAAGTGTGGACAGGGGGGCAAGTCCATGTCCATGAGTAGTAAGTACATGCCTTCAATCATGAATGATGGACATAGGGGCATGCATAAGAAGGTATCATACGCACAAACCAGACATGGCCTCACAAAGAACCAAGGATGGTCATGTGCTAAGGGTAGGAGCCAACAAGGTTTGGAGGTTGAAAGACAGAGTCAAGTGGGCCACATGGGTGGTCGCCAACTTGTCAAGACTGGACATCGTCTCCAACAACATGAGGAGAGTAAGCATGTCTCAACCATGAGGAAACCAAGGCAGTGGAAAACCCATGGTCGTCTTGACATGTCAAGTGACGTGGCTAAAGCACATGGGCATGAGACCCCATGCAAGGCCACCAAGGCTAGACATGCTGATCATATACCACCCACTGGTAAGCTAGAAAATTCAAAATTAATGTATGGAGAATCATGTTCCATGTAGGAAAAGAGGCATGTGGTATATGGATGGCTTGCATGTTTTAATCCATGGACTTGGCAGTGGGTGTACACCTTTGGCGCATTAGTTGTTGCCAGAGGCAATGGAGAGCAGTGACGTTTGTCACTCCTTGTTATCTTAACTAAATAAATATCATATATATTATTAAATAAATAAATTCCAATCATGGATATATAAGAAAAAATAGAGAGAAAATAACAAAGTGGAAATTTTGAGTCGAAGTTATTAGACATTGATGTGAAGATCTTACCACCAGGTCGTAGTGATGGCTTGGCATACCGAGTCGTAGATTGCGTCTTGCCATGCTATGTCGTCTTGTCCTAAGTGGCCACCAGTTTGGATGTTGGCCACGACCTAAGGGCATCGTGGCTTGGAGATGAGTAATGGCCAATGACTCGACTCTACTGTCACCCTAGGAATTAGCCAAGTGTAACCACTTCCTAAAGCGTAGTATAGCGGGTTAGGTTTATATGTCAACCCGGGTCCTAGATCTGATGACTACTCAGTGAATTCTTGTTATCCAGCAATGAAACTGGAATGCAAGTCTAAACTATCAAACTAACAAAGCAAGTAAACGGTTGTATTCAGGTTAAAGAGGTCACCCGGATATGGTTCCCCCCAGACTGCAGTTAAGCCAGATTGTAATTACCAAGTTCAGTTTCTATGAAAGTTATACTGCGGAAGGTTCTTAAACAGCCTGAAGTCTCGACTAAAGGTCTTCAGACCCTCTCAATCTGAATCTCTAGCGGGCGACTAACCTCCACCGGAGTAGACAGATTGAGGCCCTAAGAACGAAACCTCCACTACCGGAGTAAATCCGGTACAGAATAGTGAGTTGGTTCCTCGACTAAAGTCACCAACTCCCTACCTTCAATCAAGGATACTCTATTAACCTAGGCAGATATTCTCATTCTAGGTTAAAGCAGAAACAACAGGAATTTGATCAGGATTCAAGTCATTCAATCATTAAAACCTCAATCGAATATAATCAATCATAGAATCAGTACTTGGGTTCATACAATCAAACCTAACATACAAATCTAGGGTTCTCCCTACCCAGATGAATGGAAGAACTACTCCATGGAGAAGAAAGCAAAAGCAGAATCAGACGCGGAATTCATACAGTGAAGGATGGATTCCTGCTCCTGGACGTTGGTCGGCACTTCTCCAAGCTCAAACTGGCCTCCAATGGTGTTGAAGATCAATCTAGGGCACTTGGAGACTCTTGTTCGTCGCTTTCTCTCTCTAGGAACTGATCTCTCTCTCTAAAACTCGAATCCCCTTGACTTGTGGCTGAAAATCTTCTTAAAAGCATCAGTGGCCAAAGCACGGTCGAGGACACGGCCGTGCTTTGCCTGAGCCTGCCCGTGTCTCGGCCAGTGTTAATTACACGGCCAGCAGTTGGGGAGAAACACGGTCGTGCTTCGCGTTGGACACGACCGTGCTTTTGTGGAACACGACCGTGCTTTGTCTCGGCCCTACCTGTGTAATCAGCTCAGCTCTCGGCATAAAAAGCACGGCCACCGGAACACGGCCGTGTAATGCTTTAGGCTGCCCGTGTTTTGGCTCCAGCTTGACGAAATGACTTCCGAATGCCCCGAAACTCGTGGTTGGCCTTCCCTTTGACGCCTGGGACCTGAAATATGACAAAATAGCACAACCCGACGTAAAATAGGCCAAAACACACGACTATGCCCCTCAAACGGATAAGAACTAGGGGCGCAAACATGTGCAATTACATCATTATCAAACTCCCCCACACTTAACCGTTTGCTTGTCCCCAAGCAAACCTAACTCAAACCAATGCAGCTCTCTAGACCTCTATAGCAACAAACAACCCAGATCGTAGATAGAGGACTTCCTAGGTCATTTAGCAACTTACGAGGTCAATCGACGCACAAGTCATCTCATAGCTTGTTTGGCGAGTCAGCATCATGGCAAACAGTGAACAGAGGACAAATGAATCGTGGATGGAGAGATTCTAAAAAACAAAGGATCATGGACTCACATTTTTCAAGGTGCTCTATTTTCTTTGAAGATGGTTGGAACCCCTTTTTTTTTTTTTGCTTGTTTTCTATTATTCTTCTTCTTTTTTTTTTCAAGGGTCCCAACCTGCTCTTACCGGCCATGCCAGGAGCGGATGTCTCGAGCCTCCTGCGGGGGAAAGACATGTAAGGGGGCTGGAGGTAGTAGGTGGAAATTGGGAACGAATTCACGTCTCCCCTTACACACTTTCGCCCTATTCGCACGGGAGACGTTTATTTGGAAGCACATTTTTGAGCACCTGTTATTTTCAAAACATGACACAAGAGTCCATGACAGGTAGAAAATCCACAACCTCACACAATTCAAGGGTCCTAAGATCACTAATTCACTCAATCAACCAACACAATATGAAGAAGAAATGAGATTTCTTAAATGCATCAACATCCTCCATAGTGCTACACTACCTCCCTAGGTTGCATATTACTATAAAGACTGTCAATTCAAAGCATACTGAGCAGGCAATTGCAAGGAAACACGTACTTGGAGCCCTCAAATTTAAAAATTTGGACAGTGGACTAGGCTCCAAGCACACAAACAGATCTAATGCAGTCAAAAGATAAACACCCCCCCACACTTAAGATCGACATTGCCCTCAATGGAGAAGAGGGAAGGATAAGGGGAACGATGTTACCGGTATGCATGGACTGCAGGAGACTGGAAGCGGGCCAGTCGAGTGAAGCGGACTGGAGAGGGGACCAGTCAGGGCAAGCACAGCCAAAGGGGAACAGAAGAGCTCAAACACAATATGTTAGGTTCAATGGTCAGCCCAATAAAATATCATCCAAACCAAAAGAAAACAAACCAAACCCAAACCGGGTTACAATCCGACTCAAAACACAAGAAAGAAAATCAAACCGTGGTGGGGTTGCCTCCCCACAAGCGCTTCTTTACCGTCTTTTAGCTGGACGCCCATGGTGGATACTCAGGGCGGTGCAGGAACAGGTTCCTCCAAGAGCGGATCCACGTCGCTCTTGAGGTACAGCTTCAGGTCGTGGCCATGCACCCGACGGATGCGACCACCATCATCAGTTAGCTCGACCTGCCCATCTGGCAAGATGCAGGCGAGTGAGTACCCGGACGGCCAGGGTGGTCGTGGTGCAGGAGGTGGGACCAGCTCATAGTGGTCTCCACGCTTCTTCCGTGCAGGCTTAGCAACCTGCGGCTTCGGCCGCCACTCCTCCTTGAGCTTTTTGTTCGGAGGCGAGACTGGATGGAGTGGCGGCGAAGTAATGATAGGAGGGTCCTGCAAAATGAGAGGAGTAGAAGGATACACGACAGGCTCGTGTACCTGATCAGAACTGGCATTCACAGGCGTGACAACAATCATAGCACAGTGATCAAACTCAGTCACAGAAAAAGTAGCCTGTTCATTCCCAGCACGCAGGATCAGTTTACCATCATGCACATCAATAAGTGCCTTGGCGGTGGCAAGAAATGGCCTACCTAGAATCAAAGGCACATCCACATCCTCATGTATATCAAGAAGAACAAAATCAACAGGATATGTGAATGCACCAACACCAACAAGCAGATCCTCTATGATTCCCCTAGGATGCACAATAGAACGATCAGCTAATTGAATGCTCATCCTAGTAGGGCTAAGTTCACCTAGGTCTAGCATTTTATACAACTTATATGGCATGACGTTTATGCTAGCGCCTAGGTCCGCCAAGGACTTGCCTACATGCATGCTGCCAATAGTAAGAGGGATAGTAAAACTCCCTGGATCCTTGCGCTTCTCGGGCAGCTTGTTCTGCAGGATAGCAGAACACTCCTCGCTCAGCATCACTGTCGAGAGATCCCCAAGTTTCTTCTTGTTGGTGCAGAGATCTTTCATGAACTTCGCGTACTTAGGCATCTTCGACAGTGCCTCCACGAACGGTATGCTGATGTTGAGCAACGGCGCCAAAAACTTGACTCGACTCTACTGTCACCCTAGGAATTAGCCAAGTGTAACCACTTCCTAAAGCGTAGTATAGCGGGTTAGGTTTATATGTCAACCCGTGTCCTAGATCTGATGACTACTCAGTGAATTCTTGTTATCCAGCAATGAAACTGGAATGCAAGTCTAAACTATCAAACTAACAAAGCAAGTAAACGGTTGTATTCAGGTTAAAGAGGTCACCCGGATATGGTTCCCCCCAGACTGCAGTTAAGCCGGATTGTAATTACCAAGTTCAGTTTCTATGAAAGTTATACTGCGGAAGGTTCTTAAATATCCTGAAGTCTCGACTAAAGGTCTTCAGACCCTCTCAATCTGAATCTCTAGCGGGCGACTAACCTCCACCGGAGTAGACAGATTGAGGCCCTAAGAACGAAACCTCCACTACCGGAGTAAATCCGGTACAGAATAGTGAGTTGGTTCCTCGACTAAAGCCACCAACTCCCTACCTTCAATCAAGGATACTCTATTAACCTAGGCAGATATTCTCATTCTAGGTTAAAGCAGAAACAACAGGAATTTGATCAGGATTCAAGTCATTCAATCATTAAAACCTCAATCGAATATAATCAATCATAGAATCAGTACTTGGGTTCATACAATCAAACCTAACATACAAATCTAGGGTTCTCCCTAACCAGATGAATGGAAGAACTACTCCATGGAGAAGAAAGCAAAAGCAGAATCAGACGCGGAATTCATACTGTGAAGGATGGATTCCTACTCCTGGACGTTGATCGGCACTTCTCCAAGCTCAAACTGGCCTCCAATGGTGTTGAAGATCAATCTAGGGCACTTGGAGACTCTTGTTTGTCGCTTTCTCTCTCTAGGAACTGATCTCTCTCTCTAAAACTCGAATCCCCTTGACTTGTGGCTGAAAATCTGCTTAAAAGCATCAGTGTCCAAAGCACGGTCGAGGACACGGCCGTGCTTTGCCTGAGCCTGCCCGTGTCTCGGCCAGTGTTAATTACACGGCCAGCAGTTGGGGAGAAACACGGCCGTGCTTCGCGTTGGACACGACCGTGCTTTTGTGGAACACGGCCGTGCTTTGTCTCGGCCCTACCCGTGTAATCAGATCAGCTCTCGGCATAAAAAGCACGGCCACCGGAACACGGCCGTGTAATGCTTTAGGCTGCCCGTGTTTTGGCTCCAGCTTGACGAAATGACTTCCGAATGCCCCGAAACTCGTGGTTGGCCTTCCCTTTGACGCCTGGGACCTGAAATATGACAAAATAGCACAACCCGGCGTAAAATAGGCCAAAACACACGACTATGACCCTCAAACGAATAAGAACTAGGGGCGCAAACATGTGCAATTACATCGTTATCAGCCAACTTGATCATGTACAATAAGAAAAGTGTAGGGGCCTCACTGAATTGTTGACGAAAAGCCAACAAGGCAAGGGTTTCTCGTGGCTACACATGAATGAAGACAACATAGGCGGCATAGCTAGCCACTTGAAAGACGTAGGTATCATGGTGTTGTTTTAGGGGTAAAAATTTCAAGTTTTATTGAACCTGTGGTCATGGGTGAGTAGAGACAAGCCTTGGTACTCGAGGACCAGTTAGAGAAGGGATATAAGTGGTCAAGTTGGTCTCAACTACTTAGTCCATAATCCTTATGCACTAAGTAGTTGGGGGGCATTTGTTTACACCACAAATTTTGTCTTGTACCACATTGGTAAGTTACAAGATAATCAAGGAGTTTATAGGGCCACACCCATTATAACAATTAATGTTGTTTAAATTGGGCCTTATGGATATTGATTTTAAACCCAAGTCACCAGCTCATTAATGAGCATGGACATGATTCAATAAGGGACATGGGCCTCTCGTAAGAGGCCATGCCATGCCACGAGATGACATGAAAATTTCTAAGTATGAGAAGTCCATGGCCATGAATGAAGAGGCCATGCCGCCTCATAACCAAGACCAAACGACACAAAAACATGTCCTTCTAGAATTTAGAAGCACATGCCATCTCAAGGAAGACCTCGATACGGTCAAAAATATTCTAAGTCTCGAGAAGGGCATGCCACTTCACGAAGAGGCCATGCCGCCCCATGACCAAGGCCTAATGACTGAAAAATAAACTAAGTCTGGAAGAGGTATATGCCACTTCAAGGAGAAGCACGTGCCGCTTCATGAGAAGGAGCATGGACGCGATACAAGATGAGACGTCCATGCCACTTCACGAGAAGGGGGCATGGACGCAAGAAAAGATACTAAGTATGAGAGGGCCATGCTGTGTCACGAGAAGGGCCACAGACATGACTGAGAAGTCCATGGCCGCGAATGAGGAGGCCATGTCGCCTCATGATCCAAAATATACTAAGTCTGAGAAGGTCATGCCGCCTCACGAGAAGGGTCATGTGCATGATTAAGAGGTCCATGGCCGTGTCATGTGATGGCCATGGACACGAAGCAAGAAGCATTATAAATGATTGAAAATACTAAGTATGGAAAGGGCATGCCGCCTCATGAGAGGGGCCTTGTGCATGATTGAGAAGTCCATGCCACTTCACAAGAGTGGCCATGGACACGAATGAGAAGGGCGTGGTGATGGAGCATTATATCACTAGTGAATATGTCTCAAGAGGTCCATGACCGTTAGACAAGAAGGCCATGGACATGAGTAAGAAGTTCATGGCCGTAAGACAAGAAGGCCATGGACATGAGTAAGAAGTCCATGGCCGCGAGGCAAGAAGACCACGACCCCCTTTGTGAGACACCACATGCTCGTCAAAAGACTAGCATGTCACGAGATTCAAAACAAGACCAGGCGAGGCAAGCTATACTCCAAAACCCACGACGGTTCCAAGAGAGGCACCTAGGCGGTTGAAGGAGTAACCACCACTCTGAGGAAGCAGGGAGCGGTTCTTTTTGGGAGTTATCCAAGAGGCGGTTTTCTACCGAAGAAGGAGGAGCGGTTCTTTGTAGCAGTTATCCAACAAGCGGTTTTCTATGGCGGTTACCTCCTCAGGGCTATAAATAAGAGGAGGGGTCGACAGAGACAAGGGTTCCAAAACCAACACTCTAACACACATGTCACGTTTATCCTTTACCTTTTCTCTATCATGTAGCCATAGATGTAGTTCGTAGTTTGGAGCTCTCGCCGAACCTCCATAGGAGTAGAAAGAATTTAATTTAGATCTCGTTCCCAAAAACCATCAATCAAACACCCTCGTTTGAACTTTATTTGAAGAGGTGTGAGCCGTGTCTTAGAAATCATTGTCCATAGAAGTCAAAGGTGCAATCCATCTCATTTCAACAAGAGTTTTCTCGCCGGAAAACATTTACCTACTCTTGAGAAAATAATGATAGAAACTCAAAGTATATGTATCTCATTGTTTAATAAACCACATATATTTATTATTTAGTAGTGAAGATCAGTTTTCTGTTTTATGCTATGCATGAGTGGAAAATGAACGTTTATTGACTATTGAGAGAAGTGAAAGCGAGGTAAAAGTGAGAAGGACGAATAGTGAAGAGCTGCTGAAATAAAGGATAAATAAAAAAAAATTTACATTCGACAATGCTGGAAAAATATTACATCAAATAATGTCGAAGTGTGGTTGTGAAACTCTAAACTTTGGTGATTTTCCCTGCATCTCTTGGTTTAAATAGGTGATTTTTTTTACAAAAGGTAATCATATATTGATTCAATCGACAAGATAATTACACCCTGGAATTAAGCCAGATCATGAAACCAAAAGAACGACTCGTGGTCGGGTACAAAAGAGGGCTAGCCACTGAATGGGCTACCCTATTACTACGCCGACCTACAAACCGAACACGAAACCCCGGATGGAGAGCAAAATAATGCACCACTTCTTCAAGAACATCACCAATCCGGTTATCTCTGGTATCTGCACGATTAATTTTATCGATAATAACTTTTGCATCACCTTCAAAACCCACCTCCGTGAATCCAAGCGCTAGGCACCATAACATAGCCTCACGGAGTACCAACAACTCCACCACCATGGGGTCCGTTATCATTGGGAACTGAATACCCTGGGCCATTAGAACCTCCCTAGCCTGGTTGAAAATGACCATCCCCCTGCTGCATGAGACCCAACCCTCGTAGCCCCATCCCACATACAAACATCCCTCGTAGCCCCACCCAGGCTCAGGTTCTGCACCAAAGGGATGGAAGGCTGAGGCATCCGCTCCACCGGAAACCGGACCCATTCCTCATATTGTTGCTAGTACTTGCGCATCAAAGCGGGGATCCCAACCTGCTTCCCTTCAAAGATGACCCAGTTACGCGACCGCTAGATCCACCCAAGGATAGCGACTACCGCCATGAACATGGGTGGCTGAGGAATCAGGGCCAGCAGGCATTTAAGAAAGTGAGGGAAAGTATGGCGAGACAATCCCCCCCCCCCCCCCAGATACTCCAAGCCCCCAGCGCCCCACAAGGTACGTGCCACCGTGCAATCAAAGAAAAAGTGCTCCATTGTTTCGGGGCCATCCCAGCATACCGGGCACCTAGGGAGAACGGGGACTTGCTTTTCAATAAGAGCCTCCGTAGTTAAAAGGATGCGATTGAGGATCTGCCATATAAAGATTTTGAGCTTTGGGGGGAATATCAGCCTCCCACAAACGAATCCAACTAGATTTATCCATCCAGCTCACTGTAGACTTCCAAACTCCCTCGGGCCTATCTAGATTGACAGCTAGATGGTAGGCCGATTTAACCAAAACCACCCCATCCGTTGTACCATGCCAGATTAGTTTATCCTGCACATTCTGGCGCGGAAGGGGGATAGCCTTAATTGCACTACACGTGGACAATGCAGTCAAAATCGGGATTTTGATCGTAAAATCATAGGATTTTACTTAGAGATTCCAATCCCGATTTTACTATAAAATCGGTGGACCTTAAAATCGTTTAAAATTAGGATTAAAATCGTTAAAATCGTACCAAAATCGGGATTTTGATCGTATGAGAACAAAATAGGTGGTTTGACCCAATTTAAAAGAAGCATAACTGTTTCAGCGCAAAGGGCAATGACATGAATCTTCTCACATATTTTTCTATAAAAACATTTAAAAATAATAAAAATAATCAGATTAGGGCTCTCTTAATCCATTTCCCTTCATTCCATTTAACTTATTGGTAAAACAATTGTCCTAGTATTGGAAGTATGTAAGAATTAACATTATTATTAACTAACTTATTTATTAATGAATATATTTATACCAAGCCACTAGCATTAACAAAATACCTCTTATAATTTCACTTTAACGAGACCTGAAGAAATAAATTAGGGGACATAACTGACATTTTCCCTCCCAATTTTTTATGTCGGGTCATCTAAATCTCGATTCAACCATGGTTGATGATTTTTTCAATGAAAATTTTGACAGAAGGACATGTTTGATAATTTTTCCAAAGTACAGGGATATGTTTGATGTAAAAAATAATAAAATGACATGTTTGATAAAACTGCATAATAAATGGGCATATTATACATATAACATCATAACTCAATGTATTCATCCATCTATTAGTTTCTTGTTTGTGAGCTAAATGAATAGTACAATCAATCCAGCAACGAAACGAGTGTAGTAAATGAATCTTTGGACTGCATAAAGAAGTGATGAGCACAGTACCGGCAACTCCATAAGCTGTAGTAACTCGATCTGTTTGAATAACGAATTGGATGGCGACAATGGTTAAGAGAATTTTGGGGGTTGTCCCCTACCGCAAGGAAGAAAGGATTTGAAAAAAAATCCTAACTTATTTATTAATGAACCACTGCGGCGATAAAGCAGCAAGGAGTGATCGGCCCGGGATGGTACGAAACCCAATTCACCAAGTGCTGTGGTGAATTTGTTGTACCAGTTCCAAGATGCCTGACGGAGACCGTAAAGAGACATGTGTAGACGACAAACCCGAGTATCACCTACAGCAGCAAAACCTGTGGGTACCTTCATATAGACTTCTTCCTCAAGGTCGCCATGAAGGAAGGCGTTGTTCACGTCTAACTGATGAAGAGGCCATCCTTTGCTCACAGCAACATCAATAAGGACTCGAACAGTGACCAACTTGGCCACTGGAGCAAAGGTGTCGTGCAAGTCGACTCCCTCAACCTGAGTGAAACCCTTAGCCACCAACCGAGCTTTGTACCGTTCGACAGGGCCGTCAGGATGGTACTTGATCTTGTAGACCCACTTCGAATCTATAGCACGCTTACCAAGGGGTAAAAACTCCAAGGTCCATGTCCCATTAGCCTCTAATGCCATGATCTCTTTAATCATGGCCTTGCGCCAACAGGCATGCTGAACCGCGGTACGGAAATGTCGGGGTTCAACAACCTGAGCAATAGCAGCCAAGAGCGCACGATGAGAATAAGGGAACCGATGATAACTGACATGGTTAGAGATGGGATGGGCGACGGCTGGCGAAGCAGAGGAACCTGGTAGATCAACATCGTAGATGGCGAGCTTAGCAGGCGGTCGACGATCGCGATCACTACGACGGAGAGGAGGAGGTGGCGGCGGCGATGGAGTATCCGCAAGCCCCGTAGCGGCGGGATCTGGTGAGCCCGCAAGGTCATTGGAGGGGGGTATGGTCGCCGCGTAGTTCATGGGAAGTGCTGGTGGAGTGACGTCCCCAAGCTCGGCATGCATGGGAAGTGTTGTTGTTGTTGAAGGGACGTCCCCAAGGTCAAAGGTGCTGGTGATGTCCTCGGCACTCACCATGCGATGCATGACCAAAGGGTCAAGCTCCCCCTCAACACGTGACGCGGGGGATGGGCCAGTAGGTGAACTCGATGACTGAAAAGGAAATTTAGTTTCCACGAAATGGACATCTCTAGAAGTATATACTCGCTGCAAATGGAGGTCATAAACTCGGTAACCTATCTGCGAGTGAGGATAACCGACAAACACACATCGGCGACCACATTCAGCGAACTTATCTAACCCACCTCGCGTATCCTTAGCATAAACAACTAAACAAGGCAGCCAAAGGCTCGCAAGTGAGTGTAGGATGGCACCCGACCCAGCAGAACCTCAAATGGCGTCTTAATATTAAGAACAGACGAAGGTAGGCGATTAATGAGATAAGTGGTAGTCAAGACGCACTCACCCCAAAACCGAATAGGTAGGCCTGCGCGAAACCGGAGGGCACGAGCAGTGTCAAGAAGATGCATGTGCTTCCGTTCCACAACACCATTTTGCTGAGGCGTGTTAACACACAATGTCTGAAGAATAATACCCTGGTCTGCATAATAGGTGCGCAGTGCCATAGTCTCAAATTCCATCCCATTGTCGGTTTGGATCCGCCGAACCTGACTACTTAACTGTGTAATTACCATATGACATAAAGCAAGAATATATTTCTCGACATCAGACTTGTATTTAAGCAAGTAGACCCAGGTAGCCCGACTGAAATCATCAACTACGGTTAAGAAAAAGCGCGAACCATCCAAGGAAGGGGTTTTATAACCCCCCCAAATATCCACATGAATCAAGTCGAAACATTTCTGAGTCGTAATCGAACTGGAAGGAAACACAGTACGAGTCTGCTTAGCTCACCAACATGAATCACAATGTGTCTTAGCAAAAGCAAACTGGATGGAACCAAGAACAGCACGAAGTAAAGAAAGTTTTTCAAAAGATGGGTGCCCGAGACGATGATGCCAAAGAGAAGGGTCGTCGCGCCAGCAACAGCAAACGCATCACGGCCGTGACCTCCCAGAGTGACACCCATGCCGCGACGATCCAAGTAATATAAACCATCACGGAGTCTCCCCATCCCAATCACTGTCTTGGAACGTAAGTCCTGGATAAGGCAAACACCAGCCAAGAACATCAAAGCAACATCATGGTCCTGTGTAAGTTGACTAACAGAGAGCAGGTTACACGTAAATTCAGGAACGTGAAGAACGAGTCGATCACTTAAACAAGTTGTCCCCACCCCTGTAACTGGCATGCAACGCCATTGGGTATGCGTACAGGCGAGTAAGTACCACTACGGTCAACACGATCGAGCCAGCTAGCATTCCTAACGATGTGCTCATTGCACCCTGAATCAATAAGCCATTCGGAAGGGTCAGAACATTTACCGGCCATGTGAGCTATGGGTTCGGAAGAACCGGGAACAGGAGAGCTGAAGAAGTCCTTCAAGTGTGCGAACTGAGCAGCCGTGAGACCAGGAATAGGACTGCCATCAGTCTCGACGTGAGCTGCGCGAGGTGATGCGTCCCGGCGTCGATCTCCCGGCTTTCCTTTCTTAGAATCGGATGACGGGAAACCATGCAGGCTGGGCAGGGGTGATGCCGCCAGCAGCTGTTGCTGTTCATCTCCAGCCACCAGCTGGTATGCCTCTGCAAGGGTGGGCAGGGGCCTGGTGCCGAGAATCTGCGAGCGCACCACGACAAAAATGTCGTCCAAGCCGAGGAGGAAATCGAAAAGCCTCTCCGACTCCAGCTTGTTGCGCGCCTGAGCTCCCACGTTGCAGGAGCACCTGCCGCAAGTGCAGCAAGGCGTGACGCTGACGGTCTGCAACTCTTCCCAGTACGTCCGGAGTTGCGTGTAGAAGGCTGAGACTAAGGTTTTGTTTTGGCGAAGGGCGCCAATAAGGCCGCGCAGCTCGTATGCACGAGTCGCCGATCCAGCCGCAAACCGTTGACGAAGGTCGAGCCAGATTTCGCGAGACGTCGACACGCCACGCACACTGTTCCGGATCTCTTTGGTCATGGATGTCTTAAGCCAGCCCTTAACCATCGCATCACAGCGATCCCAGGCATCAAGACGGACAAGATCAGCGCCGCCAGGCCGAGGTAGGGTCCCGTTGACGAACGCTAGCTTATTCTTCGCGATAAGCGTCTCAGTCATGTCGCTATCCCATTCGTTGTAGTTCAGATCAGTTAGGACGTCACCACCAAACAACTGACCCGGATTTTCGGATGGATGAAGGAAAAGAGGTGAGCCAAGAGGAATTGAGTCGACGCCAGCGATGAGAGCAGCCTTGCCGGCGGCTGTGCTGTCGCTCGAACCATCAATCTTGTCGCCCATGATTGCAGAGATCGAAGTACGAGATCGATTATAGCTCTGATACCATGTAAAACTTGATAGTGCGGAAAGTAAAGAACACGAGATTTACGTGGTATCCTCGTTCTTAACTGAACGAGACTAATCCATGGGAGCGAGCTCCAAAGAGGGTTTTCACTATGGTATGGCCGAATAGAAATCAAGGCCGAATTAGTTTACACGGCTGATTAGCAGCTGCTATTTAACCTAGGGGATTAGGGCATTAAGCTACCTAATTACAAGATAGTACTCAGAATTTAAAGTAGTAACTATTTACATCACCAAGTTTGGAGAGAAGATAGCTTAATGGAGGTGGAGACATAGGCTTGATGAGGTCTTGTAACTAATTGTCATGGAGACACGAAGGGTCTTGATAATCCGAGAACTCTCACCTAGTGACAATCAAGTTTGATCACTTTTATGTGTTAGGTTCTTTTATCAAAGGTCTGATTTTCATCTATGTTTATGGTTGATTGATTCTCTCGCAGTAGAGAATGTGAGATGAGGATGAGGTATCTAGAAGTCATGCAGCCCTCTGTTTAGCTTTGTAAGAGCATCTTTAAAAAATTGTTCGCTTTTTACTTTTTTTTTAAGAGATGGCAAAATCACCATGGTAAATACAAAAGCCTTTAATGAATTTTTGTGGTGTAAGCACAAGCTGTCTAGTCAGAATCACTTGAGGCTATAAGTTGAAATGGAGATGAAGTGGAGTTGTTTAATTTGAGGTATCTTACGATTTTGACCAGAAGCTTGTAGTGAAGCTGACTGGATTTAACATATATTAGTTTAGCTATTATGTAGCAAAGTTAATATCAGGTCTTCTAGTCAGGTAAATGAGCTTGCCAACGAACGTTTTTTTAGAGTTCAAGATCAGGAAAGGGATGTTCATTTTGAGCTATCAGGTGAGCCTTGTAGTCCATTGGGGTAGTGATAGGTTTTGAATGCAAATGATCCACCTCTTGTATAATCTCAATTTCATGTTTCATCTAAGATACATTAATTCGATTTGTGTTTCGTGCCAATACAATGCCTAGAAAATTTTGAGATATGCTAGATCCTTGATATTGAATTCATGATGAAGAGAAGCCTTTAGACTGAAAATTTCATCATGTCATCTCCAACAACAACTAAGTAATCCACGTATACCAAGATGCAAGTATAAGATTAGGCGATAACTTTACAGAATAGGGACTGATGCACTTTACTAGAAATTTTAACTTTGAGCTTCAAATCGACTCGTTAATGATCGAGTGCACACTCTCATTTTCTCAATTTCAAGCAACTAACTTCATAATTACGTTCGACTCAAACAACCTTCCTAACTTGACTGCTGAGTAATATGGCTTGACTTTACTGCAACCCAAATGACGAACCTGAACCAAACCAAACATAAAATGCAATGACAGACTCGAGACGACGATGTATAACTTGACTTCAAACTGAGCGTACATTCAAACTCAAATAGGTTAACCTCGAATAATTTAACACGGGGACCTAAACTAGTAGTGTAGTTACTATGGTGATCCCCAAGGTGGCAATCATTTCCCCATAATCAGATTGAGCAGCAAAAGCTGGTTTTTCTGTGGAAGGGGCAAATCCCCGCGAAGTGGGGAAACAGAAGCGATCTCTCATGATCTCACCAAGTAACATATTATTACTTTGAGCTCCGCTTTAATCATCTTACCCTAATCAAGTTTTTATTTTATTAATCTGTATATGCAATCGAATTGTTAACATGATTTAATTAGAAGCTGCGTGCAGATGAGTAATTGGTGAATGGTTGGTCGATTTCTGTACATGCTTCCAAAGTTCCCCACACGCCGTATATAGTCGGTGGATTTAGTGCCACCTTTTTGACATAATGGCCTCTTCTTTAACATCTTTTTTTTTTTATGATCATGATGAGAAGAAGGCTCTCTCTTGCTGCCCATGTGCACACCAAGTAGTAACCTCTTCTACAAATTTCATGAAATGTGTATATTTTTCGATTAACAAACATTTTTAATCCTATTGTTTAGATGATTTAAATAGGAGTTGTTTAAAACAAAACCGGTCGGACTATGTATTAGTTGAAATATAAATTTCAAGTGTTTGGGGGTATTCATGTCTTTAATCAATTGGTCTTGTTTGTTTTATTTTGATTTCATCTGAACGATCAAAACACTGCATCGTTCACTAGGCCGGCAAAAATGTACTCCTCATTCAGCTATGTTATCTACTACTCTTGACTAGAGAGTAGGATCAACAGAGTAGAAAGCTCCATGAAAGTCAAGAGAGATGCCTTTGTGGTGAATCATGACACATACGAATCAGAAGGTTCATTTATATGTAATCAATTAATATTGCCAACCCACTATTTGTGCTACTTGAACTCATTTCTATTGAAATTGAAATCTTATCATAAACTTATGTATTGTGAAATCACGATTTAAGGTTGTTTCGATAATTTTCTTCGCCGGGGTTGAGCAATAGCTTGATTCTAATATACATGATTTCTGTAACGAATTCACAAATGAATAAAAAACAATGTGGGTGAAGATGTATATATTTTAATCATATAAAAAGAACACGGTACCCCTATGAAACCACTAACTTCACTCCCTTTTGGGGACAAGATTGTATTATTGCTACATATAGTAGAGGGTAGCCCTTATCCTATTCTTGTGCGGATTTGGCCAAGAGAGAGTCACTTCAATTATTTTTTATCCGAAGCCAAAAACTTGGGTTGCAATAATTGGATTATATATGTGCATGGGTGGATTTACTACATGGACTCTTTCTACTCATTATATACTCATCATCTCCACAAGCTTGTCATGTCTCACATATTTTTTTATGTTTTATATAGTCCTTTGGACGACATTTGGTTGGCTATGGCATATTCCTCGGCTCATATATTGTATACAAGACAGACAAGTGGTTAAAAAGAAATGGTCAACAAACCCTAATGTTATAACATCCATGTAGTTTAAGTGCTTTGAACAACCAACATTCACTTCAATGGAAACTAATTAACCAATAGTCCATTCAAATTCTGATTTGATCAATCGACAAATGTTTCGCTAGTTATCTGAACCAATTGCTTGAATCATGTTCGATCCCAATATAAAAAAACTGAATGTGATTTGAACATGAAAAAACTATTGAAGTGATAAAATTGCTTTATTTTTTATCGTTAAATATAATATCTACTATTTCTTCATTATAAAATGTTTCAACTTCGACCTATGAACCACCATCATGTGCATCAGCCAGCTAAGATGAATGTTGCACGAGTGGAGAAGTTTGAGTAGGTCTAACAGTTTGTGTTGTCCATATGGATATTTGAGAAAACTTCATAGACTGGATAAGAAGAAAAAAACACAGCTACCACCAGTTAGTTAAGAATACAGCAAGATTCTTTTTGTACTGAATAGACTAAGCAGGCATTTTTAAATTTTAATTAACAAAATGGTGGTAGGAGTGTAATTAAGAGACAGATGCATGGAGGTGAGTTTTAAAATTAATTAATAACTGTGGTTGTGTTTTTTTTTTATGAATAATAATTGTGGTTGCGTTGTTGTCTTTTTGGTACAAAAGTTGTCTGCATGTATATATATATTTTCATTAATTAAATCAAATTCGAAAGAAATGAAACCCACCACTACTTAGTTATAATTTTATGTTGTTGGCTTTTTTTCAGGATTGCCATTTCTTTTCCTTTCTCTACTCTGCTGACGAGCTGGCCGCCTCAGTCCTCTCCCCTCCGTTTGCAAAGACCTTAATTAATTCTACAAAAAAAAAGACCTTAATTAATTAATCTATTTATTTTCTTACGTTTAATTTAATCGAATTAAAACATAATTCTTGAGAGGACACAGAACTCTGAGTGGACTGAGAATCGCTTTTCCCTTTTCATTTGGAAAACACGAAAGCAAGCAAGTCAAAATTGCTGTTGGGCGAAATATTTTTATTAATAATATAATTATAGCTCCAGTACACTTTTTTGGGTAAGGATGATCTCTGACAAATTAAACCACGGTCGGAGCATGTAGGGTTAAATGTAAATCTCCTAAAATCATTTTTCTCATTTACATATCACGCGAGGACAATACATATATCATTATCGAATTGTTCTTATAACAAAAGTATATAATTTAGAGTTAATACCATATTTTGGCCCGAACTATGACCATATAATCAACTTTGGCCCGTGGTTTAAGAAATTAACATCCTGGCCTCAACTATGCAGCATATAGACTCAATTGGCCCGACACATGGTTTGACCGTCAATTTGGATGGTCAACACGGTTGACCGTTAGTCAACACGCCATGTCATTGCCTCATCAGTCTAGAAATTATAAAAAAATCAAAATCAAATTATTTTCCTAATTTCTATTATTTACTATTTTCAAATTAACCAAAAAATAAATTTAAAAAATATAAAATAAAACTTATATTTTATTTTTTTGGATATTTGAAAATGATAAATTTTATAAATTAACCTAAAATTATCAAATTAAATTTTATAAATTTTAAATATATAAAATAATTTGATAATTTTTGGTTAATTTATAAAATTTATCATTTTCAAATTACACAAAAGATAAAAAAATAAATTTATTTTTTTTTATAATTTTTTTTTTGTTAATTTGATTATAAATAATAAAAATTTAAAAAATAGTTTGAATTTTAATTTTTTTAATGATTTTTAGGCCGACGAGGCAATGACATGGCATGTTGACTAACGGTCAATGGTGTTGACCATCCAAATTGACGGTCAAACTAGGTGTCGGGCCAATTGAGTCTATATGTTACATAGTTGAGGCCGGGATGTTAATTTCTGAAACCACGGGCCAAAATTGATTATATGGTCATAGTTCAGGCCAAAATAAGGTATTAACCCTATAATTTATTGTCTCTTCTAATCTGAATTAATTGATAAGCCATGTATCTATTGATTTGGAAGGCACGGAACTAGGTAGTGTATGAGGGTAAGCAAGTGCTCATCTCTGTGCTGACGGCTCAGTTTCATGCACAAGTCATAGAGTGGATGTCGACTCTAGGGCCGCCACCTATCCCTTTACTAGATGTTGGTGGATCGTCGACGCATATGCAGGGTATTTCGCAGTTGCCACCAGGTCACGTGTGCTACTTTGATGGGGCGGTTAGGGCAGGTGAGTGGTCAGCCATGGGAATGGTACTTTGTGACTCAACAGGGGCGTTCGTCAGTGCGAGAGGCGGTTGGCTTCAAGGTGTGCCAGAGCTAGCTATGGTGGAATTGGTAGCGTTGCGAGAGTCCGTTCTGTGGTGTGTCAGCGCGAGATTTACGACAATGCTTCTGGCAGGTGATGCAAAGGGGATCATTGATAAAGTCAGAGCAGGAGTGGTAAATGATGCGCTAGGCGGAGCTATTTTGCAGGAAATCAAGTGGATGCTCCGAGATAATCCGGGATTCTCAGTGCACTTTGTAGGCAGACAGAACAATAGGGCATCCCATTTAGTGACTAGAAAAGCCCTCTCTTTGTCTCTGCGTACTTTGAGCAGTTTCGATTTTTGCGCTTGGCTCCATTTGGAGTTTTAAACGTTGTATCTTTGTTGTTCTTGGTAATACAAACTATCTTTGGTAAAAAAATAAAAATAAATAAGTCATGTATCCAAATTACATCTAAACACTTTTGTTATTTCTTTCGAGACCATGCAGAACTTCGAATTGCTTTTCGAAGTTCTTCAAAATAATCTCTTTTGGCCTTTTCCATTTTCCATTATGATTATGAGTGCAATAATAATCCATTTTTTCTTTAGCAAATGGAATACTTTTATGTTTGTCATTTTAATAGAGTTTTTCCATCTTTCTCCCCTCCCTTCTTTCGATGGTGGGTGGTAACTAAATAATAAATTGAATAAACATTTCTAAGAATAATTCCACAAGTGTACACAGCTTATTTTAATACTCCATTTCGGTTCGTTGGAAATTTGGTAATCCTTAAGCCTTCTAAGGTATAGGAATGAAAAAACACAAGGCAGGGAGAGGGTGGATATTGTTCCAAACCTCTACATTGGGGGCTTGTTAAACCATTAAAATTGAAATTTAAGTTAGATGAGTTCATAAATTAAAACAATAAAACTAATTTTAATAATGTTTAGTTTGACTTGTTAATTAAAAAGTCGCTTATAATAATAGAAACAAACATTTAAAACACGAATTGTTCGACAAAAAGAAAAAAACACGAATTATGAAATAACATAAATGGTTTTATTTTGTGTATGTGGGTATCAAAAATTCAAAGTCGGTACTATTAATTACTGATATTTCGATTTATAACCAATAAGAATGGTGGTTAGAGTTTTTTAAACGGTTTGTTTTCTGATTAAAAAAACCAAGATCAGTTTGGCAGCCATAGTCACCCTCGAGTGAGAGAACTTGTACGGAAAAAAACGAAACTATAATGATCACCAAAATTACATATTTCATAGTTCACATATTTTTGGAGGTAGGCCACCGTTGATTGGGTTTTCATTTATTTGCAGTTAATTTTTTGCGTTTGGAAAGACTAAGACTGGCCCAGTCAATGAGTCTGCAAATTATAACTTGGAAATATTGTTATTAATTAGTCGCTTTCTATTTGAATTTTGAGAATTGAATACATTCTTCGTATTGGGTTTACTTAATGCCAAGGAAATTAATGGTTAATCTATACAATAAATAAAAGCCAAATGAAAAAACTTGAAGCCCCATTTTAAATTTCCTGCATCCAGAGTGAAAGTAGGAAGGACGTTTTGGTCTTCACAATTACGTCTTTTTACGTTTTTTTTATTCATTAAAAAGACACTTACTAGGATTCGAACCATGACCACTTTAAAGAAAAGCAAAGATCATAACCAATCACACTAAGTACATTTGTTGTTTCTTTTTAAATTAAAACATATAATAGCTGAGAGGAAAAAACCCTTCCCCCATTTCAAATTCCCTGCTCCATGAGCGTTTGTAGGAAGGGTAGAATAGGGAGTGTCAATTTTTTTCTTTTTCCTCTGTGGAACGTGCCAACTTACCATACACATGCAGATTTAAACGGGTCCAAGAGTGTTAATTTTTTTCTTTAAATTCTTTTATTTCTCCGTGGTGGTAAAATATATATGAACAGGCAAAAACAATACTCCTTTTATTGCTAAAAAGAAAAAATTTTAAAATAAACTAATGCATGGATTCTAATGGGCTAAACGCTAATCATAAAATAAAAGAGTTGAATGGGTCTGACCAACACAGGATTTGCCCATTAGGTAAAACAAATGAACATCATGAGTTTGTCATTCTAAAACAAACTATTTTCTCTAGCATAATATATATTATGCTATTATTTCATACCTTAGTGGCAAAAATATAATGTATTTTAAAGTTATTCAATGGTTCAACCTCGACAACCCAATTAGTCCAATTTTTATAATTTCAAATATATATTATGTAATTATTTGATATCATAATGATTAAATTATAGTGTATATTATAGGGAATCGTTTGGTATTTGTTAGTAAAAAAACTAAACAGAAAGATCTATTTGGTTATTTTTAACATTAAAACAATCCTAAACATTTTCAGTTTCCTTTCGAAATTGTATAGTTTTATTCCCGAATCAGTGATGTGCAAATGGTGAATTGCAGTCATCTCTTTTCTTTCTTTATTTTTTTTATTTTCAAATAGAAAGTTTAAAATTAAAGAATAATTAGAGTTTGGCATGGGTCGGTCAAACAGGCTGAATTTCAAGTTTTGGTCCGTTTTGATCAAGTCTAATTTATAATCACATGGTTCCCTGATACCCGATAAAAATTTCAATCCAAACCAGTTTGGCAGGTGAGTTCGTGTTTACCACCATTTTCTAGGGATACTGGAATGGTGGTTCCTATCCCAAATCGTGTTGTTTATTCTTGATTTCTTTAGATTTTATCATGGCTTGGCAAAAAACCAGAAAGCACAATGATGACAAGATGAAAGTTTTATAAAGCAAATTAATCGGCCAACGGGCCGAGTAAAAGCTAGCAACGATTGTGAGATGCTCATTTCCCGAAAACCGACGGGATAGGCGATTTTTTATTCGATTTTATGGAATTCGGTTTCTATAAAATTTACTCCACCTCATCATATTACCAGAAACAATATTGTTTCACAAGGTAACATGTACTTGATTTTGGTTCATAAGGCTGATTTTTGATTCGTTGCATCATTCATGTCTCTTTCCTACTAAAATTCACTATTTTTATCACGTGTTTCCCAAAAAAAAAACTATACAACAATAAGCTATACACCCCATTACATTATCAAATTTCATACCTCACCTTCCTCCGGCCAGTGGCCGGGGCCTAGTATTATTTACAAAGACGATACCATTAAAATATAAATAAATTAGATATACAAAATTTCGATGAAAATCAGCTAGTGGCAGTAGTAGACTAGTAGTGTGGATTCAAGTTGTATGGACAAAACATAAATCCAAATACTTGGAGTTTTCTGTTTATCTTTCTAAACTATGTTACATTTTTTTTTATAATGCTAAACTATAATATTACATTGTGCCTTAGCTTATTGATAAGACATCTACTGATCTACCAAAATCTCAAGGGAAAGAAGGGCAAAAGTTGGGTTCAATCCAAAAGCAAATCCAACTAAAATTCCAAAGGCCCACTATGTACCCACCCTAATTAATTATGTTTGGGCGAATATAATTTAGGTGATTCACTTATCCAATATGGAGGGTTATGGTGTGGTTGGGGAACAGAACAGTTCTCATGTATTATTACAGGGAAAGTGTATCTATTATATGTTTTGAAAACATGAAGCACCCATTTGTTGACCAGCTTAATTACACTTATATATTTGTTTACAGTACTGAAAGCAAAATTTTAATAAAAAAAGTGCAAGTGGAACCCCAACCGGCCCTCACTATCCAGTTCGATAATAGGCTGCCAAGTCCTCACAACAAACAAAAAACCCATCAAGCTAAGTGAGTGAGTCCTCAAGCGGCCATATATCATATATGAACTCTTAAAATCAACGATTGAAAAGAAAAATAAACAAGTTGTAGTGGATCTATTCTACATTAAGGCATTTGATGGATATATAAGATCATAATATACCATCTATTTTCCTCTTCTCCGAGCCACTCAAATAACGAACCATGATAAATTGATTTTTTTAGGATGCTATTATTATCTAAATATCTAATTCATCCTTCGAGAGTTGATCTATTAGACCTACCACTTAAAAGATACGAGTCAAAATTTTTTGGGATTTAAATGGTGTGAATGGAAATGAAAGGGGAAAGACACATGAGAATCTCTTGAAGTACCATGTTTGGTAAGCTGTGGGAAGGCGTGACCGCGAATTCGGTCGATTTGATGTAATATGTTGGTAATTGGTAATATTGGTTTGTGTAGCCAATCAGACCAAACCAAACTGAATTGAACCAAACCGATATGGCGGTTGGAATAACCAAACCGGTCCAACTACCATGAGCCAAACCGATGCAATAATGGTTCATTATTTTATAACGAACCAATGTGTTGGTTGGGGTGTAACCACTCATACGAAGAGTTGCCCTCTTCATTCGCACCCCTCCATTCTCTATAAATAGCACCTAACTCCTCTAATTTTGAGATACGTTTTTCCGATACCAAAAACTCTGCTAAAATCCAAAACTTGTTTTCTGCATTCTTTTCAAAGAGAAAATCGAGTCAAGTGTGGTTCTCGCCGGTTCGCTGTGTTCGATAGTTTCCGGGATTTGAGGTACTGCTACGCCGGAAAATGTACGTTCTTTCTATCCTGGGAGGAATCATTCCATAACCTTGGATACTAGAGGGGAATAAAATTCCTCAAAGAGAGACAATGAATTCTGGCGGCTAGAACGCTTGCAAAATTATTTACATAATTTTGTGATTTATATATATATTTCTTTTATTGATTACATGATCTTAATTTGTTATTTGTTCTAAAAGAAAATAATATACGTGAACAACTTTTAAAAAAAATAATATATAGCTCGGTTGTTGTCCGGTAGTCATGCTTCCTCCGGGGATATATGCATGCACATGCTGAAGGGGGCTGGATTATTTGCCAAATCAGGAAACCTTTAGGACTTCCTTCCGAAACAAAAATATATATTAGAGAGGAATTTTAGAATGCTATATAGCATTGGTGTCATAGGCTTTTGCCTTTATGGTACAGCTTGAAATTGTACTTTTAACGTTATGGTACAACTTCAGATTGTACCTATATTTTTTGTACAAATTCTTTTATTGTACAACTTAAACTTGTACTTTGTGTGATGATACAACTTCAAGTTGTAAAGTTGTACCATAACATAATGATACAAATTCCTTTATGGTACAACCTAAATTTATACATTTAATGTTATGGTACAACTTCAACTTGTACATTAAAACATCAATGCTATATAGCATAGTAGAAGTGCTCATAAGTACTGAATTTTCTGCTGGACCCATTTGTGACACGAACACGTCTGATTTGATACATTACGTTGCATGCAATATTGCCTTGCCTCCATCTTGTGTTCATATATATATATATATAGAGTGTTGTGATTGGACTGAACCCATCAAGGGACAGACAGGCCATATGCCCATCGGACGACGACAGACGCCGCCCTCCACCAAGCCCAAGGACATGACACGATCGATCCTCTTAGCTTCTGTCGTGTTCTATGAACAAAAGTTGACAATATCGATCTTTTATGAGAGCTCATGCACCTTTGTGTCTTACGTACATTCTCCTATCTATCCATTGATCGCTCCACATAACAGATTCAGCTTCTGTACTCTTGTAGTTGGATTGCATGCCTATAATGTATCACGTGTCGTTAACCAGCTGAATTGTGTCGATTGGATAAGGAAGAAACTTGTTAGTGACTTGAATTCGTTGCATAATAATCTAAGTAAAGTTTTATGTGTAATTCTTTCGCATACTTGTTCAACTGATCCTGTGTTTGAGGTTGTCTTAGACCTATCACATACCTTTTGATTACACCGAAGAGTTAATCTTAGTTCTTAGCTCTTAGTCAAAGTCTCCGATACTATATCTCAAAAGTAGTTTGTCATAATAAGTCGAATTATTAAAAGAGTTGAGAGTCGAGTAAGAATGTGAAAGCTCTTGGATGTGATAGTAAACTAATTGCATCAAACTAGGTAATCTCATTCGACAAGTCTTGTTATTTTTATGAACTCTCTCATCAAGATATTAGAGATATACTATAGGAAGATTTTCTTGTTCGAATCTTGATAGTTCTTAATAGCTATGTTTGGGGCTAGAAATGTTTGCACAAATTTCACCTCCAACAAATAATATTCCGTCATAGAAAAGTGAATGTGCGAAACTATATAAAAACATATCTCGCCCCAAACTTCTCCCCATGACTCAAATTATAAGACTGGCTAAATGATACTTGGATTAATCAAGTTGGCTAAATGAATGGACTTAGAAAGTTGGCTAAATCCGAAGGGGGCTGAGATTCCGAGATTTTGAAGCTTTTAATCAGGCTCTGCTTGCAAAACAGTGGTGGCGTATTCTGATAGAGTCGAATTCTTTAGTGGCTAAGGTTCTTAAAGGTCGTTATTTCCACCAAACTTCGTTTCTAAAGGCGTGGAAGGGTTCTAATTCTTCTTGGGCATGACAATCTTTGCTCCATGGTCGGGACTTGCTTGTCAAAGTCTTGCGGTTGGAAGTTAGTTCTGACACCTTCATTGATGCGATGACAGATCCGTGGGTCCCCTCTTTGCCGTCATTCAAATCATGTTTGTTATCGTCGCCATCCGATTCTTCTAGGTTTGTCTCTTACTTTATATCTCCCCTTTTGGGGACCTGGAATATTCAATGTTTGGATCAATTCTTTACGAATGACTCGATTTCCGCAATCTTAAACATTCCGCTACCGCTAACCCCGAGTTTGGACCACTACATTTGGAATTGTCAATCCGATGGCCTGTTCTCCGTAAAATCTGCTTATTGACTGGCCATGGTCGCACAACCGCCTCCAAAACCAGCAAATGTTTCCTAGGCCTCTCCGGTGTATCCAAAGCTGTGGCCGAAATTGTGGGGACTTCCACTGCCCCTAAGCTCAAATTATTTCTATGGTGTATTATCTTGCGGATTCTGCTTGTCCGGGAAGACCTCAATCGCCATGGCCTCCAAGTGGCCGACTTGTGCCTAATTTTTCAGTCTACCGAAGGTGAATCTGTCGAGCATTTATTTCTTTGATGTCAAGTGACAGTTTCTTTGCGTAATTTGGTAGGCCTCCACTTACCTCATGACATTCTTAACACCACCCACCTCACGTTGTTTTCGCGGCATATCATGTTCAGCGGGGATATCCAATCTCTTACTGCCTGGGTACTATTATTTTGGCGACTTTGGAAAAGTCCTAGCAATGTTGTCTTCCTCCCCAATGCTCAGTTACCATCGCCCCCTTCACCGTCAATTACTGTCACACCAGACCAATCATCAAAATTCCGTCCAACCACACCTTTTGGCCCAGGGTCCACCACCGGGGCGGCTCCGTGCTCCCCAATTGAGTTCTGGGTTTCGGATTGCTGTGGACGACGCGGCGTGCTCCCCCCTCTCACGGTGTGGTTGGTCTTGTTGGCTTTGTTGGGGGTCAGACTACTTTTGGTTTTGGGTGCGCTCTACCAGGGATAGTTGATGCCACTACTGTGGAATTATTGCGGTCCGTTATGCTTTACTCCTCCTCTTTCGTTGGGGATGGCATGATCGTCCCGCTCAAATTACCGGAGATGCAGAAGCAATGTTGGAGCAGTTAGGGTCTAGCAATCCTCATGATGCTCGGTGCAACGCAATATATCGTGAAGTGTTAGATCTAATCAATCATCTACCTTTGGTTCATTTTGCTTACACATCTCGAGAAGCAAATCGGGTTGCCCATTCTGTGGCGCGTAATGCCCTACGCTATATTGGTGTAAGTAATTTCTTATTTGATTATTCTTATATGGTCTGTCTTTGAGTCCGTGTAGGGGCTGTAATTATTGTGGCCCCACACGCTTATCTGGTTGATCCGCAAGGATTTCTATGACAAAAAAAAAGTAATTGATAATAATAATAATAATGTCGATAGTGGCCCCGGCCCAGCCCTCCTCCGGATCCAGAGTTAGTTTAGTGCTTATAAAATTTTTCGATTTAGGTATTTGGCCCAGTGCTATTTAAAATTATGTCTAGTTTTATTTGATAATAGGATTTTGTGTAACTAGGAAAATAGTTCAGATGAACATATCCAAACCATTACTCTATATTTATACTAAATTTTCTATAGCCCCAATGATTTTATTTGAAAAATGACATGAAAACCTAAAAGTGTACAGTTTCATTAAAAAAAACCTCTAAACTAAAGCACACCCTTCCTTGCAAAATTCAAAAAATTTCCCAATCCCCCCAAAACAAAACAAGAACGAGGAGATGAGCAGACCCATAATGGATTTCTCTGCCAGCCCGTCGAGCTGGTTTTCTTTCCATTCTTTTGATTAAGAAAATATTTACAAACTTGCTGAGTCATCATTTAGATTGCCTCAATTGAGTGGGGCACTAGATTCTAACCGTTCTTTCTGGTGTTTTGATGAAGAAAATATTTACAAACTTGCTCAAGAGTTTAGCCTCGAGACTTTGAAGGCTATGAGATTCATTCTTTGGAGAATGCACTACTCATGTGAGGAAGATGAAGTTTCTTCTCTTGCAAAATTATTAGAGAAGCTTGAGGAAATAGGGATGGACACATAATATAGATTGATTTGTCGGTTGATTTGTCTAGTGTTGATCTAGCCGTTTCAACAACTACCATGAAGAGAATATTTTTAGCAATGGAACATGAACATTGATTTGTGCAACAAAATGAGCGATGAATTTCTCGTTGATTACTTAGCTATTTTCTTTGAAAAAGAGTATATTATCAGTATGGATGAAGATTATATTATTGATGAATTTGCTAAATTAGAAGACATTCTTGTACAATTGACGTTGTAATGAAAACTATATTATTTTATATTTTTGTTTATGGTATCTAATATTCTATTCAAATACGGCACAATGCTCTCTTATGTCCTGGATCCGCCTCTAAATGTCGATCTAACTTAGTGACCCTAAACACTGAATCCAAAAGTAACGACTTTGCTGATACATATGTAGATCCATCATATCATCCCATGTCCCATCCATGTCCGATCGATATGGATAGTCCTGGAAAGACTTATTTACAGGCCAGTCAGAGGCAGGGACAAAGGACACCCACATATACATATTGGAAAACTACTTATTGCTAACAACTCTCACATTCACTTAACCTAAATTGCTGTACGATAAATCTCCCAACTCTCACCTTCATTCACCTGCCCAATATCCCAACTCTAGCTATCCCATGAACGAAAAACAACAATCTCTATGTGTGATGTTTCACATCATAACTATGCTATGCTAACCTTTGATATTTTACTAGAACCAACCACACAAATCATCGGAACTCTTACGGCGGTTTAGTTTCTATTGTGGTTGTAATAGGGTTGTGATTAGAGGTGCACCACAACATGAAAATAAAATAATAATAAAAACACAAACTTGTTAGGTTTGTAATGATGAGAAATTATGGAAGTTGACAACCATAATACAAAAACTTGTTTAATTATTTCTTTAGGTTCTGGATAGTATCAATGTTAAGACTAATTCAAAAGTAGTAGAATAACGAGAGGAACAATGTGGCATGACGACTTATGAAAAATCAAGGGTAAACACGATATGAAATAATATGACAATAAGATTTCGAAAATGAGTTTTGTCAAAATGGAGAAGAAAATACGTAGGAAGTGTGTCTAATGAGATTGGTCATGGACTCATTTGAATGAAATTATTCCAATTTCCAACAACGCATAAGATCTTACAACAATCAACTTTCAGAAAACAGTAACAAAACTACTTAAAATTAATATATATAAAGAAGAAGTTGTGTTACTGTTGCCTAATCTCGCAAGCTGATTGGGCAACTATCATTTTTACATTTTCATACCCAAATTTAATTAAATTACAATTTAGTTACTATAATGTACATTTTACATTTTGATATCTCAAATTTATTTTTAATGTAAAATTCTTGAACAATTATGTTTTGTTATCTAAATTTTATGAGCTTTTCGTACCTACAAATTTTTTTTAATTTACATATTGGTTTAATGTTTAGATTTCACTTGAATCCATGAATCCAATCCGGCAATCATTTTGAATCAATCCATGAATCCAAGATGTTGTACCATACAAGATGTTGTATCACTCAACTGTCGGAGAAGATTTGACCATTTTATATTTGCTCATTGCATGAAACATTAAATAAATGATAAAAGAGAGACGACTCTAAAATGTTACAATATCGATTTTATAAACTCATTTTGTACATTTACGGGGTACTAAACATGCAACAAAATAGGCGATATCTACGTACATAAACAAGTGTCAATAAATGGCTACAGTGAAAATGGTTTATTGTTGTATTGACGGGCAGCTAGAAGAATTGGTCAAAACCTTTCCATCATCTACTTGCTTTTCGTTTCATTTTTCACTCGCCTTCCAAAACTCTTTATTTATTTCTTTGCCTTCTTCATCTAACCGTAATTAGTATACAATTTTTATGAATTCTAATCTCAAGTATGAACGGGTCCATACGACTTACCAACAGTCTAGAGATTTAATAATTGAACCATGAACCACTAACTTTTAAGCTCAATGTCGAGTCCAATTAAAAATAAATAAATATGGTTATTACTTATTTGAAAGTAATCATTTTCCACTATGAGATTTGAAGGCGTGAAATTTTAAGCGAGTTCTAGTTTGTATTCATTTTTCTTCTCCCTAGAGTTTTTCTTTTTCACCCGAGCTAGAATTTTCGACAATTATTTATGGAATGTTTGGCTAGGTATCTACGCATATCAAATAATAGTTTCCATTTTTCTATAAAAAAGTAAATAATTATCATCTTAAATATATCACCATAAGGGAATTAAGCCTCAAATATACAAATTACAGTTTGGTACCTAAACTTAATAGATCTTTAGATTTATAACCTAAATTTATTTTTTTGGCATATAAGTCCCCAAAATATTTATTGAACATAGTATCTAAATTTTTTGCGTATGACATTTTGGTGCCTAAACTTTTGAAGTTCTACAAATATGTCTAAGTTTTGTATGTGTAATTAAAATACCCTCGAATAAATGGGTATCCATACCCAACTCATACACATTTAGATTATGTAAGTACATATTCATACCCTACCCAAACCCATCTATAAACTTTCAAACACATATATACGTCACTCATACCCTACCCATAATCAACGGGTCTATTTGGTTTTAGGTAAATATCATTTATTAGCCTAAAATTTTCAAAAAAAAAAATTAAATTGGATGTTGACCGCAATATATCTCTTCTCAGTTAATATCATATTATCAAGTCAATATTACTAACAAAACTGCTAACAAAAAATTAATATTAGACTAATAATACAAGCAAACACCATAACGGGTCACATAATACATGCCCATATACAATCCCCGCCCGCGACAAGGCGCGACATCGCCACCTAGTAGTCACTGATTTTAACTAATTTATATTATGTTACCAACTCTTGTTGCCACAATAATAAATGAAAAACATAATTAAACATGTAATCCGTTTCTGTTTTGGTGAAAATAGAAAACATAATTAAACTGATGCTAAACAGAGTCTTAGGAAGTATGTTGGCTATTACGTTTCAAATGGATGGGGCAACCGTTTTTGAGCCTTGAGAACATTGCCCACTTCTCAATGCTTGAATCTGAATCCACCACTTCCCACCTAAGGTGGGGAAAAAAAAAAGGAAGTGTAAGGTAAATTAGATTATATTGTCTCAAGTCTCAACTAGTTATAAACATATGTTTAACTCAATAAGAAAGAAGCCATTAAGGGTAACTCAAGTATTAATTAGCCACGCCTTTGGTATATGAAGTGTTCTTGAATGAGAGTAAAACATATGATGACTACTAATAGAGCTATAGGTCTGAGCTACTTGCTCTCGTGAGTTTGTCAAGTATTTATGAAGGTCGACACAGCCTCGAGAATATTAAAATGATGAGAAATCGTATTAAATATTAACTCAATCATTGCATCGCCAATACATAACTGATTTAGTACGATATAGTGCAGTGTCGCAATCAATCAAGCACAAAGAAGTTTGCATCATGGCTCAAAATTAGAGGCTTCATGCACAATCAAAAAGTATGAAAAATGTGGTATGCATCTGACCTGTAAGAAGTGACGAGGCGATGGAGGAAGACGAGCATCATGGCTCGAGCCAGGTTCATCCCTAGGCAGGTCCTGCCGCCCATCCCAAATGCCAAGAAACTGCTAGCCCTAATTGGCTCTTCTTCATCATCCTAATTCATTCACACAATTTCACCACATGCACAATATGAGAAGCTGCTATAGCCATACTCGTGCCCTAATTGTTATTAGAATAGAAAATAGATGAGACTGAGAGACAGGAAGTCATTTTACGTCAAATCTTGAAGGGTTGAACTTTGCTGGTTGGTTGTATAGGTTGGGATCGAAGTGAATTGACCTTGCGTCAACGTTGATGTTCCATCCCTTCATTATCTTGTACCCTGTGAACCCCAACACAAGAACATGATAATTAAACACACATTGCAAATGTTTCAGTAACGATCAGAATTGGCCGGTGTATCTACATCGCAAAAAGTACGGATTATATAACGGTTGATATTCAAAATTGGCTTAATATTTTTTTCCTGACTAAATATATTAAAAGGAAACGTTGACTGTAAACCAAGGATTCACATGTGAGCACAACATCTCAACCATCTTAACTATTATCTAACAGAGTACCTAAACGAAATTTTCGAATACAGAGATATTGAGTTTTTACCTTCAATGTGACCATCTTTGAGTGCTAGTCTTGGGAACCATGGTACTATTGAAGCCATCCTCAATGACTCTTTAATCACCTATCCAGTAACCAGCAAACAAATATGTAATTTTGTCAATAACAAACAAACTACTTGTATATATTTGGTCTCAACACTGTTAATACCTTCATAGCATAGGACATTTCACTGAGATCTTCTGCGGTTAAAAACTCCATCCCTGATCTTCTTTCCAAAATTCCAAGCTGCTCAGCCTGAACGAACCAGTTTGTAAAAATGTGAAATCCAAATATGTTTCGAGCGATTCATAGATACATAATCATTACCAAATGAACGAAACACACGTAACAATTTTACGACGTACCCTCAACGTATCCAAAACACGTGGATTTTCGCCGAGGAACTTGACCATCCAAGTGATGGCACTTGCCGTGGTGTCCTGCCCTGCAATGATCATGGTCAGTATGTTATCCTTAATCTCTTCATCTGTTAACCTGGAACCTCCTTCCCCTCCGGCCAAGAGCTGCTGCAGGAAGTCTTCTTCATGGGCTTGTGGGCTCTCCCTTCTTTCAGAAATCATTCGCCCCAACCTTTCCATAACTCTTTTCCGGGCCTGCAAAATTTTCAGTAACCAACCTGATTATGTCATTCCCTTGGAGCCCATTCTAGTTTGGCCTGGGCTTATTGAGAGATGATTACCTTAAGGCCTCTGTAAAATCTAGTCCAGGGAAGCCTCAGAGGGAAAGCTAGCATTGCTTGGTAAATGCTCGAGACGTCGTCGTAGAGGCTCTTCATTTCTGGTATTCCCCCTTCTAAGCCCATTAGCATCTTGCACATTGCCTCGAATGTTACCTATTACCATTTACCAGTAAGTAATTTGGGTTGGTTCCAATGAAGTCATCTTAAGATATTGTTAGATTAATTGAGATCTATATTGATGAAATTTTTAAATCAATAGCATAATTGAAATGTTATTGTAAAGTGTAACATAACGTTAATATTTTATATTGGCCCAAACTGTGACCATATAATCAATTTTGGCACGTGGTTTCAGAAATTAATATCCTGACCTCAACTGTGCAGCATATAGACTCAATTGGCCCGACACATGATTTGCAGTTAATTTGGACGATCAACGGTGTTGACCGTTAGTTAACACGCCATGTCAGCCTAAAAATCATTAAAAAATTCAAATTCAAATTATTTTCCTAATTTCTATTATTTTATCATTTTAAAATAAAAAAAAATAAAATTTATATTTTATATTTTGGGATATTAATTTTATAATTTAACCAAAAATTATCAAATTAAATTTTAAATTTAAAAAATATGATATAAATTATATATTTTATTTTTTGGTTAATTTTATAAATATAAAATAATTTGATAATTTTTGGTTAATTTTGAAAATATAAAATAATTTGATAATTTTTGGTTAATTTATAAAATTTATCATTTTCAAATTACCCAAAAATAAAAAATTAAATTTATTTATGTTTTTATAATTTATTTATTGTTAATTTGATGATAAATAATAAATTTTAGAAAAATAATTAGAATTAGAATTAGAATTTTTTTAAATAATTTTTAGGCTGACGAGCCAATGACATGGCATGTTGACTAACGGTCAATGATGTTGCCCATCCAAATTGACGGTCAAACTCTGTGTTGGACCAATTGAGTCTATATGTTACTTAGTTGAGGCCAGGATTTTAATTTCTAAAACCACAGACCAAAGTTGATTATATGGTCATAGTTCAGGCCAAAATGAGGTATTAACCCTAAGCATTAACGTAATGTCATATAGAGACACTATCATCTTTACTCTATGACGAAGTATGGTTTATGAATAAAAGTAGGAGATGAGATTCGAAAAATTGGGATTAAGACTAGGGTCTTGTTTACTACCTAAGAGAGTGGTCGATCCAGACCAAACTATACAATCAATTTGATCTACAGTTTTTCAAACGATTTAGTCTATTTTCTCAGCATATTATTTCTTATGAACAACGTGATATCAAAAAAACAACAGGGTATTGAAAACCGGGTTTCGCGTCCAAACCAACGTGAGCCCAAAACTGAAGATTTCATGAATGGGCCTAACCTGGAGGGCCTGGTCGAGTACAACCACGGTGCTATCATTTTCCCATCTCCCAAGCCTTCGAACGACCAATTCATCAAACTGTTCGATGAAAGTCCCCACTGAACGCGAGGAGACCAAACCCATGAGCCGACTGCGGATCATCTTGTGATGCTGCTGGGAAGCGCACAGGAGGAGGCTCTTCTCCCCGACCAGCTCCGCAATCGATCCTATGTAGTGCTTACTGAATCTCCCCGACTCGTTGTTCAGGATCGCCTTGGCCGACTCGGTGCTCGACACGAAGACGTGGGTCGACCCGAATATGCTGGTTTTGAAGCAACTCCCGTACCTGCAATCAAAACTTTTCGGAATTCGAAGTGGGTTAGTGATTTTGTTTTCAATGAATAAATTTTGGGTTGTTGGAAGTAGTAGTCGTAACCTTAGGCGGCGAATTCGGACGAAGTCGTAGAATCCTCTGTTGCTGCGGATTGCAGCCATGAACTGTAGGGTCTCGCCGATTAGGGGCAGCCCGCGGCTGCCCGGCGGGGAATTGCTGCGATGTGGGTTCAGGATTTTCCTTAGGAGTATTGAGGTGATCACTATAACAAGCGCTGCGGCGTAGAAGCTGCTGAGGTATGGTAAAGGAATTTCCATGGTGAGAGCAAAGGGCAGAGTGTTTATGCAATTGTTTGATATGGGAACAATGTTGGTGTCTGGCTTCAATTGGAAACGTCCTCAATTTTGCTGGGGTTTAATAGGATGAGATGGTGAGAGCAAATCACGAAAGTGGAGGGAACTGGTGGAAGGATTGGGTTATTGATGGTGTTGGTGATTTGGCCTACAAACCCTAACGTCTGCCTCCCTAATGATGAAGAATGTGGAAAACAGGGGGACAAGAATTTTTTTGGCTCTGCTTTTTTCCAGTCGACACTAGAGAGTAGTGACGATCTATTGAATTACCTCACCCTTGAGATACTTGGCGACCGGTTTTACACTGGACGAGTCTTCTGCGACTCCAATCTCGTTCCCTGAAGCCATTTTTGTATGCATATTTCGGTGCGTGGGTGCAGGGAGCAACTAGCAAGTAAGCACAGTGAGGGCCATTAACAATGTTGGCGATTTGGGTTACAAGAACCAATAACAATTTATCTTTAGTTTAGCTGGTAACATTTCTTTTGTGACATTATTGGCTGCATTCACAATATAAAATCTTATCACAAATTAGTCCCTCCTAACCAAAGTAACCACCAAATTGACGTACACCGCCTTGTTCCCACACAAGTGCTCATCCACCACCACCGCATACCTCCTAAACAGCTCGTCCCCAATCCCTCCCCCGAAATGCGACTCCACCATCGACTCCACCACCGCCCTGATCGTCCTCGCCACCGTCTCCCCTCGCGTCTCCGCCGCCGCCACACCCAAAACTCTCCCTCCATCCCACTCGATCTCCAACGGCTCGATCCGATCGACCAAAAACGACCCTTCCCTCTCCACCTCCACCCTCACCTCATCTCCCGAGGGCGCGTAGTAAGGAGCGTTGAAGGAGTCGATTTTCTCCTCATCCACGAGCCCTTCGGCGGCCATGCTCGTCAGCGCACGCGCCAGCAGCTCCCACTGGTAGCAGCCCACGTCGTCGGTCGGGTCGCTGTTGGATGTTCGGCCCATGAATGAGAGCACCGCGCGTCCTCCTGGGAACATTTCGTCGGCGCGTGACCTCAGGAACGTCGAGAAGTCGTCCTGGAACTGGCGCGTGTATGCTTCGACCACGGTCCTCGGGCTGGTCTTGGATAGGTATAGTTTTCCTTTGTTGAGAGTATTGCAGCTTGTTAGTCCTGCCGGAACCTGTCACATGACTATACTAATTTAGTAACATTTTTTTTTTTTTTTGTAAATGGTACTATATATATAGATCTTAGTCATGTGTGGAACGATTTTATATTTCGTGATGAATTTGTCAAACACTATATACAGAGTAGTATACATCTTGCAAAAATCTCAAAGTAGATGCATCGAATTCCACATATTTATAGGTAACCAATCAAGGGACTTAATATATGATAATTAAATTTAGAGCTAATCAGTTTACTAATCAAACTCTCCACATATTTAGCACAAATTAATCTTGTTGCGTGTTCATGGGGCATATCTTGTGTCAAACTTGACATCTAAGATCGTTCTTAAATCTAATTATAGACTCTATTGGTCTAGGTAATCAATTTTCAAGACTAAATAATGGACAGTTTTCGGACACATATTCATATGCATACGACTAAAAGAGGGTCACCGATTGCTTAACCTGTGAGAGCCAGTGGAGACTGGAGGAAGAGTGAACAAAATGGAGGTTTTTTTTAGGAAACAATCTCCCGTAGAAAGAACCGGGAGTAGCGGACACAAAGCAACTGATTTGATCTCCTTTCTCTTCCTTCAACCTTTTGTAAAATTCGGGCAACGACACGAAAACGTTGTTGTAGTCATTGCAAGGGAGATCATTGAGATAAATACCGAGCTCCGGGACAGGCCGATCCATTTTCTGACATTCGGCGAACACGACATCGATTATCTCCGACACTACGCGAAACGCATTCGGTCCAGACGAGCAACCCATGTCCACAATCCCAAGCCTCTCGAGCACGGTCGTCCCATCGACCAAACATCGTTGGAGTAACCCTACGAGTGCTTTCTCCGTTTCAGGCTTGGCCAAAGAGATGATCTTGCTCTACAATCAATTATGAAAATCAATTTAAAAAAAAAAAGAATCTTCACTTACTCTCAAAAACTAATAATCAAAATCGAGAACGAGGACCCGATGATCATCCAACATGCGACACATATATAAAAAAAACTCGGTAAAACATATCGTTCTTTCTTTTCATTTTCGATCGAATATTCCATTCGAATCTATGTTCGTAAGATCGATGCATGAGAAGATGAGGAAACGAGGGAGGGGTAGAATTGAGGATTGGGATTTACCTGGACTGTAGAGTTGTTGGCGTAACTGGTTTCGCCATTCCCTTGGTTCATGTGAAGCACTTTCTCCACCTCCATTGTTGTACCTCCAAGCTATGGCTTATGATGATGGATTTCTCTTGGGGGATAGTTGGAGAGAGTAAATGCCTTGTATTATATATAGAAGTCGCTGTGGCCACAGGGTTATGAAACCAACGTACGTAGAAGAAACAAGATTCATAAATAAAGGCTTTGTGACCATGGATTGATTGGAAGCCATATAAACAACATCGTACGACAATTCTCTTTTGTTTTGGTCCACATGCATATATGAATGATGTTAGTGGCATGGCTAGGTAGTGAAATGTCGGGCTCAAACTATTAAGAATCTTTCAGTTTATCTCCCTCTCGTAGACCAATCTTTTTTGAGTTAATAACTCGGTAGAGAAAATTTTGGAAACAAATTAAAGGGGGAGCTAGATAGGAAATTCGTGGAGCACATGCATCAAGTTGTTGTTGTTGTTTTTTTTTTTTTTTCGGAATGTCTGTTGTATGAAAAGATTGTACATGTATATTCGATTCCAATTTAGTCGGCATTCGGTGCGAAGAATTATTTGCCATCAAAAGTAAATGACAATCACAAGGACCACAACAACGTTTATGAATCCACAAGGACCACAACAACACTTACGTATGTATGGCGTATAATGATAGTGAGTATTTTTTGTTTTGAGTTTCTTGTTTTCAGTTACGCGGTTAATTCGAATATCAATTTTTTAAAGATTAGACTTAACTAGGTTTTGAAGAAAGAAGGCTAATAGCCCTATATGTTTCAATTACATATCAATTTTCAATGTTTGCCCAATATATACTTACATGAAATATTGAAAATTAAAATATAAGTCCTCTAACCACACAACATTCAATGTCTATATCAATGACTAATGTAACATGTACAATATTTTGGTTCTACAATCCATAACAATATAACATGTACATTGCACTCTTTTCTCAAATTCGTAAAATTGATTATCCTTTAACTAGCATAATAATAATCTCGTTTGTGAGCTATTTCCTGTTTTACCATTTGTGCATCGTTATAATCAATTAGCACGGCCACGAGAAAAAAACAAACAAAAGACATAAATAAACCGAGAAATTAAGTGTTAGCAACAGGGAAATACAAAAAGAAAGTAGGGTTGGTTATATTCTTCCCACAATTTGTATCCTCTATGCCTTTCACGAGACGAGAATAAAGATAGAATCATACATGAATTAATCTTGCATTGTGTCGTGTCAGTCTAAAGTTCCCCTGTATATATATTTATTACGAATATATTTGCATGCATGCATGCATGCATATATCTAAGACTAGGGGTAAATTTCTGTGTTGTCACGTCTAATAATTATAACACTAGTTACTGTTTCCCTGCGGGACACGAATTTTATTGAGGCACCAAACCAAACTAAGAGATTCCTTCAACTACTCTCTTAACAAACCAAACACCATTTTCCCACTTGTCGCTTCCTCACTCGCCCACCTGTCAGCCTATCGTACTAATTCGTTAGATGCCCATCAAACTCAAAATAAAATGATAGCTTAAAATTAAACACAAAAACAATGTGTTTTATGTCAAAGAAAAAAGAAAAGAAAAGATGTGCATAAACATTTTAACAATGTGTTAAATATGCTTGGAATCTTCTGTGTGCTTGGGTGTGTATAAGATATATCAGAAGCATAATGGTAACATCAGGTTGTAAGGGAGTACTATAAAACCTATAACTAACATTCTTCTAATAATTGAGTTATTGGAATCAAATGAGTTATAATATGATATAAGAAGTACCGATTTTATCAATTAGTTTGTGTATTTCGATTTCCATAACCCCAATATTAAATGTATTGGTTATGGCTCTATTCTACGTTACAGTGCTTTGTCTGAGAGTTATATGACTTTTATATGTACAGAGAATAAATCAGAGTGAGGGAAAATGGATGGTTGGATATGTAATATCTGTAAAACTAATAACTTATGTAAGTTCAACTACACATTTTTTCTGCTTTTCAATAACAAATCTAAATGGAGTAATCAGAGCAAGTATTAAAATTTGAAAAATAATATGACACTAAACACAATAATTTCACTTTCACAATTTCGTCAATAAATATATGATACATGTAATCTTTTAACCCTAATCTCCATTAGTAATTTGATTTTTTTTTTATTATATGTATCATATTTTGTTGGGACTAGTTTATGATATATATACTACTTTTTCAGCTCTAAAATTTATATGCATCTTCAGCTTGGTTATATTAAATTTAAGTTGAATTTGATCTGCATTTTCAAGGCATGGAATATCCAGAGTATCCTAAAGTGGTGGAGATGAGGATGTGTCTAAAAAATTTTCACACGCGAGTTAGCAGGCATCGTACTGAAAAAATGTGCCGTCAAATCGAATTTCAATCATGTTTTCGAGTTGATGCACATTGATTCGATGGTTAGATTTGGTCGATGAAACCCATCCGAGATATTTTAAGGATTGAAACTCATGAGGGAATGAAGATGGCATGAATATATAAAATGGAAATGGAGATTGCGACACGTTTAGCCAACCCTGCCCCAATTCCACTAGTCACCCCTAGTAGAGATTGCGCTTGGAAAAACTGTTTCATCTCTATACTTCAAGCCTATATTAACTGGGATGAGATTCGTATCCTTGAGAAGGAATTATCTCGTCAATGGGAGGCGGAAGAGATTTACTGGCAGCAGAAGTCTAGGATCACCGGGTTGAAAAAAAGGGATATGAACACTTCCTATTTCCATACTGCCACTAGGACCAGGAGGAAAAAGAATTTTGTCCATGGTCTTAGAAGTGATACGGGTGAGTGGGTCACAGGGGAGGCTAGGAAGGCCGACATTGTCAGTTCCTTCTATCAATCTCTTTTCACCACAAAGAACCAGGTGGAGAACATGGTTGACCGGGTGGCGGCTCTTCCAATCTCCCGCAGTGTTTCACCAGAAATGAATGATAGGCTTACGGAGCCTGTCCTGCTTAGCGAAGTCAGACTAACTGTGTTTGCCATGGGTTCGAAGCAGGCTCCAGGCTCGGATGGATTCAATGGTAAATTCTTTAAGGCGTTTTGGGACATTCTGAGGGCGTCCGTGGTTGACGCAGTATGCTCTTTCTTCTCGACTAGTAAAATGCTCAGGAGTTTTAATCATACTTGGTTAACTTTGATTACCAAAGTTGAGAATGTGGAAACTATGCGTCAGCTTCGTCCTATAAGCCTGTGCCAATTTGTGTATAAAATCATATCTAAAATCATGGCAACTCGCCTGGCTTGTCTCCTGCCTCAGATAATCTCAGAGGGGCAGAATGCGTTTATCCGGGAACGCCAAATAGTGGACAATATCCTCCTTGGGCACGAGTTAATGCATTACCTCAAAATCAAGACAAAAGGAAAGAAAGGGTACATGGCTCTAAAGGTTGACATGGAAAAGGCATATGATAGAGTCGAATGGCCCTTTCTCCTTGCGATACTTGAGAAAATGGGTTTTAACGCTACTTGGAGGGGATGGATCAAGGAATGTTTGGCGTCCACCTCCTTTTCGGTTTTAATGAATGGCTCCCCTTCTGGGTTCTTCTCCCCATCTAGGGGGTCTTCGGCATGGTGATCCGCTCTCGCCTCTCCTTTTTGTTCTGTGTACCGAGGGCTTTGCTGCACTCCTATGGAAAGCTATTGCGAAAGGAAAACTGGAGGGAGTTAAAGTTGCGCCTCGAGCGCCTCGTATCTCTCATTTGTTCTTCGTTGATGATTCCTATTTATTTCTCTGTGGATCTCTCCAGGAGTGTGAGAATCTTCTTGAGGTTCTGAATGAATATGAGGAACTCAGTGGCCAGAAGGTTATCTAAGTCTGCGGTTTGTTTTAGTAAGAATATTGTCTTGCCAGATAGGAATTCTTGGCCCAGATTCTGGGGGTGGGGGCGGTGGGTGTACACGATAAGTACCTTGGCCTGCCGACTCTGATATCCAGGTCAAAGATGACCACGTTCCGCTATCTGGAGGAGAAGCTGTTAGAGAGACTACAGGGCTGGAAACAACAGACCCTACTTGGGTTGCAAAGGAGACTTTGATTAAATCAGTGGCCATGGCTTTGCCCTTGCATGTTATGTCTTGTTTCAAATTGCCTCTATCTCTCTGTCGGCTCCTTGATAGGCATGTGGCGAGATTCTGGTGGGGTACTGAGGATGACCACTCTAAGATTCAGTGGATGTCTTGGCGGAATGTGTGTCGGAGTAAACATGAGGGGGGGTATGGGGTTTCGTCGTTTTGAGCAGTTCAATCAGGCCCTCTTGGCTAAAATTGGCTGGCGTATCCTCAATGAGCCTCAATCCCTTTTAGCCCAGGTCTATAAAGGCAAATACTTTCCCACTGGTACATTCCTCTCTGCTACAGCACGGTCTCGTTCGTCTTGGGGGTGACAGAGTATCCTGTTTGGCCGGGAATTGTTAGAGGTGGGACTCCGATGGCAGATTGGTGATGGTAAAACTGCTCCTCTACTTCAATCCAATTGGATTCCTCGGTTGCATCCCTCTAAACCGGTGTATAACCCTCAGATTTTGCCAGAAGGGATGGAGCTCCGGGTTTCTGAGGTTCTATGCTCGGGGGAAGGAAGGTGGTGTGATTCGAAGTTCAGTTAGTGGTTTGACCCATCAACTTGCCGGGCGATTAAAACTATCCCTCTTACCCGGCAACCTGTGGCGGATAGGCTTATCTGGATTGACACGGAGGACCGTAAGTTTACGGTCAAATATGCTTACCATCTTGCGGTCCGGTTGGATAAATAGAGGGGCAAGTGGCGTTCCATGGTTAGTTGGATGGATAAGACCAGCTGGATTCGTCTGTGGGAGGCTAATGTACCCCCTAAGCTGAAGGTGTTCTGTGGCAAATCTTCAACAGGATCCTACCAATTACGGAAGCCTTAATTGAGAGGGGGATTGAGGTACACCCTCGTTGTCCGGTATGTTGGGCAAAGACGGAGACATTGGAGCATTTGTTTCTTGATTGTCCAGTAGCTCGTGCTCTCTGGGATCATTCGGGGCTGGAATACCTAAGCCAGGGGTTGCCTTGCCAAACCTTTCCTCTGTTCCTGAAAAGGCTAGTTGCGCTCATTCACCAGCCTGATTTGCTTATGGCCCTTGCGGCTGTCCTCTAGAGAATTTGGCGGTCTCGTAGTTGGGTGGTCTTTAATGGAAAACTGTTTGGGATCCCTGCCTTGATGCGGCAATTCCACCAACAGTATGGATGATCCTATGGTCGTGGAGTTGCTAACCCTCCGTGAGGCTATTTGCTGGTGTCTAGGACGTGGATTCACTGAGGTTAGGTTCGAGGGTGATGCCAAAGTTGTTATTGATAAAATCATTCGGCGGCAGACTGGTGACAACAGGGTGGGAGCTATTCTGGAATAAATTTTGCGGTACTTTGATAGTCATCCGGGGTTAAGTGTGCGGTTTGTAGGTCAGCGTAACAATAGGGTAGCCCATTTGGTGGCTAGAAAGGCCCTTTCTTTGTCCCCGACTATAAGTCGTGTTTTTTATTTCCAGGCCTGGCTGGGTTCCAGGTAGGGGTGGGCAAACGGTTCGGTAAACCCGAACCGAACCGAAACCGACACCGAATTAAACGAACCGAAACCAAATTAATGCTATTCAGTTCGGAATTCGGAAGGAAAATATGGATAGTTCGGAAATTAGGGTTCTTTTAACCGAACCGAATTTCCGACTGAAAAACCAAAATACTATAATTGCAAGCTCCAAATGGTGGATTTTTATGTTTGTATTTGTTTTTAGACTTAAATATTTGAAATGTGTTTATGACTTATGTGTTGAAAAGTTTGGTTTTATCATTGATGATGCATATAATTGATATTTATTGTTTATATTAGGGGTGAAAAATAATTTAAAAGTGAGAAAATACAAGTAGCTTCACAATTTCGGTTTTGTGCGAAAAATCAAACCGGACCGAATTATAGTTCGGTTTAAACTGACCGAACTGAATTATAATTCAGTTCGAATTCGGTTTGTGGTTTGGGAGAATTTGGGGACCCGGTATTCATAATTTCAGTTCGGTCGAAACCGAACCGACCGAATGGCCACCCCTATTTCCAGGATGTAACTATCTTTTTGTTGGATTAATATATGATTATATTTTGTAAAAAAAAAAAACTATATTGTAGTTTGATTGGTTTCGGCCCAATTCCAAATGTATAATTTTTACTATTTTGAGATCCAGCGTTTCAGTGGGCCTGAGAGGCCCAGTCTGATACCTCAGACCCAAGAATTATGATATTTTGAGCTCTCCCTCTAATAAACTGAAAAGTAAAAAACCATGTCGGTCGGCTTTCTCGAATTCCTCCACTGAGAGCAGAATAATTTTCTCCGCCGGATAAAGTGCCTCCGAATCCGATTCCCTCGCAGTAGCTACCTAGTCTACCGGAATTCTCACATATCCGATCTGGTAATGCGTTTACTTACTTCCTTGCCTTTCTCCTTTTGTCAGTTCATTCCGTTTTCCTTCTTGAGTTTCTGCGGAATTAAGGTTCTGAAGTCGCTGGGGGTATGAATTTGCAGTCGCCGCCATTTGACTAGATATGGAGCTGAAGCTAGAGAAGAAGGACGCAGCGGATTGGGTTTACAGAGGCGAAGGCGCTGCCAATCTAGTCCTCGCTTACTCTGGGTCTTCCCCTGATTTCGTATGTTGAGAAGCTTTCACTGTCTCTTTTGGGTTCTCTTTTTGCTGAGCTTCCAAATCCATTTGATTTTCTTCTTCTTTTTTTGATAGGCCGGGAAAGTGATGAGGATACAGAAAAAAGCGAAAAATGGATCGGCGGCGGCTGCCGTGCACAATAAGCCGGTGTTGACGGACCAAGAACGTCTGTTGTGGAAAGAAGCCAAGGAGCTGGTTGCATCTCAGAACAAAGATGCTGTTGAGCGGTTTTTCGCTCAGCTAGTTATGGGTCCTCTCTTGGGTCCCAAGTACGTTGATGCTGGGGTACTGCTACTTTCACTCCTCTAATGTCTGCTTTCTGTGAATTGCTTAAATTCTCAGCATATGGATTCTGGTGGGTTTGTAGCTATTTGGATTCTGATTTGGTTGGTTGGGGATTATTGAAATGCATTCCTTTTGTGTCAATGGTAGGTGCTTGTAAAAGTGTCTAGGCAATTTCTTGAGGGCATTGAAGAGAAAGTGACTGGTCAGCGGCCGTCTTGGAGAGTTGATGCTGCTATGGTGGATGTAGAACGCGATTCCGTGCTTATCATGCCCGATCACACCGTTTTCCCTCGTGGTAATCGTTGTTTTCTCATTATTGATCTGTATGTGCTGAGTCTTCAAACAATCCAGCTTCACGTTGCATATGATCTTAGCAGAAAAGAGTGCTTATCCGCTATAACTTGTAGAAAGTAGATGAGGTTACTATTCCTATTATACTAGCAGTAGCAGATAGTTGATGTGATCGGACAACCACTTTTATCAAGTTTGTTAACTTTATTTCCTTTCGAAGTTAATGAGAGTAGATCTAATGCAGGTGGTTCTAAAGGCGGAGGACCATGCCTATCTGTTGAGATTAAGGTATATTTCAACTGGCTATAATATATTTGATCATGTTGCTTTTTACTTGTTTGAGATTACTAATTCTCTTTGGGCTTTACGCCTTCTTTTACTTGTGTCGAATCAAGTAGCCGAAATGTGGATTTCTGCCATCCTCGAGCTTTATTGCTGAAGGGAATGCTGTTAAAAAGAGCGCAAGCCGTTTTAAAATGCATCAAGCCCTGAAGCTACACAATAAAGATGTAAGCAGTAATCCCTTTGGGTTTTAAGTTCACATGTTTTTATGGCAGTAGAAAGTTATGACGTTTGATTTACCTTGGCAGCATCCATTTTCATGACTATACTAGTACAAATACCTTTTTGTTGATTACAATGCTACATATCACAGATATCAGAGATAAGCAAGTACAATCCGCTGGATCTATTTTCAGGTTCCAAGGAAAGAATGCATAAAGCTATTGGGGATCTCTTCTCCACTCCTCAGAATAATTTTCGTGTGTTCTTGAATGGTTCTCTTATACTTGGGGGCTTGGGTGGCGGCACAAGCAAAACCAACACCGTTATCGAACAAACCTTTGAAGATGCCCTGAAGGGTGTCATACAAGCAACCAAAGGCTCAAGAACTGCTAGCTTTATGCAGCTTATTGCCGAGACGGTCCACCACTCTGGAGTGCTTGATCAGCTCCTCAAAGTTCAAAAGCTTGACCATCTGGACATCGAAGGGGTGATTCATGCTTATTACAATCTTGTATCAAAACCTTGTATGGTATGCAAGGATTTGAATGAAGCAAAAGCTTTACATGGTTGTGAATCCTTGCACTCGATTCCCATGGATGAGAGCTTGAAGATTGTGAAGGATTATTTGATAGCTGCCATAGCTAAAGACTGCAGTATGATGATTAGTTTTGCGCCAACAGATGATGTAGATGTTGGATCTCAGTACAGTTCTGTTCGTATACCTTCAACTAATCAGAAATTTGACTACAAGGTAGGTTGTTGGCATATTTTTGGTTCGACATTTGTTTAGGTGGTGCATGCTTTATAATTTTGTGTCATGACACATTTTGTGTAGGTGAGTTTCATTGACTTGGATTTGAAACCCTTGAAGAAGATAGAAGAGTACTATGAATTAGACCAGAAGATAGTGAAGTGCTATAATCGGGTGGCGGGAGGAGATCACGCGAAAGGCGCTCCTGCAAGCACAGAGTTACCTAGAGATGCTAATTGAGCATCTGTGGAACTGTAAAAATCAAGTGTATCAAGCCGAACATATGCCGGTAAGTTTGTCGAGTTAACCGTTGTTGTAATGCTTGTACTACTATATCCATTTGTACATGAAAACCAATACGTTACCCGGAAACCCATGACATGGTGTGTAATGTGTACTTTGGGTTTGACTCCAATAAATGAATGGTTATCGAAGCTGTGTGTGACTCAATGATTGAAATGTGAGCGTATTTGAGCATTTGCGTGACTCATCACCGAGGACGACAACAACCACCACCTCTCCTACGCCGCCGATGACAACAACCACCGCCTACGCAGCCGGTACCTGGACCTCTCCACCATCCTCCCCCACCGAATCTGCCCCGACAATCTCCTCTCCAAGGACGTTCCCCTGATGAGCACCTTTTCAATTTGTAATTATAATATTTTTTTGTTTTATTTTACTTTATTGTGAAAATGAGTTGGAAATGATAGAAGATTAAAATTATTTTATCTATTAGTTTTTAATTGCCACGTCACTGAGTTAACGGTCAACTTTGAGGGTTGACTGCCACATTAGACAAATTTAACGGAGTTGGACGGAGAGTGACCAAACTTGAACCATTTAACTAATTTGAGTGAACAAGATTGGATTTAAATATTTACAGTGACCAAATATGAACGTTTTTTGTAATCTCAGTGACCAACCATGCAATTAACCTATTAGTATGCTATCCGAACAAAATGGGACACAGCAGACTGCATTGACGAAAACATCTTCGGTAAATTCACAGCAATGGAGCCCGTAATTTGAACTAAGAAAGACCCCAAAATTTTAACTTAAGAGATTGCAACAATAATAATTGAAAATTGAGTTGTCATTAAACTTTCAATTACAGCCCACGGCCTAATCTTAACACAAAGAAAGTGGTATTTCGGGTTTGCATATTTGCTAATGCGGTCATGGACTCAAGGGCAACTTTGGGATATGTTTTTTCATATTTAAGGGTACGTCTGTTTTTGTTTTTTAAAGTTTATATATCACGTGTTATTGAAATGAAAATATTATCCTAACACTAATATAAAGAGGTTCTCCATGGGACATGATTAATTTTAAATTTCCTACATTCTGAGTAAATTTAGGAAGGATATTTGTGTCTTTTAATTAATAAATCATAATCCTATCCTCCTAACACTAATATAAAGAGGTTCTCCATGGAGACGTGCTTAATTCTAAATTTCCTACATTCTGAGTAAATTTAGGAAGGATATTTGTGTCTTTTAATTAATAAATCATAATCCTATCCTCCTATCCTAACACTAATATAAAGAGGTTCTCCATGGAGACGTGCTTAATTCCAAATTTCCTACATTCTAAGTAAATTTAGGAAGGATATTTGTGTCCTTTAATTAATAAAAGTCCAAACAAAATACTTTTATTAATTATACTAATGTAAAACGAGCTTTAGCAGGAAATTATTATTAAACCAATTATTATATTATTAATTTTAGTTAGGAAATTGGTAGTGTGAAATTCGGGCGAGGGTTGAGAAGTGTGGGTATATAAGTTTAGTTTGTTCATATTATTTTATTCTATGGTTAAGTGTTTGATGCAAATTCGACTTTTGTTAATAAACTTATTTGAGTTTTTCATTGTTTCTCTTTTTATTATATAGTTACAGATTAGATGGAGTTTTCACCATTCTAAACATTTTGCGTTCGGATTTTTGCATTCAGTGAAATGTTGGAGAAGAAGGAAGAGTATGCTAATAGTAGAGGTAGTCAATTCAGTGATGGAGGTAGAAACATTATTGAGATATGTAAAATTTTAATGGTGGGAGGAAAGAGCAAATGATTGATAATATTTATGATTTGGATGATGTGAAATTCTACTATCATGAAAAGATGTTTCATAGTTTCAAACACTTTCTCTTAAAAATTAGTTTTTGATGAAATGCAAAAGAAGTATGAGACTATTGATGATGAATATATAATTTCTTTAAGGTGAAGCTATGTGGAGAAAGTGTTTTTCATAGCGGAGCAATAAAAAGGAAATTTGAAGTAATTTCTAACAACAAAGAGAAAATTGCAATGCGTTTTGAATATTAATTTTTTAGGAATCGGTTACTTGCATGAGTTTTGTTGTTTACTTTTGATAAGGACTTTTGTATATGAATGCCAAAATGTTGTAAAACTTATTATGTATATTATTTTTAGATATTTTTAATAATAAAATAAATTGCTTTCGTTCATGTACCAAATAAATAATTCTGGTAATAAATATTATTGTTTATGATATTGATGTGATTAATCCGGCCAACGGGCGGGCCCATTCCTAGTAATCAATGTATGGTTTAACTTGGAATTAATAGCATAAAAGGCAAGGTTGTTAAACTTCTGTTGGCCAGTCAGTTGGAACTGATCCGATTAAAGTCGAGTTTTAAAATGATCTTCATAAAGTCAGTGATCTGATCGATAGAGTGAGTAGGGATGGCAATCAAACCCATGGTCGCGGGTATCTGACCGCTCCCAACCCAGTCAACGCGGGGAATCCCCGCTTTGACCGGGTATGGGGTGGGTATGGGTAAAACCCGCAAAAAGTTTGATGGGTATGGGGCGGGTATGGTTTTAGCCTCCCCCGCCCCATACCCATCCCCATACCCGCCCCACTAAGATAATTTCTTCATATATAAAAAAATATGTGTATCAAATTATAATCTATCAATGATGATGAGGATAACTTGAGAAAATAAATAGTAGAAATGCAATTGAGTGACCACCTTAATCAAAATATAATTCATTTCTCTCAATTCTCATTTCACTCTTTCACTTTCCCCCTTGTCAACAAGATTATGTTAGTTAATTATTATTTAGTAGATGTATCAGAGTTAGAACATAATAATTTGAAAAATATTATACTCTATATTATGTATTAATGGATATTTTAGGATCATAATCTTTGAACCCTATTAAAAAAAGACCGTATTTTGTTGACTTCGTGATATAATATGTTCGTTCAGAGTTATAATTAGAACTTTTCTTGTAAGTTTTAGGTATAATAATGTTGGATGTACGGGTATGGGTATTACCCATGGGTACCCGAAACCCACGAGTATGGGGATGGGTTTGCAAAACATTCCCCCGCATGGGTATGGGGCGGGTATGGGTTTGGGTATTTGAAGATGGGTATGGGGATGGTTTAAGCAAACCCGCCCCAAACCGGCCCCATTGCCATCCCTAAGAGTGAGTGAGCAGGAGACAAGAAGAGAGGAGAGGTAGAGAGAGGGAAGGGAATGGAAGAATGATGGGTGGATTATGGGAATTAGGTAGTTTTTTTTAGTTAATATTTTCGTATGGCCTGAACTTTGACTAAAATAAACATCCTGGCCAATCTTTTTGATCTATAACATCCTGGCCCGAACTATACACCAAAATAAACAATTTGGCCAGATCCGACTTTTGACCATTAACTTGGACGGTCAAACGCGTTGACCGTTAGTCAACGCGCCATCTCACCCCCAAGTCAACATAAAATATTTAAAATAATTCACAATTTCCACACATTCCCTAATTTTAAATTATTATAAATTAAAAAAATCATCTAATACCTTAGTAAAACCAAAAATAAAAAACGGAAAAAATTAAATCTTTATCAGATCCTCTAACTTGGTAGTGACGAGTTGACCGTTAGTCAACGCATTTGACCGTCCAAGTTAACGCTCAAACATCGGGTTTGGCCAAATTGTTTTTTTGGTGTATAGCTAGGGCCAGGATGTTATAGATCGAAAAGATTGGCCAGGATGTTTATTTTGGTAAAAGTTCAGGCCATACGAAAATATTAACCCTTTTTTTTATGTAAAGTGAGTTTCTAATAGATACATATATGGTAAGTTTTGTTTCGGTCATTAATTTTTTTTTTAAATTCCTACCTTCTTTGTATGTATATTTAGAAAAATAATTAAACGGCTCAAACAAGTCGGACCATGATCAGACCATTGATCGCAAATCACTTGCTTGATCGGCTCAACGACTTAAATCGACAACCTTGATAAAATGTGGATTCGGATTAATGCTAAGAAATCAGTCACGAGTGTTTAAATTTTAACAGATTAATTATTAATATTTTTATTAACTAACAAATCGGGTAATTCACGCCCTGTCTGGCTATCTTGCCCCATTTTCGACTGACTCTATCATGATTTGCATTAATATTTACTTGCATTTCATTTCTTTTGAATTTTTCAAAATCATAGTTTTCATTCCAACCAATTTTTGAATAAGCTCAAGACTTCATATATCATTTAAATGTGGACTCTATTATTCCATCTAATATATCTCTAATTCACTTATTAATTATTTTCTCTGTCTTCTCGTAAGAAATTAAATTTCGATATTTTTTTCCTTCCAAATGATAGTATCCGCATCAATATTAACCGATCTAACTCACACTTAATACAAAACGAGTATGAGTATTGAGATACCTGCTCAATGTCATCACCCCATACTAACTCACCACCAAGTACGTCAATCATCCCCTTCCCTCAATCAAATTCAAATTGATTCTTTGATTGCATTGCGGAAATATATTCCATCGTTTAATATGTTTTCGTTCTAATTATTTCTAGGTATTTTATTACTACTCCTAGAGGATAGTGAAAAGGAGTGAAGATTATCTGGACACAACTCCTGCATTAGTTGCTATGTCTGGAGTCCACAGCAAGGTAAGTTCATCTTTGGATCCTGCACGAATAAACCCAGATGAAGAACAGAACAAAGACGACGCACAATCTGGACTGTTTCATTCATTGGATTCGTTTTCAAGTTTTACTGTGTAGATAGACAGTTGTACAACTCCTATTGGGTAGTCAATTTGTTGTTAGATTAACGGCTGGTGGAACTGTAAATGGATTAGTGTGTATATAAGCTTCTCTCAATGGAAAAGCTCAACATGAGCGAATTTCCCCAATCTGACTTTCTCTGCAATTTACCCTTCGAGTGCAAATCTTCTCATGGTATCAGGCATTGCTCATCGCGCTGGATCCATAAAAAAAAATTCACGGTAATTGTTGTTGCTTTCTATTAAGATCTAATCTGGCCACAATTATGACCAAGTTCCTCGAAAAACTTCAGATACAAGACATCAGTGCTACTGTAACTACTTCTAATCACTATCTGCAATTACTTCTAACCACTGTCTCACAATTTCTATCACAATTTCTAATCACTATCTGCTAGATCCGATTTTGCCCTAACTTAAGGGTTTGTTTTTTCTACCTCTTCTTCTTTGTTTTCTCTGTTCTTACATTTGTTGTTGCAATGTCTGGTTCTGCTACAAAAAGAATCCGACAAATCAGTTGGTGAATCTGATTCACCAGATCGTCTCAAATCCATAATGGGTCAGTATGAAGATCCTTATCTCAACCCTTAATACCTTCCATCGCAAGATGGAGCTCTTCCCACCATCGTCACCTTGAAGCTCATAGATGGCAACTACCATACATGGAGTGAGGTCATGTGGCCTGCTCTTGAAATAAAAAACAGGACCCAATTCATCGATGTCCGAATTCCAATCCCACAGGTAACTGATGCTCACTATCAGTCTTGGGCTCGTTGCAATGGGACTATTCATTGCTGGATCTACAACTCTTTGTCCGATGATATAACTAATAGTGTTATGGAATTAGCTATAGCCAAAGATATGTGAGATAATTTGAAAAAATATATTCAGTCAGGAGGATAACATTAGGGTTTATGATCTCAAGGCCCAATTGTCTAAATGTGTTCAAGGAGATCAGTGTGTGAGTCAGTATTTCACTGCAATTAATTTCATATGGGATGAATACAGGAGACATAGACATATTCCAGTGTGTCCTTATGTTCATGAACCGTATGAAACACTAAAATGGTACCAGGACAATGATTTTGTTATGTTGTTCCTTCAGGGTTTGAATGGTGCTTACCAATCAGCTAGAACACAGGTTCTGATGCTTCCAGTCTTACCTAGTATTCACATAGTTTTCAAACAAATTCTGCAACTAGAACGTCAACTGAAGGTCGTGACTAGAAACACCAAAGTTGATTCTCTTGCTCTAGCTGCTGCTGGATCTAATGCAGGTGTTCAGTATCCACCTAGAGGAAGAATTAGTACCAACAATTAGTTACTACAAGAAGGAAGGTCATGTCATTCGTGATTGTTACAAATTGAAGAACAAAAAGGCACGAGAGACAGCTTCTGAGTCAGGTTTTGCTAGCTCAGTTGAGAGTAACCATTTGGATAAGTCTTCTTCCATTCCTCAAGACACAAGAAGTGGCCTAGCAAACTTGTTCACAACTGATCAGATGGAGAAACTGAAACTTCTCCTTTCCAAGACCCCCACTCCATCACCACCATCATCACCATCTATTCATGTTGCCAACTCAGTGACAAGGCCTCCATCATAGCTCAATTACTTCCCTTCCAGTTCAGGTACCACAACACTCTCTGCCTTGATTGCCTCTTCTGGTGAACATCTATGGGTGCTGGACACATGTGCCACATATCATATTATGTGTGATCTTGACTATTACCTTAAGTATACACCACTAGAAGTTGTCTATGTTACTCTACCTACTGGTTCACAAGTGAAAGCCACACACATAGGGATAGTAAAGTCACTTTCTAGATTGTTTCTCTCCCAAGTTTTGTTTGTCCCCACTTTCAGCTACAATCTTGTTTCTGTTAGTAAGTTAACCAAAACAAACCTAGTCTCGCTCACTTTTGAATCCTCTTACTGTGTGATACAGAACCTTATTACTCAAAGGAGAATTGGTTTAGCCCAAGTGGATAAAAGACTTTACCTCTTTGCCAAGACACAATTACCTTCTTCTCCCAAGTGTCTTGCCTTACCAGTTTACAATCTTCATCCTCAAGAGTTTGAAATCTGGCGTGCCAGATTAGGCCATCCTCACATTTCTAGAACTGAAGTCATTAGTAGACAGTCTTCCAATGTAATTCCTTCTAAAGTTGTTCGTTGTGAAGTGTGCCATTTGGCAAAACGGAAACGACTTCCTTTTCCCTTAGTTCATCTAAGAATCCTAATGTATTTGGTTTTATACAAGTTGACATTTGGGGGCCATTGCAAACTGTTTCTTATAATGGTTTTAGCTATTTCTTAACTATTCTAGATGATCATACTAGATGTGTGTGGACTTTCCTTATAAAATCAAAGGATGTGGGCACAGATGTATCATATTTTTTTCCTATTCATTTCTTACGTGTGAAAGAATTATCATTGTGCATTGTAAAAGAGGAAGTGAAAGGGGAAATTGAGAATTTTTATGTAAGAGACATCATATTTATTATAATTTGTTGGGCTAATACCACTGCAACACCCGAACTATCCGGAAAATGCCAATTGTGTCCTATTGTTTCCAATATTCCATCTGTGTTCTGAACTATTATTCCGTTAGTGTTGACTGGCATTCACCGTTAGTATTTAACAGAAAATCCAGTCAGCGTTGACGTGGCATCTGATCTGGAATTTTCATTATCAATTTTCATTTTATACAAAATAAAAAAAATAGAAAACTCTCCCAATCCCTTCTCCGCGTCTCCTCCTGCCGTCTGGTGGAACCATCTGCCGGGAGCCCTCTCCGGTAAGTCGCCATCAACACCCAGATTCTGAAGGTCATGGCAAGGGAATCGTCGTGCTAGAGAAAGGGTGACCATATTTTCAAGGTTCGAGATGCGGCGCTGCCACCACCTCCGTCGTCGGCATCGAAGATTCATCCCAGCCACCGTCGTCGGCATCGAAGATTCATCCCAGCTTTAATCGTGTCAACAAGTCCTCCGTCGGCATCGAAGATTCATCCCAACCACCGTCGATCCAGGTCGCCACCACCTCTGCGTCTTCCACTCTACTCTTCAAACCCAGAAATGCTGCGGACCGACATCCGACTCCCTCGCCACCGCACGCTCCAATCACCTTCTCATTCGACATAACCCCAAATCAAGGCCTGTGTAAAGACCTCTTCCCACTCCTGAATGTATTCCATTCTTGATTCATGATTTCAATCTCCGATTGAGTTGAATTGAACAAATCCTGTTTTGGCAAAATTAGGGTTCTTCGGAAAATGGTAGAAGCTCCACCGGGTTTCCATTTTCCAGTCAAAGTCCGCACTTGGATCTGGAGACCTCAGCGGGGAAGGGCTTGTGTTGCGGAGAACCTAGGACGACGGTAGCAGGCTCTGAAGAGACGGCGGCGACGGCGGCTTTAGCGGAAATGGAGCAATTTAAGGAGCGGTGGCGAAGTGGGTGACGCTGGTTGGGGAAGAAGAATTGGGATTGGATACTGGGCCGCAGAGAGACGAGTGAGAACATAGAGGAGTGAGAGCTCACTCCATGTTGAGTCTGGAGTTGCATCTCGCTTAGCTCTGAGAAAGACGAGAGAAACACAGGGGAAGAAGACGCTCGCTAGTCGCTACGCTGTCGTAGAAATGTCGAGATAATAGGATGGATTGAAATTTGAAACTTCAAAGCTAGAGCTTCTCCTGGCCATGAGCGCCCTTTATTCTCAAGTAGTAGAATACTTGGATTTGGTGATTGCTGGGATTGGAGAGGAAGAGGAAGAAGCAAAGAATGGGAGAAGAGGAAGATTGATGCGGCGGGGAAGAGGAAGAAGCAGAGACGGGGAGATTGGGGAGGGGGAGCCATTTATTTTTTTAATTTCTAAGAATTTTGTATTTTTTGTATTATAGTTATTATAATTTTATTTAAATAATTTTATTTTTAATTAAGTAATGACATGTCAATGAGGTGGCATCTATGTGGATGCCACTTTTCTGCCACATCTACGAAAGTCAACACTAGTTTGACTTCCGTCAAGTCAATAGTTATCTTTAACGGTCAACGTAAGACGCCATGACACAAATGTCACAAACTCATATAGTTCATGACACAGATGGAATATTGGAAACAGTAGGACACAAGTGGCATTTTTCGAATAGTTCGGGTGTTGTAGTGGTATTAGCCCTAATTTGTTTGGAAGAGCTAACAACCATAATAACAAACACTTGAATAAAATATTTCTCAACTATAAGAAAAAATCGAGACAAAAGCCGAATTAAAAATTCAGAACATCATTTAGCCCAAACATCATACTTATTATTGTTGGGGGTGTTACTAAGATACTCCGCGCACAGACTAAGTAGTAGGGCGCACAATCGGCGATGCCCAACGCTCGATACCTGCTACGGGTATATAAGGGCTTGAAGCCCTCCAAAGGTGTGGATCTCTCCTCTCTCCTCATTTTCTACTTTCCATGATCTCTCTACACTTTATTTCTCTACCTTGTTCTCTCAACTTTCACCTTAAACATACACTGACTTGATCGTCGGAGCTTAATCCGAGGGGCAACCCCGGCTCTTTCACAGTCTCTTCCCTCCCGACAATATTAGACGAACGGATCGTGAGTCAACCCCACACCAACAAATATCATTGTTCATACCGAAGCTAGATGGTACAAACAATTGGCGCCCACCGTGGGGCGATTTCAACATCTGTTCGTTCGATTTTTAAGGGAGGATGGAAGTTGATCATCTCTCTACACCATTCGACATAGCAGATGCATAAAAGAAATGGAACAAAACTGGGGAAAAGGGGGGAGAGAAAAGTTCCAGATCTGATGAGAAGAACCCAAATCTTCCACCACCAATTAAGTGCCATGGCAGCAGCTACAATATCCTACCAACACTCGCCAGAAGGAAGAAACCCACTTCTTCTTTCATAATCACGGGCAGCGGAAACAAATAGCATATCCGAGAAACAGAAGAAAAAAATACAGATCTGAGAACCAACAGAAAGTTCAAGGTCAAGGTCTCCCTGACTCTCCCACAGCAATTCCAAACGACGGCAACACCTGCAAAAGGAAAAGAATCAATGGTCAGTAGAGGTAACCTTCGCCGGCGATGAACCCAGCCTGAATCGTCGGCTAGTGCTGAAAAAAAAACTCCTTTCCGAGAGTCAGATCGACTCCTCTTCCGTCGAACAAGTGGGAGAAAATAAGAGGGATCTGGCCGCAAACATCCTAACCACCGAGTTAAGATCTCCTCAGCTCAACAGCCACTACTGCAACCATTGATTACGCCTCCTTCGTCAACGATTCCCTCAGCGTTGATGCCAGTGGACCGACCCTCGAATCGAGGAAGCAAGAAAAGAAACCCAGATCTACTTTTGCTGTATCTTCATTAATCTCTCCGGAGATCCATAATGCTTTGCCGGTGGTAGAACCAGAGGAGAAAAGACGTCGGAATCTGCATAAAAAAAAGAAGAAGAAAGTCGGGGTCTTCGCTTGGCCTCGCTGCAAAACGAAAAAGATGGGCTCTTTGCTGGGGTTCCTTGCAAGGTGTCGCACTCCCAGCTCCTCCGCGCGTTCAGTCAGTCCCAACACTCAAGCTCCACGCCACCACTCTCCTTATCAGGCGCGCTCGAGCTCTCTCACAGCCCTCTCCGCGCGGCACAACGGCAACCCAGCTCTCTCCGCGTTAAAAGAAAGCAGAAGAAGAAGAAGAAGAAGAAGAAGAAGAAGAAGAAGGAATCAGAAAATCGTGCCTAAACTATAAATTCTAAAGACCGTTTAAAAAAAGGGGTCTCGTTGGCCACACGACCCGCGAGCAAACGCTGCATACTACTTTGCAGCCCGCTCCCAAGTCCACAAGGAATGGGCCGCCGCCAAGTCCAAAGCCCACCTTCGAAGCCCTGTAAGTTACTCACGCACATCCGCACTTGCGTCCCGCGCAACCATCAGGGCCATCCCTGACGCGTCCAGGCCCATCTCCAACGCGCGGCTGGCCCGCATCTTGTTCATCCTGCTTCAGCTCCACGCCTCCATGAAAAAATGATGCTTGCGCGGCTATTCGAACTAGCGCAAGTAATTTAGTACACAAGCACTATGACCAGTACGCCAGAAGACCAACTTGTAAATTTTATGAGAGCTACTTTTATAAGAAGATCGCACCGACACCAGGCCCGCGACCTCCATTCGATCCGCCTCTCAAGGCCCAACTCGCGGTCCATCATCGCTCCACTACGCCTACGCTTTGCAACAACTCACGGCCCACGTCAGGCTCCCGCTCCCCATACCAAGTTTCAAGAGTCACAAAAATAATAATGTTGCCGCCAAGACTTGAACTTGCACCATTTCTCAGACAAACAAGCTAGTTGACCAACAATCTATTGAACTCCCGTGTGAATCACTAGCGCAACGGTCTTATCTTATAGACTTATTTTCGCTCCAAAGCTGATTGAGTACGCCAGATTACACCCTCTTGTAATCATCCACCGTCGTTCTTGTAAAATACAAGAAAGGCAACCAGTAGGCACCCACCTTATTTGTGATCAATAAACGCAGCGCGCTATTTTAAAGCTTTGTTTCTCCGACTCGTAGCACACTCACGGAAGATGAACCCACCACTCGCGGGCTTGCTTCATACTCCTCTGCGTCACTCTACCGCCCGAGCTTGCGGCCCACTGCCGCCTCAACACTCGCGGCCCGCACTGTAGGCGGCCCAACTCGCGGGCGATCAACAGACACGGAACTCTTCAAAAAAATGTCGTCTACGCTAGTCCTCGAACCCGTGCCACTCTTCCGCCAGACAAGCAACATTACCAGCAAGCTACATACAAACCTTGTGTTTCAATGGCGCAGCATCTGCCTTTCAACTACTCCTGCCGCCGCTTCGCCAACATAAAGCTAAGTACTCTATCTCTTTATCATTATTAAATATTGAAATATTTTACTGAGAGTTAATGGCGCTAATGGGGGGAACATTGCCTTGAAGACTCCAAACTAAGGGTTAAAAACCCTGACGAGGAGAGGGCACATTGCTTTGAAGACTCCAAACTGAGGGTTAAAAACCCCGACGAGGAGAGGGCACATTGCCTCGGTGAAGCTACAAATAAGTCTCAACGAAGCACACAAATAAGACTTCAATAAAAGCATCGAAGATCTACAAATAAGTCTCCACGAAGCACACAAATAAGACTTCAATAAGAGCATCGAAGACCTATAAATAAGTCTCAACGAAGC